ATTTGTTTATAACTATCGCATTTATTGTTAAAATTTTATAAAACCTATGACAAGTTCAGGGTTTTGTCATACTTCAAAAGTCTGCCAAAAGTGGGCGCTGTAGGTGCAATAGTTTTCGCACAATTAAATTTGTTTATAACGGAGGCTCCAAAAGTTATGAACTTTAAGGCTCTGTACAGGCGTTAATTTTCAACCAAACATGATTCTGAAAGCGTCATTGTAATCTTAAAGACGTAATTAAGCGACCTATTTAAAAATATCACCGTTTTTTGACATTAACATTCTCAAATTGTGCATTAAAAACCGTGAGTTTTTCGCTTATAAACAATTTGAATAACATTGTTGCTATTTATGCTATCTCAACCGAAAATAGATGCAATGGATAGCTGGCAAAAAAATACAAATTTAAAATAAAAAAGTACCCTCTATGACCAACAAGAGTCAAGATAAGAATTTTTTTGTAAAAAATCGTAGCGCAATTGTTTATAAATATTAAGACTTGAATTTTTCGCAAAATAAACGATTTCTCGTGAATTGCATTGAAAAATGTTGAAAAAAGTTCAAATTGATGCGCGCTGTAAATTTAGCAAAATCTCGGCTTCTATTCATCACAGAAACTTATTTTTGTTTTCAAACTGGGGTAGCTCGACGGAAAAATAAGAATGGGCATATTTACGAATTCGTAGAATAGCCCTGAACCCCAGAAAAAATGCATCTTTTATACTTAAATTTTTTTAATTTACAAAAATGTCACATAAATTATTGTTAAACGAAATATTAATTAAAATTTCCATTTCGGAATTATTTTGTATGACAAAACCTTCAACTTGTCATAGGTTTTATAAAATTTTAACAATAAATGCGATAGTTATAAACAAATGAAAAAATGGGCACTTTTCTTGTTTTTTTGCAATAACTTTTTTGTTTATTAACCGATTTTAATTTAACTAGTCTCATTTTGTAGATAATTTTACTCCCTATAAGCTGTCTGTGAGTCACTTTTCGTTAAAATTGATGGTTTTCCCTGCAAAGTGAAAAAATTGTTTTTCTCATTTGTTTAAATAGAAAAGTTAGCTAATAAAAGTTTTTGACTCACTAGACGAGAGATGTCTTATATTATGTTCCTTTAGACAATTTTACAATAATCTAGCGGATAGGGCTTTTTTCGAGTAAAAATTTAATTTGCTTGGTCTAATTGCATAATAGTTTTCACAAAGAAGCATTTCCGACCGTATTTTCTACACAGGGGAGTTCATCGTGAAATTATGTATACAGAGTGTCCCAAAATTAATGTGACACAGAGTAAGAGTAGATTCCTTACATCAAAATAGTGGGTTAGCTAAACTTACCTTAGTCTACTTCTGGAAAATAAAACAGTGTGTTAAAGTTAAAATGTTGAATTCAAAATTCTTAAAATATGTAGAATGTTTTCAAAGAATTACTTTGAAAATTTGGATTCGGAAGTTTTCTGGGTACAGGAAAACGAATCTGGATTTAACTATGCTGTCGACACTAGATGTCGCTACAGAATGTATTCTGGGTTGATAAAAATTGGTCATAACTTTGCGATTTAATTTTCAATATATGGTTTGTACTTAGATATTAAATATGTACGCTGGTACAATGGATTTAAATCTGGAATCCGTGCGGGTCATGGAAACGTGCTGGCACCGTTGGGGAAATTGTGCGTTAGGATATAGTTTCGCACCTGTACAGGAAAATGGGCAGGAGTAACGTCTTGCATAAAGAACATATTCTGTCTCACATTTAATGGTGGTAAAACATCAAGAACTTCTAGAAAATCATGTTGTAGGAAATGTAAGCACGAACGGCCATTCAGATTATATGGCAATTCAACAGGGCCAAACACATGATTTCCAACAATGCCACACCAAATGTTTATTTTAAATTCATGAAAATGAAGTTCTCTGCGGATTTTCATTGTCCCAAATATGTTTATTTCTGTAGTTAAAAACGCCCCGACGAGTAAATGTGGCTTCGTCTGTAAATATCACCTTGCTTAAAAAGTTTGGATCATCATTATGCCGGTCTGAGAATCGAAGACAAAATTGTTTTCTAGTAAATGTACTGGGTAAAGTGATACGGATACAGTTTGAACCATTTGAATATAGCATTTCTTTCCTATTTCTAATTCTTACTGCAAAATGTATATATTTTTATAAAGTAGGTCTTTAAATGCAGTTTGATCCTAATTTTCATTTCTTGGTGTTGACACTCATTTTCATATGGTACGCGGATTTTCAGGAAAAGGTCAAGCTCCAGCAAGAATGGATCTCGGACTTGTCCGACCAGAACGAAATGCTTGTGAGAGCTGTGGAAGAACTAGAACACGAAGCCACCGAAAGAGTGCGGATTTTGGAAGATAAATTGCAAAAAAGTGCCCAATGTCTTTGCGAGGTAAGAAAACACAATGATTTGTAAGAAACATCGTGTCCTAAATGTTCTCATTTTTTTAAGTTTGCAATGGCGTAGATATAAAAACGCTAAAAACGAGGAAAATTAAAAAAAACAATTTATATTTTTTTTGGAAAATATACCTATAAAGTTTATTCTAATTTAGATCTTTTTATAGTTATTTTTCGTGATTCCTGCCTTGAATAGTGAATAGCTCCCTTGCCCAAACTGATTCCATTAAAACAGTTGAGAGCAAATAATAAAATATGATATATTTTAATTTTAAACCAAACAGATGTTAGTACATATTTGTCTTTTTGCTTCAAGCAAGTCAATTTTTATCGAAACTAGTCTTCATCAAGTCGATTCATTAAATGCAAAGAATCCACGAGACGTTCCAAGTGCTAGAAATTAACAAAAATAAAAAACATAGCCTCATATATTTAAGAACTAACCCCACTACCTCATCTACCCACTCCTCTCTCTTCGCCTCCAGTGAAATCCCGACCTGACTTTAAAAAAATTATCCGACACCAGTAAGTTCTCCTCATAACCTTAAAAATCGACGATGATGCCACGTAATTTTTCTGCAGGTGATGAAGAGGTACCGCGAGTATGACGTTACCAATAACTTACTAGCTGAACCTTTGCAGAAGATGTTTACCTTAGAGAGCGACCAGAAGAACCTGGTGGAGTTCATCAGGAGGGTCCGGGAAGAGCAGAAGTGGAGCGTGGGCGGACTCAAGTTCTTCGATATTACCTACAAGGACTTATTCGGGTCCGCGAAGTCGGAGGGGGACTATTGTGACGTAAAATGTAAAGATGAGTACGTATTTGACTTATCGCTTGTAAATATTTTACACTGTTTAATAATTGGAAATACTTAAGACGTTGATATGTTCTTTTTTAAATTTTCCAGGTGTCCCATCAAAAGCCCTGCCAAGGTATGCAAAAAAAGAGTATCTTTTTCCCCCCCTTGTTGAATCCCCACGCAGCCAATACTAACGTGATCCTTAATCCTTGTAATCCATGTAACAGCATCCATAATTAAATTATCCCACTTCTGATGTTGTTTTATTTCACGCTGATATTAAATAAACGTGCGTTTTTCATCACACTTAGCAAACGTTGTATGTTTCAGGAGCAGGAGAAGTTAAAAATCAGGGAAAGGTAGGTACTGGTCGGTCACAGACCGTTGGGCAACTAAAACAATTCTTTTTCGCAGCTCAATCAAGGAACTGGAGGTGCAAATCGACTACTTCAAGTCCTTCGGTGACGTGGAAGGCATGGCGAAGGAGCTCAAATGCAAAAGGGCTGAATGTGAGAATCTCAAAACGGTAAGAGTCTTTCCGCATTATTTGTTCTGTAATAAACATTTCACGTCCGTTCTTTTTAACCCGTATCCCGCGAACCGAATCTCGCGTTTTCGACCGAAAAGGAGCCCTAGGTAATACGAGTCACCATTATAAATATCGTTAATCTAACACTGTTTTGTTTTAGAGTATGACGGACAGTCAGCAAGCTTTGGTGGAGGAGATTGCCTCGAAGCACGACCAAATAATGCAGCTGAGGAGGGACTGCCAGCAGCTGGAGGAGAGGTGCATACAGGCGGACAAACAGACGGCTTTCAGGGACGATATCATCAAGGAGCTGAGGAAGGAGATCAAGCAGCTGAAACAACAGGTGAGTGGGGTTGATCTGCGGAAATAGACGTCGAGGTTTAGATCTGGAATAGTTTTTTTGATGTCTGTTATCTTGGCGGGGGAAAATACCCGGGGATGCAATTTTTTCTGGTGAATTTTCATTCAGAAGCACACGTTGTCCGGGAAAGAAATTTTTGTAAAAATGACTAGATGAGTTTTCACAAAATACTAGGAACAGCAAAATGCATTTTCTACTAAAAATTCTTGGTTTTTTCTGCTAAGTTTTTCCTTGTAAGTAACCAAACGAAATGCGGTTAATCCTTTCCTACTGGATTATAGATGGTGATCAGAGAGAATAAGCGGTAAATTTAAATTAGAATCGATTCTCCTTTAATAAATTATTATCAATCCACCAAACTCAAATCGGACAAAAATAGTAAATTTAAGCAGGTATATCGGGGTCCGAGGGAAGTAAGGAGCGCAGGGGGGTCCTATGCTTTTCTTATGGGACTAAAACCCACTGCCTATTTGAAAAAATTAAATTCTATTGAAATTATTTGCGATAAACATTATCTATATCGCCAAGAAATCTACTCATATGCACATAGCATATATATTGACTAATTAACAACATAAAAATATCATTTAAGTAGTTTTAAATTATATTTAATGAACGCATAAAAACTATGTAAATGTGGCAACAGCGCTAATAATTGACTAGCAGTTGTACACACTGCGAACCTACAGACCTCGGACATCGGAGATATTGCGCGTCAAATTCGGGTAAAGATGCGTACGCGTTCAAAAATGTATTGTGAGTAAACTATGTACAATATAATTATTATATATAGCAAATATATCGTATTATCCTCGCGAGGATTTATTTAAAATCCGTAAATCATGTGAACTGGTAAAACAACGAGAATTATGTTAATTTAGTACTAAAGAAATGAAATGATACTCGCGCCCATCTCTCGTCCAAGTCGAAGAAAATGGATGCAATTTTGAAGGTTCTGTGATAGAAATTACAATATTACTCACCGTTTGTGTTTTTAATCTCTATTTTAGTAATGTTACAAAAGTTTTGCAACTGTAACTAATTTTTTAGATATAAAGTTGTTCCTTTGTTATTACGTACAAATGCTTTTATCTCAAGTATTACTAATTATATTAATCAAGTAAAAAAAACTTTATGTAACCCTAAATATTGCTGGGTACTGATTACGATGTTTTTATAAACCATTAAATATATTAAAAGGATTTATCAACTGTATTTTTTATTCCAATAAATATATCACAGCTTCCTAGTCTTTTTTAATTAATCTAGTTTTTAAAAACATTACGAAAAATCATCTGTTGTGGATAATTTATTGTTGATAATAATGTACATGGGATTTAGGAAAAATGTACATGTTTGAAATCAATTTCGTTTTTATCAAGTCTTTCAAATGTATTCCCTCCTTGCTGTCGGCTGATTGCGACGTTGCCACATTAATTGTCAAGTCAGACAGAAATGCAATTATTGGTTTCTGTTTCTAATTAATACAGCTGTACTATATTCAAAACTTACATTAGTTTTATATCAAAAATAAGATAATACTATCTAAGTTTTGTTTCACAATTTCTACATTTTTTTCTCAGTTATGGGCAAAAAAGAGCCGCACCGTCCATCTTCGCCATATATATAAACCTATGTTAAAATGAACAACTTTCAACGAAAATATCTCAAAATCTAGATTCAAACATTTTTTTTTAAAATACGACCCACAGAGGGAGCACTGGCTAATACGCTATATACATTTCAAGTACATCTATGCATTTGAGTAAACCCGATATACCTTAAATGAAGAAAGTTACAAGAAAGTTACGAAACATTAAGAAATTTTTCAAAACTGTTATAAAACTGCTGTTTTTTTAAGGGTGTTTCGAGTTATTTTAATGTATTTCTCAGCTAATTCGAAGTAATTTTATACGTTGTTAAACTACTTTGAATTATTTTGTTGTATGTATTATAAAGCCGTTTTAATACATTTTAATGGTTTCTGAAGCCGTTCGACATACTTACTAGTGATTTTGATTGTTTTTTGAATTACTAAAAAGCTGATTAGGCAAATTTTGTATCACTCCAGTCGAATTAGTTCATAAAACCTGAAAACTTGAAAAAATTATTAGTAGACATCGTGAACCGAATTTGAAACGTTCAAGTCAAAAATCTCGCGCGACGAGAGCGACATTCACGCGCATGTGCGGGCCCGGCGCTCCTTCTCCTGCGTGCAGGCTCATTAACGTTAATTTTTACTGCTCCTAGCGCGTTTATTAAATGAACTATCAATGTAAAACTTTCTGAAAATAAAAATTTAACCCTTTCTTTAATTGTCTCTAAAATCCCGGTCCGATACGTCCAATAGTTAATTAACAATTGACATTATGTGAAAAAGCTATCTTGAGAACAAAGAGGCGTAGGTGATTTCTACTTTTTTTTTAATTACCGTAAAAATAGCTCTATTTAATGCAAAAAGAGCGAATTCTCGAGCGGCTTTTGCCTGACCATGGGACAATTTGTTTATAAAGCTGGTTTGCATGTCCTACTTTGATAGTTATAAGCTTTCTCTAAAAATCAAGCAAAAAAAGTACTTTTATTGTTCCTTTTTGTCCATAAGCACATTTTTAATACACTCTTTTGTACAACTAGTTGTAAATAAAAAAAAAAAAAAGATTAGTTTCACCAAATATTCCCCCCATGTTCAAATTCTTTATAAAAATGCCCTTACCATTAGAGATTACCGATCGAGGACTTTTCCAATTACCTTCCCCTTTCCCTCCCCTCTAGAAATTCGTCCCTGACATGCCGGTGAAAATTAAACCGTCCCTTGACAGTACCAGGAGGAGCTCTACGGCAGAGCCTTACTTGGTCATCAACCACACGAGAAAAATCGTCCAGTCGGGACGGTCCACCGTTATATACCTGAGGAAGGAAGACGAGGAGAAACCTGAACAAAAATTCGCGAAGAACCTGAAGACCTTGTACGAGAAGCAAGCCTTCTTCTGCTACAACTGCAGGCAGAAGTTCGAAACTGACTTTGTAGTCCAGCAGGTCACTGGGCGTAAGATGAACACCGAAATCAGTGAGGAAAGCGACGACGGAAAACCGTTGCACCTGTGTAGGTCGGAGAACGATTTGTACGACTTTAAAAAACTGTTAAAACCGGTCAAGGACCGTTCGAAATTCACGTCCACCACGTTAGGTAGATGTAACACGTTCGTAGGTAGTACTAAAGATGTTCTGAAGAACATCGATTTCGAGGCTAGGCTCAGGCAAAGGAACGTTTCCGTTCCAAACCACGTTCCTGTCAAGTTGCATGTAAATAATATAGAAAGCAATAAAAATAAACGTTATTAATACCAACCAGACAACGCCTGTTACTTTAAATTAACATCTAGTAGGGTAAAGAAAGAGGTCTTGCAAGTGTTTCGAACAACAAACATATTTTTAGGGCATCCAAGAGCAGCGCGAAGAAATCCAGACGTTGCTGGAGAAGGTTATAATCTTGGTAAGAGTAAATTGCACATAAGTATCTTCCCTGGGTAGTTCAAATGTAACAGTATATTTGAACTACTTAAATTAACAATGAAATCATTATTTCTCAGGAAAGCGAGAACGAATTGATTAAATACGATGTTAAGAAATCTATCGGCGCCCTACAAGAGAAATTAAACCAATCCCAGGATAAAACTCGCAGCGTTTGCGAAGTCCGAGGTTTAGTTTTAGAATTAAGCAGCATTGTCGAAAACTTGGGCGCCAACCACAAAATAATAAACGATCCGTCAGTGTCTGACTTTGTAGACTTAAATTGTGTTATCGAAGTGAAAGATAACCAGCTGAGGAACCAATTGGACTTGATTAAAATATTGGTTGTCAAATTGTATAACATCGACCGAGGATTAGAAATTTTGGAAGGAAGGGCGTCGTCAGTAGTATGAAGCCATAATAATTATGGTTTTTAGGACGTCAAATTTGCGTAGATACAAATTCACTTGACGTCCCAAAATAATTTTTGTATCTTAAATTAATATAAATGCTTTTGTAGTGTGAGATAAATGAAGGAAATTACTTAATGAAGAAAAAGAAAACGATATGACAAATAAAGAAGTTGGAGAAGAAAAATCACCTGTCAAACAAAACAATAATTGTGATAAGTTAAGGATAGATAGAAAACTCGAGGAAATAAAAATAATACATAGTGCTTGAATTGATAAAAAGTTTGTTAGAATAAATAAAAGTTTTGAAGCATTAAGGAAATTTATCTAATGTCTTTGGAAACTACAAAGAATTAATTCGAATTTGAAATGACAGTCTGTTACACTAATGGTGTGGGAAACAACTGCTCTGCGGACTAAAACCCCGATCAGTATTGACAAGAGGGTAGTTTCCTTCAACCACAAAGAAAGTGTAGATGTTAATCAAAAGGAATTTCAATTTGAAATTTTATTTTACGTATGTGACGTCACTAAGCGAAAAATTAGGAATAATCATTCGATTCCGCACCGTTTTTTTAGGTAAGCTTCTATAAATCCAAAGTTTCCGCGTTCGCCGCTAGAAGTCGCTACGGTCTCAGATAACCGAAGGAAAGGGAGATACCACCATTGCCAGATTGGGCGATTTGTCACAAATTAAATGATTTTTCGCTTGAAACGTCTTGTAAAGTAATTTATGCACCTAATATCCCAATTAAAATCATATTATTTGAAAATTTTGATAACTGAAAACCTAATTTATATTTTATGGGTTCGCTTAAATAACTTTTTCAATTTATAAACCAGCAACTGCTAATATTTAGAACCTCGAATCATGATTTTGCATTATTTATTGCAATTTGCAAATAGATATTGTTTTATTATTGCATTGTTTATACTTTTTTACATCATATATTAAATTTTATTGAGAAAACGACGTAATATCAGAAAATAATCATCTCGTGCTAATGTGTACATGTTTTTTGCGATAAACTTATTGAATGTGTCGCGAATACCTTGTTGGAATTTTTTTCGATTTCAATAGCATTGGACATAACAAATTACTGCAAAAGGTACTGGGGAATCTTCAAGTTGAATAACTTCGTTTCTCAAAGAAAGAAACCGGTATGTTAATCTTTCAAGTACACGGAATGGAATCGTGATTGGGGTGTACAGCAGGGATCAGTTCTGGGCCCCGTTCGGTTTATACTGTACACAAATGATGGCTCTGTAACAGACGATCAGTCTCTAATGTTTTCTAATGAATCAGATAAAGTGTATAAAATTTTCGCTTAATGACATCACATCCATGTTTTAATTTTCTTATGGACTTCAGTGAAGTCAAAATGAAAAGGAAAAATGCGGGTCTTATATTTTTAAATTTATTTTTAATTTGTGATGTAATTAAAAAGTTGGAAACCACCCACTTGAATAGCGGTGACAATTAACCCTCAGAGGTCACACTTGGGGTGGGCCACCTTAATGGTCACACTAGTGCGAATTGGGATTTTGTCGACTTTGAACCTTTATGTCTTCTTTATTTGTTAACGAAAACATAACGTATTTATATCAAATGTGGGGTAAAAAAAACGGTGGTGCGAATTCGCACTAGTGTGACTTTTGAGGGTTAATGTTACCCACAACATTTGTTTTTTCTCCGATTCTGCTATTGGCACACACTATGGACTACTATTCGCCGTTTTCTGATTGATTTAATCTTTTTGCAGTGTTGTAGGGAAAAAGAAGCGCAAAGAGAAACTTTAATAATCAGGGTAACTTTTTTCAATTAAGCATACATTGCAGTGATCAGATTTATCGCATTTACAGGCCAAGTCGTTAGAACAAAAAAATGTCAGCTTAGAATCTACATTAAAAGAAGACAAAGATCAAATAAACAAATTGGAAAGGAAATTTTGTCAATTTGTATGTCCGCTCGTAGAAAACCGCCTAAAACCTACTTTTTGATTTTCATTTTTTTTTAAGTATAGTTAAAAGACAAAGAAGCGCTAAAGCAAAAACACAGAGAGTATGAAAGCAGGTACAATTGCCTATGCGAGGAAAACGACAAACAAAAGATAGAGATCGATTATTTGAAAAAAATGAGCGTAAGGTAATTTTTCGGCAGATTTTTCTTAGCATTTAATGCGTTCAATATAACTTCAGATTCTGCTGGAAAACGACTTAAAAACGGCAAGAGAAGCCATGACAAACTTTCAACACAAGTCGGTAATAAAATTCATAAAAACACTCGAATTAAGTTGAGTTAGTAATTTTTTTAGGACAACTGTAATTGTAGAATACTAGAACTGACGAGGGAAAACGAAAAGATAATGAAAGAAATGGTGGAGCTAAACGAAGAGGTAAAGACTGCCTGGTTTTTTTAATTTATTAAAATCACTAGTTTAATACAGAACCAAAGATTAAAATTGTTGGTTATTTCAGAACCGAAATTTATTAAAAACGCTCGAAATTCAGAAGAGAAGGATAGATAACACTACAAGAGTAAGTGTTCCCACCATTTTGTGTACACTACGACTAGACGAAAACTTCATCCATGTTCCCAAATCCTATACCATAATTCAAATATTTATATTCCATTTATACAACTGTCTCATTTTATTTTATGTACACAGCTGACTCAGGAGGAGGTCGTGAAACTAAAATGTACGATCGACGACCTCCAGATGAACCTGCAGAAAACACAGGAAGTGAGGGAAGAAGAAGAAGCGGTAAGTAATCACAGCGCGACAGAGAAGAATCAAATTTGTAACAGAAAGTTTTATTTTTTTAGAGGAATCAAGCAAACTTGTTGAAGTTGAAGAACACCATCCATTCGCTGAAGTCTGCACTCGAAGAAGCCGAAGCGAAGTATGAGAAAGACGTCAAGGTCAGTTGGGTAACACTCGTGCCTGTATTTTCCTAATTAAAACTAACTTTCAGGCTTGCAAGATTTGTAAAAGGCGTTCTAAAGTTGGATTTTTAGAAAACGTAGAGGTTAGTGCAAAATATTAATCTGACATTCATGTTTTTGAAATCAAATAACTTCACTTAAACTCTGTCTACGCTCTTACTGGGCAGTGTTGCCCGTTACTTTTCTAAAACGACTGTATGAAACGTATGTATGAAATGTTTTGGATAATCAACGATTACTTTGCAAATATTGTGAAAAGTGCCAATGTTTGTAGCAGGTTTACTGCTCTTTAAACATCAATTACAGATTCTTCTCTTCAAATATCGAAAAAATAAATTCAAAATTTTGAAAAAAAAAATTAAATTTTGAAATAAACATCAAATTTTTCCAAATTTTAAAAAATTTGTTTGCCTTATTTTTTTATAATTTTACATTAATATTTAAATGTCCAGAAAATTGTTGTTTTAGATTCTTTGAAATATTTTTTTTTGTTTGATGAGTATTTAACGCGAATTTGTGAGAAAAATATCCCAAAAAAAATTCTTTCATCTTAATCATCAATTGATTCTCATCAAATATCGAAAATATAAATTCAAAATTTTGAAACAAACAAAAATAAAATTTTGAAAAAAATTATTTTTCCAAATTAAAAAAAAAAAATTGCGCCATCTCTTATACAATCTATCTTATCTAGAATATTTCAAAAGTCCAGAAAAATTTGAAATTGAAATATTTTGAAAATTTTATTTTTTTCAAAAATATTTTATTTTTCAATATTTGATGAGTATTTAACGCGAATTTGGGGAAAATAACAAAAAAATTTCATTCGTCCTAATCCTCAATTGATTCTCATCAAATATCGAAAATATAAATCCAATATTTTGAAAATAAAAAATATTCAGATTATTCAAAATTTAAAAAAAAAATTTTGCGCTCTACAATTTTTTTTTATTTCAAATGTCCAGAAAAATTTAAAATTGAAAAAAAATTCTTTCATCTTAATCACCAATTCTCATCAAATATCGAAAATATAAATTCAAAATTTTGAAACAAACAAAAATTATATTTTTAAAAAAATCAATTTTTCCAAATTAAAAAAAAATTGCGTTATCTTTTTTACAATTTTACCTAGAATATTTCAAATGTCCGGAAAAATTTGCAATTGAAAAATTTTGATTTTTTTTTTCAAAAATTTTATTTTAATTATCAATCTTTGATGAGTATTTAACGCGAAATTGTGAAAATAACCCAATATTCAAAATTTTGAAACAAAAAAATTAAATTTTGGAAAAAATTCAATTTTTCCAAATTAAAAAAAATTTTTTTGCGTTATCAATTTTACAAATTTACATTGAATATTTCAAATGTCCAGAAAAATATATTTTTATTAATTGAAAATTTTTTTTTCAAAAATTTTATTTTATTTTTCAATATTCTTTGATCAGTTTTTTAAAGCGAAATTGTGAAAAAAATAACCAAAAAAAATTTGCTTCATCTCAATCAACAATTGATGCTCATCAAATATCGAAAATATGAATTCAAAATTTTGAGTCAATTTTGAAAAATAATAAATTTTGAAAATTTCGATTTTTTTTTCAATATTCAGCTTCATATTCAATGTTGATTGCGTCGAGAGTGATGCTCAAAAAAATTTTTCCTCGAGATTTGAAAACTAGAATTTTCAAGCTTCAAGATGTTTTTTTTTTCTCGATACGATCATTATTCACGAAGTTACAGACTAAAAAATCACAAAAAAAATTTGTGGAAATTTTTCTGCTCCTTTAATTTTTTTGCCGAGTGTATTAATACTATTTCTTTTAAAGCACTGGGTTTAGTTTATAAATCTTAGTGTCAATGACCCCCCGACATTGGTCTAGTTCATGTGTACTACTTAATAAGAATCCACCTGATGTGATATGACAACAGGGCGCTAGACGGTTAATAAATAAACGTATAATTTTTATTCGGCGAAGGAGAAGAACTGAATATGTCACCGCTTCATTTTATTACATCTATTTCAATTTTCAGTCTCTCATGTTATGTTTTCCAGAAATCCCCCTTTAAAAATTACGCCCTGTACACTTTGTGTATTCTAATTTTCACGAATCGCTTAGTATATATTTTTAACCGTTTAAGGCACATCGCGTGTCAAAGTTATCAAAAATTTAATCTTAGCTGTACCGGAAACAAAGAGGCTGAGCTAAAAATAGAGTTTTATCTTTTCCTTCCTTCCAAAATTGAGAATGAAAAGAATCGTTACCGAGCTCTCAGGAGGTTCATACGTCTTATTTAATTTTAATAGTGCCGTAACACTGTACTCGAAATAGTCCACTAGTCCACTATTATCGTTCTATTCTTAGACGCGTTTCTTCATCCCGTCGTTTCGTTTTCTAGGTCCAGGTCCAATTTGATGAGGAGCAATTAGAGAAACAAATGGAAGCGGTAAGTGCAGTACATCGCAGTAGGCCCTGTTTATTTTAATCAGTTGATATCGATGGATGTTGATTTCGACATGTTTCAGCTCGAGAACAAGGAAGAAATAATTAAGGTTCAGGGCAACACTTTGGACTTGATGCAGCAGGAGTTGCTGGCGCTGAAGCAGGCGGAGTTTGAGGTTAGGAAGGACAGGGACAAGATGTGCCAGGAGATGCAGTCGTTGAGGGAGAAGGTCGCCGATTTGGAGAACGAGTTGAAGAATTCGGAGGAGAAGGCCGCTAATTTGCAGATGGCTGTGAGTTTACCGTTTTCGTATTTAGCGCATTTCTAACTAATTTATATTATTTTTAAATGTAAAACCATCCTTGGTAAGGTCATTACCACCTAGATTATAAAGCCTCAACGCTTCGCGCGTGACGTCACTACAGTGGTTACAAACACAACCTGCACCAAGTTTCATCTCTTGGGAAAACAGAGAACATGAATCCTAGGAGCATTTTTTACTACTTTTACTTTAAATCAGGGATGCACAGACTTATAGGGAACAGGGGCCACTCGGGAAAAATATAAGCCAAGGACGGGCCACTACAAACAATATTTATTAACACAAAATTTTTTATTTTTAAATAGTATGAAATACAATGATAAAAATAAAATAACCTTCAAAAATGTTTGTTGTAATAATTATGTAATCATTACAATGTAATATTTCATGTTTTATTATTTTGATGCATGACATTGCATTGAACTAACAAGTTTTTTTATATTTGGCTCCACATTACTTGTAGCCACACGTATAATTGCTTCCAAATTTTCATTTGCCAGACGGTTTCGGTTTTTCGTTTTGTTAAGTTTCATCACTGAAAACGTTTGTTCACAAATATACGTCGATCCAAATAAGCTTGCGCATTTCAATGCATTTATTCGCAACTCTTTATAAGCGTTTTTATCAACGCAACGGTAGAAGTTGAGTAAATTACCTTCATTAAATTTGTTTCTTAAATTATCATCATTTTGCATGTCTATTAATTCCAGCTGCATTAATTCCGGCGCATTTTCGGGTGAAATGTTGAAAGGATTGCTGAAAATGTCCAATAGCGGTTTAACTTTTTTGAAGTCTACAAAACGATTTTCAAAAGCTTGTATCAAAATATCAATTTTTTCAACATGAGCGAAATTGACGTCAGTTTTATTGAACTTCTCCATAATTTTTTTGTAGTTCGGAAAATGGCCGTAATTGGCTGAATTGATTTGTGTCCTGAAAAGACTCAATTTGCATTGAAAGGACGAAACATGAGAGTATAGCTGCGAAATCAATTGATCTTTGCCTTGGAGTCGCGTATTTAAGACATTCAAGTGATTTGTGATGTCTACAAGAAACGCTAAGTCACACAGCCAATCAGGGTTGTCGAGTTCGGGGACGTCGTTTTTCTTTTCCGCCAGAAATAGTTGGATTTCTTCAATCAAGTTAAGAAATCGCTGTAGTGTCAACCCACGACTTAGCCACCTTACTTCAGTGTAAAACAGGAGATCACCATATTCGCTTTCAATATCCTCGAGAAATTGTTTGAATTGTCGGTGATTGAGACCTCGTGATTTTATAAAGTTTACGGTAGGTACTACAACTTTCATAACATTTTCAAATCCCAATAATTTTGAACAGAGGGCCTCTTGATGTATAATACAATGAAACTGCATTAATTCCTTGGTATTTATGTTTTTAGTTTGTAAATATGTTTTTAACAGAGTTACTATCCCAGATGTACTTCCAACCATTGAAGGTGCTCCGTCAGTTGTAATTCCAGATATTTTCGTTAAATCCAAATCCATTATAGAACATTTTTCTAGAAGAGCTTTGAGCATGTCACTTCCCCTGGTTTGACTTGTCAAAGAACTCATACCAATCAGTTCTTCACTCACTTCAAAATTTTGCGTTACACCTCGTAAAAATATTAATAGTTGAGCAGTTGAACTTATATCTGTAGATTCGTCGAGCGCTATAGAAAAATACTCAAAACTTCTCGATTTCGTAGCTAATTGCTCTTCTATATTATCTGCTAATGCGGTAATTCTTCTTTGAACAGTCATCCGATTTAACTGAATTTTTTCAAACTTCTTTACATTTTCCGGACAATTTTTTTTTGCGGCGATATCCAAACATTGCTTAACAAACTCACCATCTTTAAAAGGCCGACAAGTTTTCGCTATTATTCCAGATATTTCAAAACTAACTTCAGTGGCTGTTTCAGCATCTTGAATTGGTTTTGTAAACATAGATTGCTGGCCTATTAGTTCCCGTTGTAAAGTGGAAATTCTTTGCGTCTAATCCCGGCGTGCCTCAAGGCTCTAACTTAGGGCCACTTCTTTTTATCTTGTTTGTCAATGACCTATTTTATCTCTTAATTCTTGTAATTGTTTCTTTTTTTATGTACTGATGATTGTATTAGACTTTTGAAAGTTGTGGATTTAATTTTAATAATAATAAATGCAAAATCACACGCAAATTGCAACCACTAACTTTTTAAAATTCTTTAAACTGGCTTCCTCTAGTACCGATGTAATGAGATGAAATGTATTGGCATGGTAGCTTTGAAATGCCTGAAATTTTGCGTTAGTACGCTTTAAAATTGAATATTACAGTTTTATATGGATCCTCACTAAAATATTCACATCCAATAGATGGAAAAATGTAAATAGACTAGGCGGTATCTGTTTTGGTTTGGGCGAGTCGTATATCCACGGAGATTTTTGGCTTTTTGTCTTTCAGATATCACTAGATATGAAAATTTTGCTATGCGCAAAAAAACGTGGGCTTAACTTTTGGCGGCACAATATGTTAAAAAAATTCGAAAAATGTTATATTTTTCTTCCTATTTAATTATGTATCTTTTCAATAGTTGATTTTAGGCGAAAATGGAAGAGAAAAAAATATTTGTAATTAAATTTTTTACAAAATATGACTAGTTACAAATCGAATGAATCATGATTATTATTAATAGATTAAATTGGGTATAGGACCTTCATACTTGGCTCAAGAAAAGTTCATGTTATGTAGAATCATCACACCAAATTTAATCAAAATCGGTTTGATAGATTTTGCATAATAATTTTGCAATCTAGATTTTGAAAAATAAATTGTAAATTTTCAAAATTTTGCACATCAAAAACCAAGGTCCTTAGATACTTGAAAATTTAATCATATACAGGGTGGTCCGAATTTTATGCAGGAAACTTCGAGGGCAGATAGATCTCTTTAAAATAATCTGTGTTTGTCTTATAAACATAGAGGTCTGGAACGGCACCGTTTTAGAGATACAGGGTGTTGTTGTTGGACTTTTTGAAACGGATACCGTCTGGACAAAAAAGAATATGACTACAACTGGCAAAGATTTAGTATTCAATCGGTTAGTTTCAGAAGAATGCTTGGTAGTTCATAATTTTTACATAAATTATAACGAGCGTTCAAATAAAAACGTGGTCGAAGTTGGCTCTGACACATTGGACGTAGGGAGTAGCTTATAGCGACCAACTTAACCTCATTTCTCAACGAGCTGTATAGCAGCTGTCAGTTTCAATAACGTTAATGACTATAAAACTTTATTTTAAAGAATAATCGTGATGACAATAACAAACAATTAAAGGAGCTGCGGAAAGCGTCCCCCTCCTTGTTATAACAATAAATTAAAGCAGCTGCTGAAAGTGTCCCCCTCCTTGTTCCAAGCACTTTTCACACCTGTTCCTCAAAGAATTAAAGACATTTTCTAAGATGCTCGGGGTATTGTTAATTTCACGAATCTTGTCTATAAGTCGAGCCTGCAGATGGTTTAAATCAGGAATAGGCAGTTCAAAAATAGTGTTTTTAAGGTAAGGCCACAAAAAGAAATCACACGGCGTAATATCACATGACCTCGGTGGAAATTCATGTTCAGCATTGAGACTTATTAGTCGATTTTGGAAAACTTCCCTCAACATATTCATCGTCTCGCCTGCCGTATGTGCCCTTGCGCCATCTTGTTGAAAGTAAAAGTTTGTAATTTCGTTTTCTTCCAGCTGGTTAACAAAAGGAGCGATAATTTCTTCTCTATACCTTTGCGCAGTAAGAGTACCATTAAAAAAAATAGGTCCATAAATCCTCCTTCGATTGAGAGCACACCAAACTCCAATTTTTTGAGCGTGTAGAGGGCCCTCGACAAAAAAGTTATCTGGTTTTTCAGAAGACCACATTCTCATATTCTGTGAGTTTACGTAACCACTTAAATGAAACCAGGCTTCATCAGAAAAAAAGGTGATATTATGAAGTTCACCGTAGTTGTTTAAAAACCATTCACAAAATACAGCCCGTCGCGGAAAATCAACTTCATGAAGTTCTTGCTGACAAGTTAAACGATAGGAGAACAAACGCAAATCTTTTTTTAACACTGTGTGGCAGGTACCGACTGATACTCCCACCATTTGTGATAAAACACGTACAGAAGTTCTTGGCGCATTTTCCATTATTTGTTGGACATTTTCTTTTAATTCTTCAGTCCGCTTTTTAGGTCGGCCGCTTCCTTCTTTTCTTGTTACACTGCCCGTTTCACGAAAAACATTAACACAACGCTGAACTGCACTTTGAAAAATTTTGTACTCAACAACGCCGGGAAATTGATTTTGAAATTCTATGAAACATTCCTCAATAGAATACTTCCATATTCCATCAATCTTGCGTCCATTTCTAAAGTAGGACTCTATGATAAACACTTTTTGTTCTTGAGAAAACACCATTTTAAACGCTTTTTAAAACGAAAATATTCAAATTGATAGCGGCGATATAGCGCTTTGACAGATGACGTTTAAGTTCATTTGCTATACGCTACGTCCTACGTCCAAATTTTCAGAACCAACTTGACCACGTTCTTATTTGATCGCTCGTTATTATAGTGTCATTGGAAGAGATTCTGTTCGGTTGGTTCAGTAAATACAATTAAGAACTCACCAAACCACCGTTAGTGACGTCACAAACATATAGCGCGTCAGCTTTATAGAAGGTAATGTTTTTAGTTACATTTCAAACAGCCTTAAATGTAGATAGATTACGCTTTACTCTAAACGCTTTGTTATTTACGCTTGTTACGCCTTATTTTAACCGAGATATCTCACAAACAGGTGGATTTATACTTAAATTCTATCAACGTGCTGGAAGCGTCCCAGGAAAAGTATAAGATGGAGGTAAGTCGAAGCCGCGTAAATTTATTTTATTTGGAAAGGTGTTTTGACTGAGAAAATTTTAAATTAGATTAAAATAATTATTTTTTCAATGTTTCTGTATCTCTGTGCAGATCGACCACCAGAAATGCACGATATTCAACTTGCAGAAGGTCCTGGTGACCACCAAGCAGGAACTGGACGAATTGAAACATAAGTCCGAGGAAAACGTGAGTTTAAGTTGGGCTGCGCGTTGGTTTGGCTCGTCAGATCCCAAACCGCCGAATAATAATGACAAAAAACCGGTGCATGACGTTTGACATACCCCATTAATATTAATACCCGATTAACAGATATTTTTTTTTTGTATTTTAATCGTTTATATTTCTAAAGGTGTAATGGAATATTTCCCTATATATAATGTGCTACGACTCTTTTTGCTGGGAAGAAAAATTTAATTCAATAGTTAGTGTAGATTTTAACCTAACTTTCTCTCTTCTAGAACCCATTTTTATCATTGCAAGGTTGCCAAAAGTGCCTTTTTCACTACAACTTTTATGATGTAATTTTATTTGATTTACCGGAACGAAAACTAACGGGTGCTATTGTTTTGTATTACGTCAATGACACTTCATTTTAATCTTTACATTCATTTTCATGTTTATTTTCTTTTGACTGTTCTTTAAATAGGATTTAACCGCATAACTTTGTCCGTAGGAAATATAACCGCTCCGTAACAATAAATTACATACTAATACGTGTATATTCCCCAAACTAATGACTTATTAGCTTGTATTATTTATTTTTGCTGTCCGGAGTTACCATGTAATATTTATTATTTAAGTGATGTAGTAATTTATTGTGTATTCTACTAATTATTAATGATTTGTAATGAAAATGTACTTAAAATAACAATTGGCTGCCGTTTTAGTACAAATGACAAAAGAATAAATTATTTTTTCCATCAGGTATTTTTTTATTTTCCTTTGTTACTGCCGGCATGTATTTCGAGTAGGCTATTATACCCGAGTGCATGTAAGTAATCTTAGCGATCGTTCGATTTTTCGACGTCTCACTCGATGAAAACGTTTCTAGCAACAACAGCAACAGGCGCTCGTCGATTGTTTCAACGCGGTTCTATCCGACATGGAGCATACGAAAGACAACCTAGTGCAACAGGTACGCATAACAATTATTGCGATGTTCGATTGTTTTTCTGGTTGCGTATTTTTGAAAGCTGACATTTTAACGTGTTTGCAGTACGAATGCGTGTCGGGGGAATATGGACAACTCCAAGAGCTCAATTATGACTTGGAAGTGGAGCATTGCGACAGCTTGCAAGACGTTGACGTTTTGGAAAATCAACTATTTAAGTACCAAACGCTATTGAGGTCGTCAGAGGTATATTCTGTAGTCAAAGTGGTTGTGTAATTGCATGCATAGTGATGCTTTAGTTGCCTTTGCTCCGAAAGGTTGGGGTAAACGAGACTTAACACGTTTTTGATATTCCAGGACGCGATAAAGCAATACAAAGGCCATATGAGAAAGTTGTTGAAACAGAAAAAGGGCTACGAAGAAGTGATAAGCTATTTCAAGGAGGAGATGACGATAATGGCGGACCAGTTGTGTAATTTACAGGAATTATTGGTGAGTGAGATATTTATATTTTTTTAAATTCGATTTTCGCTTAAAGAAAATATTTTCACTTCGTTTAATGTTCACAAGAACCGCTAAATTTCCGTATTAAGATCGATTTTTTGAGTGCTCTAAGTGAATTGGTTTGTTTCTATTGGTAAGTATTGTGAATAGAACAAAAATGTTGTATAGTGCAGTCATACAATAAAAAATACAAAGTAAAATCGTTTTTAAATTCGCTAAAATAATTCTTCGTATAAGGCGATAGTTTTTAATAGTAGCGCGAAGTTTTTTTGGAAACGAACGAAAAAATTTAAAGTATAATTTCATTTCGTCAGTGTTAAAATACATACAGGGTGGTCAAATGAAAACGAAACAGAGCAATTTTCAGGAACTGCGTCAAGATTGTAGAAAAACGCGCAGACCCGTCGATTTTAGATTAAAGGGGGACATTATTTGCTGGTAAAACATTTGCATGGCGTTGGGGGTTGAGTAATATTTCTTTTGAAAGCTCTTACAATTCTCTTTACAATTTTATAATTTCGCCCAATATTTCGAAAAAAATTATATTATGTTTAGTTGCTTACTTACTACTTAGTTGATTAAATGTTCAAACTGATGACCGCCCGCTTCCATACACGAATAATGATTTTGTTCGAAACGTTCGCGCACATTTCGAAGCATTTCCGGAGTGATTCGATGGCATTAGTCGACGATTCTTTGACGCAAATCTTCCAGCGGCGCTGGCTGTGTTTTATAGATTTTACTCGTTATTTATCCCCACAAAAAGAAATCAGGGGGCGATAAATCCGGTGATCGTGGAGGCCACTCAATGCTGCCTCTTCTCCCAATCCAATTCCGTAGAAAACGTTGGTCCAGATACTCACGGACAATTAACGCATAATGCGGAGGAGCACCGTCCTGTTGAAAAATCAAATGATCTTCATCATACTATTGGAACATTTTCAATAATATCAGTCAAGGCAGGGTCAATAGCGTCTTCCAGTAATTGCAAATACATTTAGCCAGTCAAATTACCAGGTAGAAAAAAAGGACCCACCAGCCGGCCACCGAAAATTCCAGCCCATACATTTAATTTTCCGGTTGCTGAGTATGCACCTCGTGAAAAACTCTTATGTTTGAATCGGACCAATAGCGGCAATTGTGACGATATACCGTCCTTCAAAAAAAAAAACTGCATTCATCAGAAAAACAGATGTTAAAAAGGAACTGTGGATCGTTTCCTGCTCTCTCACTCATTATTTCGCAAAACTGCAAACGGCGGTCATAATCATCCTCATGAAGTTCCTGGACTAAATGTATTTTGTATGGATGGAATTTATTCTTCTTCAAAATGGTTTGTATGCTAGTTCGATTGATCCCAGACACAGATGCCAGCTGCCTCGTACTTAATGTAGGATCAAGATGAACTTGTCCCAAAACTGCAACTTCACTAGTTTCATTAACTATACGTTTTTCAATTTCTCGTTTTTTATTGGCTACGTTCCCTGTCTCTCGAAATTTTGTTACTAACTCTAGAACATACTTCTTCTTGACATGTCGATCTTGATGTTGTTCATTAAATAGCTGAGCTGTTCTATTCGTACATTTATTGTTCATAAAGTAAAGCGAAATGATATCTACCCTTTCCGCAATGGAATAAACCATAGTGTTGAATTTTCAAAAACACAATTAAATAAACTACCAACCAACGCTTCCAAATAATACTAGAAAATAATTTGGAATCCACTAATTTTACGTTCATTGTGTGTGTATAGCATTAATTTCTGTTTTTCACAATTATGTTTTTTTATTTACGAAAGTGGTAACCAATCGCCAAAAACCAATGTAACGCAAGAAATACTAAATTTATACCTACCATTGGCGTACTTAATTCGAATGACAGACATTTTTACCGTTACTTATTGTTTGTACATAAGTTTCAACTTTAAAATCAAAATTCTTAATAAGTATTGGGCGGAATTATAAAATTTAAAGTCTGTTGTAAAGAGAATTGTAAGAGCTTTCAAAAGAAATATTACTCAACCCTCAATGCCATTTAAATATTTTGGGGTGATGCTTACCCTTGCTTGGTGGTGAAAGTGGCGGAGTCAAAAATACCAGCAAAGAATGTCCTCCTTGAATCTAAAATCGACAGGTCTGAGCGTTTTTCTACAATCTTGACGCAGTTCCTGAAAATTGCTCTGTTTCGTTTTCATTTGGCCACCCTGTATAATGAACCTATTTCACAAATTTTAATTTTATCTATAATAATAACATTTATTTCCAAAAGGATTCAGCTATCTACAGGGAATAAGAATAAATAATAGAGTATGTATACAGGGTGTTCCTAAATATCATGTACATAAGGGAAGGAGTAATTCTTTGGCTTATTTTATGACTAAAAGTTCCTATAAACATAAGTCCGCAAACGTTTCGCTACCGATCTACAGGGTGTTGAAATTTTAAGATTTTTTTAGTTTTTTCTCTATAGCTATAGAAAAAGAATAGATGGCATTACTACATAACCTCAAATATGACGAGAAACAGTGTTTTTTGCATTTTTAGGTTAGGATATCTCAAAAACCTGACGTGATAGAGCAATTCTGCGGCCAGATTCGGATTCAGCGCACCAAAACCCTTCGGGAATGCATATTAGTGTGTCTGCTTCTTGACCCTTGTTGACCTGTGTTATGATCGTAGAATCGAGTTCTGCGAGGTTATCATGGATAAATTTAACGAAAATGTCAACTTTGTCACCCACATATTATTTTCGGACGAATGTACATTTTGTTTTTCATAAAATTTAGAATATCCATTAAAAAATACATTGTTTCGTTTCATGTACTTTTATCGACCCTGAACTATTATGCTTTTCTATTTCCCGTAAAAAACTAATAATAAAATTAAATCATGTCTTTATCTTCCACCTTGTGTTATTTTCAAAATAAATATCCATAATTTGGGGCCCTTTTTCTTTTATAAAGTAGGTTACACCTCACAGAGCAACCTACGCTAGTAGTAGGCATTGGTCAGCAGCAATATCTAGCAAATATAGAGTAGTTTTTTGCAGCAAATTCATCAGCTAAGTATCTTGCTAAGGTTAGATATATTTTGCATAGATTTTTGATGTCAAAGGACATTATTTGCCTTCATTTACATTTAACATTAAGATTTATTATTGGCAAACCAATTGGCTATGACATTCACATTATTTTGCAATAACACAGTCATTAAAGTACTTTATTTTCTACAGAAACAAAAGTAAATTAATTTCCCCTTCTTTATTTCCTCGATCATTTATAAAAATCAAAAAGGCAGTGGTCCAAGGTTTGAGCCTTGAGGCACATCTAATAAAGTGACAAATGGTGGTGATCTATGGTAATTCTAGGTACTATCAAGAGAGATGGATTTATATTTACCATACCTTTCAACCAACGTTGTACACATTTATTTAAACTCATTATTAATTAAAAGGACCAGCGAGGAAACAGTTTCTCAATACCGTTCTCTGTCTTTTCAGACCCTCTCAAATGAGTCGACTCAAGAAGAGACCAACAAGCTGATGCAAGCCTTCATGAACGTGCAGTCCCTCAACGACAAGCTCTCCACGCAACTGACCGCCGCCGAGCAAAAAGTCCTGTTGGAAAATCAGATGAACCAGCTCCACGAGGCCAAAATCAACGAACTCCGGCAGATAATCAGCGAGAGAGACCTGGACCTGTCCCGCCACGACGACGCCATCTTGAACATAAGGCAGACACTGAAGTGCTCCCTGAAGCAAAACGAGGATCTCCAAGCCACCATCATCGCCCTACACGACACCATAGTTCCGCTCCAGGAAGCCATCAAGAAGTACGAGATGGAGAACTGCAAATCTAAAGAGAGCACCGAGATGTGCCAAACTCAGATAACGGCGTGCAGGGAGAAATTGGAGGAGTTGAAGAACGCCTTGGACAGGAAGACTAGCGAGTTGTTCAAGCTGGAGATGGCCTACAACGACCAGAATAGGGCGTTGAAGACGGCACAGGTAGAGCTGAAGCAGATGAAAGATCGGCAGAAGAATAAGCAGTGCCACATGAAGAGCACCATAGAGGTGTTGAGGGACAAGCTGGTGAAGGCGGAGGAGGATTTTTCCAAGCTGAGGGACGAGTTTGCCAAGGTGCAGGCCCAGTTGACCGCCTTGGCTAGGAAGGAGGCCGTGAAAGACATGGAGGTGAAGCGGTACAGGGGTATTGTCGGCGATTTGAGGAATACTGTGAGTACTTATGACATTAAACTAATTTTTGTTCATTGTGCTGTGTTTCCAGTTGATAGAGCTGAATAAAAGCCTCACGAACAGAGAAATCCAAGCGCTCAAGCATCAGGGCAAGTGCATAAACGCCGAGTGCAGAAAGAGCATGAACCTGTCCGGAGAAGCCAAGAATTTGACAGACGTCTGCCTTAACTGTCCCTGCGAAGTAGAGTTTTATCAAAGCATCGTGGAGACTCTAAAAAAATCCGTAAGCACAACTATAGTCCAACCAAATTGCACTTGGAGAAAAAAAAATTGTTACCTGGACTTTTATAAGTGGAAATGATAAAAGGGCTTATAATAAACCTAAAAAAATAAATGCATGAGCAGGGGCGGCGGAGGGTTGATTTGGGGGGGTTGAAAAGTTATGAAAAATCGTATCGTTGGGATTTCTGGCGAAAGTTGACGTCAAACAAAAAAGTATCCAATATAAAAGTTGTAGATCATACAAAAATCTACACCTTTTGTTGTGGTCACTTTTTAACATAACCTCAAAATTTCCGAAAAAATGCGAAAAACAGGTTTTTTCTGATTTTTCGTTTTTTATTTCTCATTTCCGTAAAAATAATTTAATTTTGACGAAACTTGGTGAAAGTATACATTTCTCTGTCTTAAATAACCTCAAATCTTTTTAGATAAAAAAATCAAGAAGTTTCTGAGATATTAATTTTTTTTGTCCTGAAACACTTTTTTTTCAAAGAAAAATTCTACTTAAAAAAATCATCGTACAAAGTTGTGCCAGTCATTATTTTTTTCATTTTGACACATACTTTTTGGTGAAATAAAAAAATCTGTAATAACACTTCAAAAACATGCTCAAAAATGCAAAAAAATAAAAAATGACTTGCAACAATGAATTTTTCAGTCATTATATTGTTGATAATTTGTTTAAATTAAAAAACATTCAGAAACTGATTACAACATTCAATTCTACAGGAAAAAATAAAAAAAAACTATCTCATTGCTTGACCCAAAACTTTATTTTTCTACAGTATCGCTATAAACATCTAAGTCGAATTACAAATGCACAAATGATAAATTATCTCTGGATGATTTGAGATTTCAGCAACACCAAGTATTAACTGCAAAGTCTACTGTTGACGCGAAATCGGAAAACCCGAAATTTTGCAAAATCGGTTTTTTTTTTTGGCTTTATTTGAAAACGAATTTGAAATAAATTGCATATTTACATTGCCACTTTTATCGCTCTATCCAATGGCGTCAACATTTTTGGAATCCGACGTTTCGTCTTCGAGGGGCCATCATCAGATTAATTTTTTTAAATATATCGCTGCTAATTTATGACAAAATCTAGTAATTTTTAATTCTGTATTAGATGATATTACTATTGTGATCGCTAAAAAGGTTTTTACCTATCATTAAAAATTTTTCCTGAGTACGGCTCTGAACATTTTCAAAATACCTGTATCTGTGGGAGGAGAGAGAGGAGAGAATAAAAGTCAATACAGCACAAAATGTCCAACAATTCTTTTTAATCCATAATTTAAAAAGTTGTACCTAATAAAAAAATATGTAATACGAATTTATGAAATATTTTATTATTTCTAATTAGTATTGCTAACAGTAAAAAATTGTTGGATATTTTGTGCGGTATTGACTTGAATACTGTTATGACTTCATCCAATAGATATTTTGAAAACGTTCAGAGCCGTACTCAGGAAAAATTTTAAATTATAACTAAAACAAGCTAAAAACTTTTTAAGCGATTACAATAGTAATATCCTCTAATTCTGAATTAAAAATGACTAGATTTTATCATAAAAACAGCAGCGACTTATTTAAAAAAATTAACCCGATGATGGCCCCTCGAAACGTCGGATTGCAAAACTGTTGACGCCATTGTATAGAGCGAAAAAAGTGGCATTGTAAAATATGTAATTTATTTTAAAATTCGTTTTCAAATAAAAAATTAAACAATTTTGCAAAATTTCGTTTTTTTTCGGATATCTCCGGAACTACCGGGAATTTTAAAACTTTCTAAACAGCATATTGTTAGGTATAAAAAACACATTTTTTTTCTAATCTGAGCCACCCCGTATCTCTTACCGTTTCTTAGATCCTAATGCCATTCCATCCTTATCTTGGACACATTGTATATCTATGAATTCATGAAACTTTAAAAAAATAAGTACACTAATCGATCCCACGGAAAAAAATTATTATTTATTTTATTTATTCTATTTATTGCAATACTGTACAAAAATTGTTTTGAATGAGACAGTTTTTTTTTGTATTTTTCCGTACAATTGAATGGTGTAATCAGTTTTTGATCTTTTTTTAAATTTAAACAAATTATCAACAATTACTGAAAAATTCATTGCTGAAAGTAATTTTTTACTTTTTTGCATTTTTGAGCAAGTTTTTGAACTGTGATTAAAAATTTTATTATTTCACCAAAAAGTATATGTCAAAACGAAAAAAATTATTACCGACAGAACTCTGTGCGATGACTTTTTTAAGTTGAATTTTTTTTTGAAAAAATAAATGTTTCAGGCCGAAAAAAATGAATATCAGAAACTTCTTGATTTTTTTATCTAAAAAAATTTGAGGTTATTTAAGACAGAGAAAGGTATGTTTTCACCAAGTCTCGTTAAAATTAAATTATTTTTGCGGAAATAAGAAATAAAAAACGAAAAATCAGAAAAAAACCTGTTTATCACATTTTTCTCGGAAATTTTGAGGTTATGTTAAAAAGTGACCACAACAAAAGTTGTAGATATTTGCATGATCTACAACTTTTGTATTAGATACTTTTTTTTTTGTTTGACGTCAACTTTCGCCAAAAATCCCGATGATACAATTTTCGTTTATTATAAGCCCTTTTACCATTTCCACTTATAAAAGTCCAGGTAACAATTTTCTTTTTTTTTCCCTCTAAATGAGTTATTTTGATCGGTCTACTAGGGTTACAGTAAAATCAATCATACCCTCTCCGTATTTCTAGGTTATCGACTTAAAGAGCAAACTGGCGGAGACGCAGCAGAAGAACAAACAGCTCGAGGAAGACAGCAAACGGAGGGAGGCCCAACTGGCCGAGATCTCCAAGACGCACTCGGAAAAGGATAAGGAGTACCACGAGCTCAGGAAGAGACTCGCGGATAAACTGAAGCAGACCCAGGTGGAGGAGGGGCGCTACTTGGAGATGGCGGCTCAGTTCGAAAAAGAATTAAATTCGGTACGGCAAGAGCTGGAGGTCAAGACCAACCAGTTAGATGAGGTCAAGAAGAGCGCCCAGGAGATCAACAGTTCTAGGTGTATACAGCTGGCCTGTGCCCAGGAAGAAGTTAACAACTTGAAGGACGAGCTGAACGGGATTCTTAGGAAGCACCGCGCTCTAAATGCCGAGGTAAATGAAATTTTGAATTCGCGACTAAATCGCACTAAATGACGTCACGAATTAACGCGGCAGCGAACTCGCGCTTGAAACGGGGGTTTTCGTAACAAAATCGTAATGTACCTTTTTCCAGAATGAAAAACTGCACACTCAAAGCGCCATGATGCAGTCCACGGTGGCCACTCTGGAAGAGAGGAGTCAGCTGCTCAAGAGCCAGTTGGAACAGTACCTCGGGGAGCTCCAGAACGTCCAGAGCGACAAGGAGGCTTTGATGAAGAAAAATCGGGACCTGCTCGCAGAGTTGCGCTGCATACAGGGCTCTTATTCCGCTGCGGACAAACACCAAAGGTATACCACGGAGTCTGCAAAGGTTTTAGAGTCGGAATTGAACGTCGTTCGGAATAACCGCGACGAGATATGTTGTGACGTCAAAAATGTCGTCGGTTACGTCCGGGCTTGGTTGCAAGAGCAGCGGAAAATTAACGAGTACACTGCTAGAAGGGAGAGGGACTATTGCAACACCATACGCAGGTTGAGGCAGGATTACGAGTATGTACGAGTGGTATTTAGTGCATGTTGTGTTGGTGTATGGTGACATGTATGAAATAATGTAGTTATCAGGAGTGGGATTTCTCAAAATCTCAAAATGACCGCGTGCGAATTTACGTGTTTTTTCACCTTTTTTCACTGCCCTCGAAAATCTCGACGGCCTATCGGAATATTAGTTATTTCTTGTTGTAAGCAATTAAATTACCTACAATTTAAAGTATCTAAAGTCATATTTCACCAATTTGTTGACTGTAAAATAAAAGTTGAACGCGGAAAAATCAGTTTTCGAAAATTGCCCATTGTTATTGCAAAAAGCGATGGATGTTGATGAAATTTATGGAAAAGACGGTCAATTGAAAGACCAACACGTGTGCCAAATGCCGATTCGTTTTAATTGTTTAATTACTGAACGTTAATTTTAGAAGTTAATATCATACATAATATAATTGATCCAAACAAACGTATCGAAAAAGAATAATTTTAAAAAGTTGAAATTAAGTAGCCCTTTTTACAACTGACAAAGTAGGACGTGCAAAACAGCGTTATAAACAAATTGTCCGCGGATCAGGCAAAAGCCGCTCGGGAATTCGCTCTTTTTGCATTAAAAAGAGCTTATTTTCGCGGTAATTAAAAAAAAAGAGAAATCGCCAACGCCTCTTTGTTCCCAAGATAACGTTTTTTATATAATGTTAATTGTTAATTAACTATTGGACGTATCGGACCGAGATTTTAGATACAATAATTAAAAAAAGGGTTAACCAAATATGAAATGTTCAAGTCAAAAATCCCCAAAAAATCTATCCCCTATCTTTCTTTTTTTTTTAATTGCCTTAAAAATAAGCTCTAATTTACGCAAAAAGAGCGAATTCCCCAGCGGCTTGGTTATTTAAAAAATATCTGGAATAACAATTTCACTTTTAATCGAATCGGCCTTTGGCACACATGTTGCTCTGNTATTGAAATGATGAAGTAATTGTTAAAAAGCCAGCAACAAGTACAACGTCAGTATGATTAATGAAGCAAAAAAAATTAAGGTTTTACACGAAAACTACTGTAATATTATTAATTATTAAAATGACAATAAATGCAAAAAAATGTAAATTAAATCAAAACTAAACATTTACGGGACTATTTTGCTTCTAAGGCGAAAATTGCTATAATATTCGTGTTTAGCTACCCCAGATTAAGTGCAAAAGAATTTTTATACGTGGTCCAGAAGCCGAGATATCAAAAGATTTTGCAAGCGCGGGCCATTTAGACTGCACGTCATCAGTTTTCAGAGCGAGCGCGCGCCGCTTCCCCCTACATCTCCGGCCGGTCCAGCTGACGCATTCAGCGCTTGCACGCTTCAGTTTACTACTCAATTACTATTACTATATGAGTAACTTATTTATTTACTCTTATGACTTACTAAAAATCAAGTAAACATATCCTACTATTTTTTTTTGAAAATATAAGTATTCAATTTTAACCTCCATCAAGCGCATCGCTGTAAAATATTAATTGCGTCCTGTACAGTATTTTTAAATAAAAAAGTTACTTCGGCTCCAGAAGGTCGTAGAAAAACATTTTTTATTTAAATTCGTGAAAAAATGTCAGCAGTTTCTTTCTTTAAAAGTCATTTTCATAAAATAAAAATTGAAATAGTTATTTGAAAAAAAAACATACCTAAAAAAAGTGCAACTTTTTCAGTCATTTTTTTATCCTTAAAATTAATAAAATCGTCAACATTTTTTAACATCATGATAATATAACTCTTTACGAAGAAAATAAACCAAAAATCGTTACTGTAGGGCTATCCGCTTGGAAGATCTAGCCAATTTTCGAGAGCGCCTTTTTTTCAAAAAATCGATATATCTCGAAAAATAATTAATCTTTAAATTTTTCAAAAATGTACTTTTTGGCTTGCCGCGGGCTATGCTTGCAGTAAATAGCAAATATGGGAACGTAAATGTAAACGAGTTATAGAAGAAGAGAAAAGAGAAGATTTTTAACGGTTTTTTCGATATATCTCGAAAAGTAACAAAGCAATCGATACTTACAAATAATCAGTCGATAGATATTTTTAAAACCTACAACTTTCTCATTTAAAATTTTTCGATCGGTGCTATATTTTTTTAGTTGTTTTAGAAAAATCGTTTTTTGCAACTTTGCGATTTTTTTTAACCATGTTCGCCATTTTGGATCGAGTTTAAATAACAAGAAACTCGATTTAAAATTTAATTTTCTATACGGTCATATTTTTTTTGTCCAGGTAATAATTTCTGTAATCATTTCTCTATAATGCTTGGACTATAAATGAAACTTTGGATTCGCGACTCTCGGTTCCCGATCGCACTAAATGGCGTCACGAATTAACGCGGCAGCGAACTCGCGCCTAAAACGGGGGTTTTCGTAACAAAATCGTAATGTACCTTTTTCCAGAATGAAAAACTGCACACTCAAAGCGCCATGATGCAGTCCACGGTGGCCACTCTGGAAGAGAGGAGTCAGCTGCTCAAGAGTCAGCTGGAACAGTACCTCGGGGAGCTCCAGAACGTCCAGAGCGACAAGGAGGCTTTGATGAAGAAAAATCGGGACCTGCTCGCAGAGTTGCGCTGCATACAGGGCTCTTATTCGGCTGCGGACAAACACCAAAGGTATACCACGGAGTCTGCAAAGGTTTTAGAGTCGGAATTGAACGTCGTTCGGAATAACCGCGACGAGATATGTTGCGACGTCAAAAATGTCGTCGGTTATGTCCGGGCTTGGTTGCAAGAGCAGCGGAAAATTAACGAGTACACTGCTAGAAGGGAGAGGGACTATTGCAACACCATTCGCAGGTTGAGGCAGGATTACGAGTATGTACGAGTGGTATTTAATGCATGTTGTGTTGGTGCGTGGTGACATGTATGAAATAATGTAGTTATCAGGAGTGATTTCTCAAAATCTCAAAATGCCTTCGAAAATCTCGACGACCTATCGGAATATTAGTTATTTTATGTTGTAAGCAATTAAATTACCTACAATTTAAAGTATCTAAAGTCATATTTCACCAGTTTGTTGACTGTAAAATAATAGTTGAACGCGGCAAAATCAGTTTTCGAAAATTGCGCATTGTTATTGCAAAAAGCGATGGATGTTGATGAAATTTATGGAAAAGACGATCAATTCAAAGACCAACACGTGTGCCAAATGCCGATTCGTTTGACCGTGAAATTGTCCGAATATTTGTTAATTAATTTCGTTCGTTTCTTTGCAACTAATTGTTTAATTACTGAATGTTAATTTTAGAAGTTAATATCATACATAATACATATAGGTTATAATTAAAAATTAATTATTAATTAATTAAAAAGTTGAAATTAAGTAGCCCTTTTTACAACTAACAAAGTAGGACGTGCTTTACAGCGTTATAAATAAATTGTCCCCGGATCAGGCAAACGCCGCTCGGGAATTCGCTCTTTTTGCATTAAAAAGAGCTTATTTTCGCGGTAATTAAAAAAAAAAAAGAAAAATCGCCAACGCCTCTTTGTTCCCAAGATAACGTTTTTTATATAATGTTAATTGTTAATTAACTATTGGACGTATCGGACCGGGATTTTAGATACAATAATTAAAAAAAGTTTAACCAAATTTGAAATGTTCAAGTCAAAAATCCCCAAAAAATCTATCCCCTATCTTTCTTTATTTTTTTTAATTGCCTTAAAAATAAGGTCTAATTAACGCAAAAAGAGCGAATTCCTGAGCGGCTTGGTTATTTAAAAAATATCTGGAATAACAATTTCACTTTTAATCGAATCGGCCTTTGGCACACATGTTGCTCTGGTCTGGATTGACCGTTTTCCATAAATTTCATCAACATCCATCGCTTTTTGTAATAATAATGGGCAATTTTCGAAAACTAATTATTTCGCGTTTAAATTTTATTTTACAGTTAACAAATTGGTGAAATATGATTTTAGATACTTTAAAATGTAGGTAATTTATTTGCCTACAACATAAAATAACTAATTTTCCGATAGGCCATCTAGATTTCCGCGGGCAGTAAAAAAAGTGAAAAAACACGTAAATTTGCAACTTATTTGCAATTTGCCAACTTAGAGTCGCTTCTTTCGAGTTACTTTTTTGATTTATTATCATTCTACATACTCTTCCCCGTCATAAAGTGCAATAAAATGTCTACTAATATTTTTTTCATGTTCACACTCTAATTCGACTGGAGTAGTTTAATTAATGATTAGGTCTTTTGTTAAAAATAATAAATTGTTGGATTATAAGTATGTATGTGTGTGTGGTACTTATTGCATGTTGCAATGCATGATGCGGCAAGAAGGTGAAGCATCAGAAGTGGGATTTTCGTCAATCTCAAACTAAATGTGTTAAATTTGTTTGTACAGCATGCGTTAATCGCGAATAAAAATTAAATTACAGTTCTCTCAAGAATATCATCATGTCTCAATTAATTTTACTGTTTCGACAGCGGATTTAAAGAATTTATATGCACTCTAAATCTAATCTGACGTAATTTAAAGCCGTTTCTGAATCCTTTCAACGTATTGTGGTATATTTTATAGAAGTTTTGGTGCTTTTTTAAATAATTTAAAAACGATTCGAGGAATTTTGAAGGTCTTTTGATACATCCTGAAATTATTATTATGTATTAAAAAACTGTTTTGAGACTTTTTTTTTACTTTTCAAAATCTTGTTGGTAAATAAAATTTTCTTTGACTTGTAGATCTTTGGAACCTAAAAAAGACTAAATACTAAATATATATAGAAAAATGTCTAACTCCCAAATGACTAATGTTAAGCATGACTTTTACAGCTCGATATGCCCAGAAGAACCCGGTGAAGTTTCATCTCGATCTAGCGAACCGTTTCTTTGTTTCAAACAGTCAAACTTTTGAAAAAAATTAAAGGGTCACGTTTTTTGAGCTTAAACAGTTCATAATCATAATAAAATGGAAAAAAAAAATTTGAGGATTACTCACATTTTTACCGCAAATAACGTTTAAATTGATGAAAAATAGCTATTTATGATATACGTGTTAAAAGTAAGATTTTATTTTGTGAGTGAAGATGATTAAAAAACGAGCGTAGCGAGTTTTTTAACTTCACGAACAAAATAAAATCACTTTTAACACGTATATCATACACTATTTTTTCTACAAAACTGTTAAAAGTGGGCTTTTTAATTGTCATTTTTGATGTTAAAAATGTCATTTTTTGACACGCGTGTTAAAAGTAAGTTACTTTTAATACGCGTGTCAAAAAATGACATTTTTAACATCAAAAATGACAATTAAAAAGCCCACTTTTAACAGTTTTGTAGAAAAAAAAAATTATATTACTTTTAAGAGAATGAAAAGGGTAGTTCTAAAAATGACTGTTTTTAAGTGATTACAGATTGCACAAAAATCGTGCTGGAAACGATTGGATTTTAATTTCTTCAATGTCCGGAAGGTTTCCAAAAAAAAACAAAGACAAAACAAATTTTTTTCACGTTATTTGAGAAATGTGAGAAAATTAAAAATTTTTTTTTTTCCATTTTAATCATGATTATGAAGTTTAAGTTTAAGCTCAAAAAACGTGACCCTTTAAAGTTTAACTGCTTGAAACAAAGAAACGGTTCGCTAGATCGAAATTAAACGTCACAGGGTGCTTCTGGGTATATCGAGCTGTGAAAGTCATGCTTAACATTAGTCATTTCGTGTATATTTCTAATTTAGCCGTCATTTTCTAAAAAATCATAAATTACCCTTTTTTCCTGTTTTTTTTTTAAATTCGTGTAAGATGAAAAAAAAAAATTCTGAAAAGTTGCGGCAGCATGTTATAGGACATTTATTACAGTTTTCAAAACTGCTCTTCAATTCTCTGTACGATCATTTGTTGCCGAGATATCGATGATTGAAGACAAAAGGATCCTTTTCCATTAAAAGTACGATATTTAGATGAAAAATGGTCGTATCGAAATTTAAAAAGAAGGAAATTGAAGCTGAATAACCAAGCTATCTGGTCCATGCAATGTCTTAGCTGAAAAAATTTCTCCCAGTCCGTGGACTAAGAAAGAAAAATTGCAAAATTTCTTTGTCGCGCTATTTCTTGATAACCGTAGCTCCTAAAAAATTTCGACCGAAAGATCTGAAAACTACAATCTTAGAGCTTCAAAATGTTTTTTTTTTAAATCCCGATACGACCAATTTTTAACCTAAATACACTGTCACAAATCACGGAAAATTTTCGGAAATTCTTTAGACCCTTTAATTTTTTGCATTAGTTTATTATGAACGTACGAAGGATTTCTGACTTCGGTATAACTTTTTGGAAACGAAACAACGCAAAACAAAATACATCAAAACAGCTTGAGAAGGCGATATGAAGCAAGGTACTCGTAAAAAGTATGAGAGGCTTTTAATAATTAAGTCAGTTTCACAGAACATGGTAAAACAAATCAGTGGCTTACCCGGAAAAATCATTTAAATTCAGAGACTGATAAAAGATCAGAAGTGGGGTTTTTAAAATCTCGAACTAACCTTGTTACATTCGTATACAGTGTAGGAAAGTACCGATGGACGCCTTCATTATAGCTATCCTTCTCTATCGCATGGATTTCTATGGCTTACTTTATCGCTCTCACGTAACTTCAGATAGACCATCGGTACTTTCCTACCCTGTACATTTATGTGCTAATTTAATTTATATCTACGCATTTATTATGAATTTTACGCTTTTTTTTTTAAGGGAAATTCAGTGCCAGAACTTGCCCCCATGCCAGCGACCTTGCACGAGGATGGTGACGCCTTGTCTCAAATCTAATTCTCCGCCGCCAATGTGTCAATCTCCCTGGAGTTTGGGATCTCAGGGTACCGCTTCAGTACACGACATCCACAGCCCCTCGAGAAGTCCCTATCCCGACGAAAATACCGACTGGTACTCGCCCACATTTCGGGTAAGTTTAAAAAAATGGATGCCTACTGTCTTTTTTAACTACTCACTTAATATTTGCTGCAGAACGATTCCGAAGAGGAAGAAGAAGACTGGGTTAGCAAGGTAGAGAATCTGGCCGCCCAAGTTCGAAAGACCAACAAGATGTGGAAGAACAAAATGGGACAGTCGGACTACGGGGTGTCTAGAGACACCAAGAAGTAAATTTAAATTTTTCGTGCCAAGCATTTATTGTGGGTATTATTAGGACGCCTATTTTTTTTAACGGTATTAGTGTGTTAGGAATTATTTACGTAATAATAAGTAGATATTAATCGTGTGATATCTGCCGTTTGACGGTGTACTAAATTTTTGTTTTTTTTACAATGTAAATGAATATACACTTTTTATATAATCAATAAATGATCTCGAATTAGACATCCATTTTTATTTCTAATCAGTTTTTATGAATAAATTAACGATTCTGCGTTTCTCTATAAATTTATAATTTTATAAGCTATGATTAACCTGTAAGCAGCATAGTTACAGAATCGTAAATTATAGAATTGTGGAACCATCCCTGTGACGATGCAAATGAACTACTGCAACTTCACTGAAGTTACGATTGTTGACCTTAACCTAAAAATTACTTCGTGCATCTACATTGTTTTTTTTAATATATTTAATGATACGAGATATATCAATTAGACAGAATATAGATTTCTTATTTCTATAAATCATAAAAATATAAACCTTATTGGTAAGTCTGCCGCTCAATTTATTTTTATAGTAGTTGTGACTAGATCAAGAGAGAGACATATTCTTTGTCAGTGTCACATGTCACATTTATAGTTAAAATCATTCAGCAAAGAGAATAGACATAAGTTGCAACATGAAATAGGATTTAACAAGTGTTTATATCTCGNCTACGCATTTATTATGAATTTTACGCTTTTTTTTTTAAGGGAAATTCAGTGCCAGAACTTGCCCCCGTGCCAGCGACCGTGCACGAGGATGGTGACGCCTTGTCTCAAATCTAATTCTCCACCGCCAATGTGTCAGTCTCCCTGGAGTCTGGGATCTCAAGGTACTGCTTCAGTGCACGACATCCACAGCCCCTCGAGAAGTCCCTATCCCGACGAAAATACCGACTGGTACTCGCCCACATTTCGGGTAAGTTTAAAAAAATGGATGCCTACTGTCTTTTTTAACTACTCACTTAATATTTGCTGCAGAACGATTCCGAAGAGGAAGAAGAAGACTGGGTTAGCAAGGTAGAGAATCTGGCCGCCCAAGTTCGAAAGACCAACAAGATGTGGAAGAACAAAATGGGACAGTCGGACTACGGGGTGTCTAGAGACACCAAGAAGTAAATTTAAATTTTTCGTGCCAAGCATTTATTGTGGGTATTATTAGGACGCCTATTTTTTTTAACGGTATTAGTGTGTTAGGAATTATTTACGTAATAATAAGTAGATATTAATCGTGTGATATCTGCCGTTTGACGGTGTACTAAATTTTTGTTTTTTTTACAATGTAAATGAATATACACTTTTTATATAATCAATAAATGATCTCGAATTAGACATCCATTTTTATTTCTAATCAGTTTTTATGAATAAATTAACGATTCTGCGTTTCTCTATAAATTTATAATTTTATAAGCTATGATTAACCTGTAAGCAGCATAGTTACAGAATCGTAAATTATAGAATTGTGGAACCATCCCTGTGACGATGCAAATGAACTACTGCAACTTCACTGAAGTTACGATTGTTGACCTTAACCTAAAAATTACTTCGTGCATCTACATTGTTTTTTTTAATATATTTAATGATACGAGATATATCAATTAGACAGAATATAGATTTCTTATTTCTATAAATCATAAAAATATAAACCTTATTGGTAAGTCTGCCGCTCAATTTATTTTTATAGTAGTTGTGACTAGATCAAGAGAGAGACATATTCTTTGTCAGTGTCACATGTCACATTTATAGTTAAAATCATTCAGCAAAGAGAATAGACATAAGTTGCAACATGAAATAGGATTTAACAAGTGTTTATATCTCGGATATTACGAAATAACCTTCAACACATGGTCTAGTAGCTCTAGTAGCTTTATATTGCTTTTCGTAAATTAAAAAATTCCCTTTTCAAATATATAAATTTGTCGGAATTAGTTCAAGTTTTACTTTTCAGTGTTGGTACCTCCTGACAAAACAATTTATGTTGGTTATCGTTTCCAGTAGTTCAAATTTACAAAGAAGTTAATCAATTTGTGGTTAGGATTAGATAATTTAAAAAGCCAATAATTAATCTGAAAACAAATGGATTTGAAATGTTTGAACACTATAGACTGTAATCAAGGAGCTGTTCGAGCAGTCAGATTCAACGGTAAGGTTATGTTTACAAACAAACCAATGCAACATAATAAAACAAACTAAACATATTTCAGTGGACGGATCGTACTGTCTCACGTGCAGCTCTGACAAAAAACTGAAGTTGTGGAATCCCTACCGAAGCCTTTTACTTAAAACTTATGGAGGTCATGGAAACGAAGTACTAGACGCCTGTGGTTCATGCGACAGTAGCCAGATAGTGTCTTGTTCCTCAGATAAATCTGTTATCGTGTGGGATGTAACTACAGGACAACCTCTGCGAAGACTTAGGGGACATGCCGCCACCGTCACTTGTGTTAGATACAATGAGGAGTCCACGGTGGTGGTGTCTGGCAGTTTAGACAATACGGTGATGTGTTGGGATATTAAATCAAGGCAACAGACTCCGATACAAACTCTAAAAGATGCCAAAGACTGTGTAACCTCAGTTCAAGTGACGGACCATGAAATTTTAACGGGATCAGTGGATTGTTCCGTAAGGAGGTACGATTTACGGAATGGAAGTTGTGAAACGGATTTCGTCGGAGGTACACATTTATTTTTTTAAAGGAAACGTGTAACAGTTAATTTATCTTTTAGCTGCGATAACTTGTGTTAGTTTTTCGCACGACGGACAATGTGTATTGGTTAGTTCTGCGGATAATACAGTCAGATTGTTTGACAAAACCTCAGGGGAATTACTGGGAGAGTATGTTATGGACATTTTTTTTGACAGACAAAAGTAATAAGTTTTACTATTTCTAGGTATACGGGGCACAAAACAGATGACGTTAATATTGAAAGTTCCATAATAACTAACGATAATTTTGTATTGTCTGGATCGGTTACTGGGGATTTGTGGTGCTGGGACCTGGTTAACCCAGAGAAGGTTAATAAAATGTTGCATACACCCGGAAAGGTGTTGAATTCGCTTAGTGTTCACCCGAAAAAGGATATTTTGCTGACGTCTTGCGTGGGCACTGTAAAGTTATGGGGGCAGCATTCAGATTCGGCGGAAGACGTATCTGAAGAAACATGAAATGGAAAACTATCGCTCTGTCTGTGATGTGTTGTATTTTATTATTAAAAATAAATTTTCGTCACGTTCTGAATGATTATAGATTTGCAGGTATTTTAAAATGATAAGAAGGAGAATAAAGTTTATACGATTGACCCAAAAAGTGATTTATTTTATTATTTAAGGGAACGGACGTTAACAAAAATCAGATTATAACCTAAACAAGATATAACAAAAACTCTCAATGTTAGCATATCAAACTCAATATTAAATATAACATTCTGAAAAAATAATGTTAGTAAAAAATCACAGTATCTTTTTGATTTTTGGAAATATTTATAATCACTTCTATTTACACTGCGTTTTACCTTTTATAGAGCCACCCTTGTATCGCTCTTGTTTGAAAATCAAATATTTTCACATTTTATCAAGAAATTTGAATGAAATATCTTTAAAAGTGCTCGAGATGCAGGCACACCTATCTTTTCGTTTACTTTTGAGTGATCATTAACTTAAAAACTATTAAAGTTAGATAAGCCATTTTTATGTTCTTTTTTTCAATTTTAGAGTAAAAAAACACTAATTTTAACAGCTTCTCAATTAAAGGTTATATTAAAGTAAAAAAATTTGGTAAATGTTTGAGTACCCATGCTTTGAACTAATTTTTAAATAAAAAAAATTGCGAATTTATTTTTTAAAAGCCCATCCTATTTTTTATTTTAGAACTGGACGCCTAAAATAAAATTTGGTTATATCAGAATAATCGCTTTACAGTAAATTATTCCATACCTAAATGTCAAAACGTTTAAATTTAATATAACCAATATGCAAGGGTGTCTCCATGAAAAGTGAAACACAGTTTTGCATTTGTAAAAAAACCGTTTCACATTTTTTTACATGAATTAAGCTTTAAAAACAGGAAGTGATTTATTTATTTTTTATCTTGTTCAAATTTATCAGCTTTCTGAACAAGAGCCATTTTTGGAATTTATTGAGCATTTGAAAAATGAGCAAATTTTAATGAATAAATATCTTAAAATAGTATATTAATTTCTAAAACACTATTCTAAAAATGAATTTTAATTCAAAATTGAACTAAAGCTGCCATTTATTACATAGAGGCGTATATAACAAAGGAAAACGCCTTCATTTAAAATAAAAACCCTACCACTTCATCAAGTTTTTTCAAATCATAACAAAAAGAAAACATCCAACGTTGCAGCTTTTGCATTGCTACGGTTTTGAGAATGGAATATATCCTACATGGATGATTTCATCTGACATTAAACACTACATATTCTTTAAAGAATTCTATCATTTGTAAAAATATTTTTAGTCATACATGAGCAGTAATTTATTTTTGGTGATTTATAAATAGAATAAAAATTCGCATGTTTTTCACGCCTCATAAGAAATTATGTCATCTTAATGGGTTTAAAAGTACCAGTGACTTCAGTTACAGTTACAACAAATATACAGGGACATATTAAATCATTTTGTATAATCAGGGCCGTAATTCTTAGGCCTACTTCATTACATACCCTGACTTGACCAGTAAACGTACAAAATATAGAAACTTTTTGTAAACATTTGTAAAAAAAAATTCACCTACCTACAAACAGGGGCAAATTAAGAGTACATACTGCAATTTCAAATTTCTAAGTGTACGTATTTGGCTGCCTCTGGACACTTGTATTGTATTGTGGTATTCATAAAATTGGCCAGTCATATTCACAAATAAAATTCGTTAAATTAAAAACAAAAACAAATTAAAAACTAAGCGGTCACAATTCAACTGAAACAATTGAAAACCTAACTACACCACCTGCCGCCTACAGCAAATTATGAACTACTTTTTTAATAATTGGACCTCAGAAATAATGTGGCCAGACTGACAAAAAATTCTGCCAACCTTCAACAAATTATAGTTTTTAAAATGGCTGTCTCTCTATGCAATTGGAAATCATTCAAATTAGTTTAAATAATAGTGAAATTTAATTGTAACAAACTGACATTAAAAGTCATATGTGTACAAGAATTAGAAGAGGACAGAAGATAATTTTCTTGAAAATTTTTACTACTAACACTTGGAACAGAACAAACACAAAAGGTAAGTGAAGTGATGCAGAATAGTGTATAATTTTTAATTTCACGTCTTTAACACTATAATAATCGTCTGCTAAATCGTAGCATCCGTCACAGCTAACGTGATATAACTGATTATCTCACTATTTATTCTTGACAGAATTTATGCTATAAAAAATATGTTTTTGAAAATTTTGCATATTGCTTACTAACCTGCAGATACATGTTATTGGAACTAAAAAAAAGTAATGAAGACATATTGATATAATAAATAAGTAGGTACCTGATTGCCTAAATTTATATACACAGAGCTAAACATTGTTTTAAAAAATGTTTCATTGTGAAACTGGTAGAATAGATTCACAGAAAGCTTCTCCTTCATCTGCGTTTTATTCCTAAAAGTTCTAAGAATGTTCGTCGTCATTTCCCTAAGATACCCTGTGCGTTGCATATGCTTTATAATTGTTTGTAATTCCTAGAATTCGCGAGAGTGGTAAGCGCCTCGGCTGCGTCAAGTTCTTCCCTGCCATGAATCAGAAGCATGCTGTTAGCTGTATCCACAGTCTTCTTGCACTTCTTCTTGCTCGACCTCGAAAACGTCCAATCTATATAGTTGTTCTCACTAGGTTTGAAATTAGCCGCGCTTTCCAACCACTTCGAGATCATGGAAGGCTTGTTGGCATCGCCTGTTTCGTCCACGCGGTACTCGGGCTTCTGGCAGTCTCTCAGGTACTTCTCCATGATGTGGTTCTTGTATTTATTGGCCGTTTGTGCGAACGGATTCGCTTCGGGGTCCGTCTCCGTGGTGGAACTGACGTAGTAGCACTGATTCTGGACGTCCGAGTTGTTGTTGTTGAAGCACTTTTTGTCGGGGTACGTGTAGCTGTGGTCTGCCGACGCGCTGGTCGATTTTTTTTTGTCAATGGAAATACGGTCGTTTATTTCGTCGTCGAAGTTGGAATATGTGTCTGGTTCCTCCCAGATGCTGTCATCGGAGCAGATGCTGAAGTGCTCCACGTTGCCTTGCACTTGGTTGTTGTAGGTTTTGATGAGGTCGCCCCAGGTCTTCTGCTGGGGTTCCTTGCCCGCGTTTTTGAGCTTTCTGCGCCAGTTGGCGAACCAGTTGCACACCTGGGAGAAACGGAGAAAAAACAAGATATTTAAAATAAAATGGCAGTGGAAAATTGTTTTACAATTATTACACAGGTCAACATTTTATCTAGGCTTGTGCACGGGAATCGAAGGTGGTATCCCAAGATTTTTTGGGTCGCTGATTACGATGAGCGGGTCGGTTAGACTCCATCACGTTAAGTTCAAGGTTATTTGAAGGTCAGACGGTCAAAAAACCTTCAAAAAATCTGAAAAAATTCATGGACATGTTTTTGAGGTCGCTGAATCCGAATCCTGTGTTTATTTTTACTTTGCATACATCCTAGAGGTCATTCAAGGTCATCTCATGGTCATTCGAGGGGTTTTTGAGACAAAAATGCCAAGTACCATCCGAAAAATCTAATAAAATTGATACGTATGTTTTCGAGGACCCTGAATCTGAATCTGAGGTCAGTCGACTACAATTGTGCCACAGAACTAGAATATCTGCCTTGAGATGATCTTGAATGACCTCGAGGATGCATTCAAAGTAAAAATAAACATCGGATTCGGATTCAGCGACCTCAGAAACATGTCCATAAATTTTTTCAGATTTTTGGACGGTTTTTTGACCATTTCACCTTCAAATGACCTTGAAATGAGGTTCACTGATCTCAGATTCAGATTCAGGGTTCTCGAAACATACGTATGAATTTTTTCAGATTCTTCGAAAGGTACTTGGCATTTTTGTCTCAAAAACTCCTCAAATTACCTTAAGATGATCTTGAATGACCTCGAGGATGCATGCAAAGTAAAAAATAAACACCGAATTCGGATTCAGCGACCTCAAAAACATGTCCATGAATTTTTTCAGATTTTTAGATTTTTTGGCCGTTTGACCTTCAAATGACCTTGAACTTGACATGATGGAGCCGCTCATCGTAATCAGCGACCCCAAAAATCCTAGAATACCATCTTCGATTCCCGTGCACATGCCTAGATAAAATGTTGACCTGTGTTATTTTATGATTCTATGAAATTTTCATCAAAGCGGTCAAGCAATTGTAACCAAAAAGGCTTAATTTCTTTTGTGGTGTCATAACACAACTTTTTGATATATTCTGACATCACTCATTCAAAGTACAATACAGTCCTCAATAGATGTAAAAGAAGTGAATAGTCATCTGCATATAAAATAACATTAGTTTATTAGATTATGAGAAAAATCATTAACGAATATGTTGAATAGTAGCGGGCTAAAAACTGAACCCTGAGGTACTCCAGAAGTAGCAACAGTTTAAAGACTTAAATAACTGTCAAACATTGTGGAATATACTTAAATCAGCACTTTTCAATATATAAGTAACTGAATATTATCAGAATTTGCCAAGATATTAGAACTATAGTCTTCAATATTGTCTGACCAATTTGCTGATGCTAGGAAATCTGGTCAATTTCTTTTATTGGGTCAAAAAATGGATAAATTTATTTTCGAAAGCAAAATATTTTATAAATTTCTCAGAATGTCGACCTACCTGTATATACGTCAAGCCCGTTTGCACAGCCAGCATTTTCTTCTCTTCCCGATTGGGATATGGATTTTCTCTTCTTCTCACGAGCCAGTCCTTTAGGAACCTTTTGATTTCAGGAGTAAATAGTCTTTTCGGCGGCCTTTTGTCTTCTCCATAGGTTCTCCTGTTCATAATTTTCTTATTAGATCTATTGCGATAGAACCCAAACGCAACGCAAAAGCAAAAAGATTGAAAGTCAGAAAAAAGTTGTCTCTGAAGAAGTGTTAATGTTCTTCTTAGAAAAGTACAATGAATTGTGAAAATATGTTTATCTTTTCTGTAATTTAAATAAACCAAGATAGTTAAAGTGATTTCATACCACAGAACATCAGTATTCATCAAAAAGTGCCTATATTAAATAATAATTTAAAAACCAAAAAAAAATTCACTTTTTTGCAGTTTGTATTGTTTAAAAAAAATGTTCACGACTTTGCTGGGGAAATCACTTGGGTTTTCATTTACCAAATATTTTTCAAAACAGTGCATAATCTAAGGGTTAGTTCTAACCGAAAAGGCAGTTCTTAAAAAAAAAAGTTATTTCTTAAAGTTAAAAAGGGCAGTCGCAAAATTTGACTATTAGAAGTAGACCTCCTTTCTTATTTGTTTATATAAAAAAGTGCTTGTCTGTTATTTGCACAAATCGAATTTTTCGGGCGCTTTCTTTGAGCTAGTATAGGGCGATTGATTTTGGGTAGTTTTTAAAATTCTTTAGATTATCCCCTGTTTCAAAAGGTAATACATGAAATTTGCTGTAATATATAAGTGTGCCAAAAATCTCTATTGGTTCTCCTTGTACGAATCAAGTAACTTTGAATTTTTTTGCATTTTCAATTGTTTGGGTAGTATTAACAATACATATAATTGCCTTTTTAGAATATGGCGGTTTTGTTTGCATTTGTATAATTATGTTTTATGTTCGTAAATTCTTTATGAATATAATTACTAGGTACTATATATTATCTATATTAGTGAAGTATTTTTCAAATTTCCTTAAAACAAAGAGTTAGATAGAGTTACTATCTATCTTGTATGTAAACGCATTTCTTTAAATATTGTGACTCATAGACCCACAAAACAGAAAAGAATATACTCCTTCCTAACAGGTCATAATTCTTTATCTCTTTAAAACCTATTTAGAACAAAGTCTGTGTACATATATACTTCACTATGGTATCAATCAAAATATGACTAGCTATTTAAAGCCTAATCACAGTGGTACCAATCCAACCACTCATATACATGTTAACTAAGTAAATGAAAATAACTAACAAAATAATAAAACTTTATCATCCTTTGAATCTCAAATTTCGAACCTATATCGAACTTGTTTTCTTATTTTTGGCCAGAGAATTACCTGTACAATTTTGTTGATGGAATATTTCAATATCATTTACATCCAAATAATCTAAATTTCCATTACTGACTTGAAAAAAAAAACCATGGCCATGTAAAAATAAAGGAATACCCATATACAGTGTGGCCATTTAAAACCAGGTCACTTCTAAATTTCATTTGGCAGCACAAGTCTAATGATTTTTTTTAATAGTATTTCCTTTATCTTCAGGCATTTCCAATGAATATAATGAATAATTAGTACAAGTACATCTAGAAGGCAACTATTTATAAACAAAATAATTCAAATCATGTTTTAATGAGCCACGCTGTATGTCTCGTGAATATGTGTATTTTTTTAAATTTGTAGAATATGTATTTGTACCCCTTATTATAATCGCAGCTAACTTCTCTTTATTCTAACTCAAGGGGGAGGGGTCGGTGTACTATAGCTCATACATAAAAGAAAAGAAAACTCAAAGACGGAAGTTGCAGCAATTTTCGATGAGTTGTGCAAAACCCACATACTTATAAATAATGTTTACATGTACCATAAACAATATTCTCAAACTCCTGTTTGAAAACATTGCTCTTTTTAAAAATTAGTGCCGTGACGAAAGCGAATTTTGTAAAATTGAACGTTTTCCAAGACTGAAATAGTCGTTTTGCCAAAAACTTTTAACAGAGTTTTGAAACCGAAATCGTACGGAATGCAATGAAAATTTTCACACGCTGTAGACGCAATAACAACGTCCTTTCGGATCCCAAACCTCCACACACCAATTCATTACCTAATATAACTGTTAGTTTCACTTAGCAATCCACACAATTAGTATTATTAAAAGGTGTTGCAGCAAAAACATGGCTCTCCAAAATCCTAACCTGCTGTATCGCTTATTTCTTACAGGCCGTCTGGACCTCTCGCGATTGCCTTCCCCCGTTCTTGTGTCCATCTTTTCTGATTAAAAATACACAAATGTCACTTTATACCTTTACAAAAGTTTGTATAAAAATAGATTTTGCGTTGGATAACAGTCAAAAACAAGATGGTGGCTGTCGTGTTAACATCGCTTGTAAGCGTCGTTTTCTCAAAATGCACCGGTCCTCCTGCCCTTACCACCGACTTTTCAATTAGTTTGAAGACAAACAAACGAGAGTGACGCGAAAAAAACTTCTTACGGACCCGCGATTGGTAGGTTTATTTAAAACAAGCCCACATATTTCCTTCTGATTCACGAAAACATGAGTTCACTCTTTGTATTCTGGTGTTTGCACTTTTTTCTTTAATTTCTGCACAAATATTCAGACTGAAAGGATGAAACACTTACCTAGGTGACGTGGTTGGTGATATTCGGGCGATATTCCTTAATTAATATTATTGTTACCGTACGTAAACACTGTAATAGATTGTGAGAAACTGAACTTACACAATCTGGGGACATCTAAATGCTGTTTTATTTTCAGATCTTTCAGTCTCCCGCGTCGTGTTTTTATAATTTGTTCTCTATTTTATTTCAGTGTAGATACATGATGCGTCTGCGGACATCATCGGCGACGCAACGAGGCTGGCGAAATATTTAAAAAATATAAGAATTTTTATATTTTGCAATGCATCGTATATTTTGTATGCGAAATTGACATGCAATTTGTAGGAATACTATTTAAAAAATTAGACGCGTACATTGTTGATGATATATTAAATTTTAAATTGCACAAATAACATATCAATTCAAAACTTAAGTAAAAAAAACATGGCTTTATGTATCAAGCGCATCGCAAAACTCTTTGTGATTGTCATTCTATTTAATGTACAGGGTTAGTCACTATAATCTGACAACTTATTCTGAGTTTATTATGGATATTACAAAAAAGTTTTTAATACAAAAGTTTTAGCTTTTTTTTATGAATTTTTATAATATAGTATTAGAAAAAACAATTGAATAATGGAAAACACTAAATTAAAGATTTTTTTTTAATGCAACACCCTATATATCAGTATTAGTGCATACTTAGCTTCGTTAAATTTTTCTCTTTTCAAAATATATAATATGTTACTGTTTGATTCAGGACTTTTCGACATATTTCAGTTTAAAACTATTTTTGAAAAACAGGAGGAACCGATTGACTTGAAATTTTGACTGAATGTGGGGAATGCCTCAAGGAACAAAACTTATATAGTGCCGAAGTGTGCTTTTGCCCTGGGGGTGGTTCCCACTCCTTCTTGGGGGTGGAAATTTTTACGCCCAAAATAACGTTAAATAACGCCAAAACCATAAATATTAAGAAGAAAACTTTTTGAACCTTTTTTGAAAAACCTTTAATATGAGCTGTTTTAAAAGTCTTTAGAATCAAAATTAACGAAAATATGATCGAAATCACATCATAGTCTCATTTTTTTTAAGAAAAAAAAATATAAACAAATCAGTGCCTTTGGCGACAGAATTAAAATTAAATGCAATCCATTTACAGATTTCTTCATTTATGTTCTAAGAATATGTTCTGGGTCTTTGGCTCACTTACAAAGCATGATTTCGAAAAAGAACTTAATTTTTGAAATTGTAAATTTTTCAAATTTTTGAAGAAACTTCGATTTTTACGCTGTAATTTAAAAATTAAAGGATGTACGAAAAAAATACAAGAGTAAAAAAAATTAGCTTTATTTTTGCTGAAGATTTTGCTTTATATTTTTATTCCTCTAAAATTAATATTAACCCAGATATCGTCATTTTAAGTTATCATATGAATGAGAGAACCACAATTTTCGAGCCCTTTAAACCATTCAAACTTAAAAATGAAGAGCTTAAAAAATATCAACTCAACAGTTAACGTACCCCTTACAATTTCCTGCAAAATGAGCATTTGTGCGATTAAAAATCTTAAAAAGTAAGAAAGTTATCGTCAAGAAAATAAACACGTGTATAGGTGATAAATTTAGGTCAAACAAGAATTTTGAAGCATTTAGATCTTTTTTGTAGGTACATACGTATTTAGTATGTGTATATTCGAATAAACCAGTACTATACTATATTATAACTACTATATTATAATAAGGGAATAAATGTTTATTTAATACGAATGCACATTTAAAATGTTTCTACTCTTTCAGTAATATTTTTTTCATTTTATTTTCGAAAGAACGGGTATTTTTTCAAGGTTTGAAAAGTTGCAATTGATAAAAAAGATTTTTAATCAAGAAATCAATTTTAATTTGATAAAAATGTATGATTAAAACGTTTTCAATTTGAAAATTTTTTTTTTATTTTATTTTCATCCAATGGGGTGGTTTTCAAAGGTTTTTCCGGGTTGAAAATTTGGGATACATTAAGTTTCATAAAATAAAAAAGATATGATTACATAAAATGCTTAAATTTGTATTTTTAATTTTTTTTCCAATAAGGGGTGATTTTCACCCCTTCAGAACAAAAAGCACACCTAGCGCATATATAAGTTTTGAAGTGAAGTGGGGGGTAAGATGAGCCTAATTCTAAATTTTGAGAAAAATCGATGCAGTTATAAAAAATTCGGAGGTATTACTATATTTTCAGCTACAGTAACTGGGCTATTATAAATGTTGTTAAAGTCCATAAAATGTTTTCAAAATAGATTCGGTCACCATTTTTCAAGCGCAGCATTTCTCTGTAGTACTCTAATCACTGAATTTTTTTATTTTGGGCGAGTTTTTAGACTGGCACAGTTTTATAGGGGCGGTATTTATATTTATGTAACGTTCTAATAATTTTACTTTGGCTTATTTATAATTGTCTTGAAGCATTTACTGTGGACTCTTGTGTTTTCTACAATAATTTAATATTTGGATTTACCATGAATATTTGCTTACACTGAAAATATAGTAATGCAGTTAGTTCTAACTCTTCATTTGGAATAATTCTTAGTTTCTGTCTTCCAAGATATTTAGTTTCTTTAAAGCGTCGCTCAATGTCGTAAGATGTAGCTCGAGATGGAATTGGAAACCCGGGATGCAAACGAGCATACTCTGCGGGCGCTGCATTCACATTATTATTATTCTTGTAAAATAAACGGAACAAATTTTTCGTTCTCACCAAACATTATTTTTGTGTTAAAATAGTTTGTTATAGGAAATAAATTAATGACGATAAATAAACTTCTGTCAGAGTCATTTGTTTGTTCGTCCATAGCCACTGTGATCCGTCAGACATAAATATCCCTCCTGTTTTTTCAAAAATAGTTTTAAACTGAATATGTTGAAAAGTTCCTGAATCAAACAGTAACATCTATATTGTTGAAACTAAAAAAATTCTTTAATTTAGTGATTTCCATTATTCAATTGTTTTTTCTAATACTGTATTATAAAAATTCAGTTCAATCCTATTGCAAAGAGGACTCTGTTTCCAGTTTTATCTTTATAGATGTTTCCTAAAGTGACAGTGTTCCGTTACTTTCCTGGGCCGTATTTTATTCAAGCTCAGCAATACATTCGCTTTTTTCTGCAAAGGACACTCCATCGCATGGCTTTGCCCTGGTCTCGAAGTCCAGTATTTCCTGTGTTATGACTCAGTCTATTTGTCCAGAGCCCCCCTGATCAGAGAAGATCTCCGGACCAATGAAATATGTTTCAAGTTCATCCGCTTTCTCATTTCCGTCAATGCCTTTGTGTCCTGGCGCCCAACATAATCTAACTGTATTAGTGGGAATCCGTTCAGTCAGCATTTGTAAACATTCCCCCACGAGTTTTGATTTACCTTATGTTACGCCGTTATCGCGAACATTTCTGCTTGAAATACAGTGGGAAACCTCCCCAAACTGCAGCCCTGTCTACTTTGGAGCCATCCTCCATCTTTCCGGGGTATCAAACCTTTCCTCCCATTTGCTCTGATCCTCTAATCGAATATGGAATGGCTTATGGAAGTGAATCACACCACTTAGGACGATCTTACCGAGATAGAATTTAAGTCAAAATACTCGCTGCGGTTTTCTATTTGCCATTTTGGTTTTCCTGTAATGGCGGCCAGTTCTGTATCTCCCTGTACATTATTAATACAGTTTTCTGGAAGCCATGGGACCTGGGGAAACAAGAGAGATAATATATGATCAAAATCATCATATTATTTATATTTTCAAAATTACATTTTTTTATAACTACAGGAATTTTCTGTTTTTAACTCATTGCAGATGAACTATTATTCTAGAATTTGTCGATCTATTTTTTTGACCTTCCCTTTCATTACTTTAGAATTAAGATCGATTTTAGTTCATCTGTATCTATATTATGAGTTTACATATACTCTCGCCTGTAGTAATATTGATGTGAACTCTACAATTTGTATACTATGTACAGTGAAATACATACTATTCATTTCACTGACTATGTACGATACGTTGAATAGTTTGTTGTTTCTATTATAGAACTGAATTACCAAGCAACACGCTAACAAAACATGATGCAATAGAGCACCTTAAGATATCATAATTTATAATATTTAGTATGCATTCTTATTATTTTGGAGCTTTGAAAAGTTACATTTGTGAAGGTACAATTGTTTATCTATCAAATTATATTGCGAAGGAAGTGATAATGGCAATAACGATAATTTGCGAAGTTTCTCCCAAGTTAATTGCTGTTGCTATCTGTCTATTTCACTTTTGCATAGGCGTCCCAAAGGGCGTTCAGGGGTAGTAGATTTAAATAGAGTTGTCATGGTAGGATATAAATAAATATTTATTGAATATCAACACCAGTTATTTCTCCTTGATTTTAAGTTTTAATATATTAATTTTACTTTTTCGTAAATATGTCACAATATTTTAGATTGGATTTTATATTTTTAGTGTAAAACCTTGAAAACAACTTATCATTGCTTTAACAATAATAGCGATGGTTTATTATTAGAAAGACTAGAAGAAACGAAATTCTTATCGCATTTCTTACGTCATATCATCAGAAAAACAACTGAGTTATTTATTATTTTATGTCCAGTTGATAGGCAATTTTGGCGACGTGTTAAATGTAGAAAATTTTAGGCCATTAGTGTTTACATATTTTGAAATGAAAAAGATATGTTGAGAAACGTAATTTTCTTATAATTTGTACGTAAAGTTAAGAGTAGATCCGGTTAATTTTTTCTTCATTTAATATAAGAGAACTTATCTGACCTATCTCTATGTAGACAGATAAATTTCTATATAAAGTTAGGTTAGGTCAAGTTAAGTTATTTTATATAGGGAAATATTACAGCTTAATAAAGTAATATTACCGATTATACTTTTGTACGGTGCCAGTGTGGCATCTAAATTACGAAAAAAAATCTAAATTCTAACCTGTGTTCTTGACACAACATTCAAATTTCAGTACTTGCTATTTTCAACACGTTTACTTTATATATGGTTTCAAAATATTTGTACTTATATACATACATACATTTTTGCAGAAATTTTAAGGGCAAAAGATATTTATTTAGTATATTATTATGTTTTAGTATTAAATCCGCAATTTTTATTTTGTGACGTCACTCTCCATACTGTCAAAATTCTGCTATTCATTTTAATCTGTTATCCTTTGAAATGGGCAGTAGATTTGCTGTACTTTAGCCTTATTTCAGAAGAGGAAGAGGGAGATATTCAAGAGCACGACCGCACGGAATAAAAATGGCGGATATATCGAGAAATAATATATTAATATTTATCCTCCAAAATTTCTGTACAGATGTATATCTATCAATATAGGTCTTTGTATATTCAACATATTTTTTCTCGAAACCTAGCTATAACCATAACCCCAAAAAAATAACTTGGAGATTCGTATTCAGTACCCTCGAAAATAGGGGGGAGAGAAGAGGATAAACAAAATTTTATGAGGACTTGAGCATATTTTGCTATAATAAATAAGTTCCCCAAATAATTACTCAGAATTAATGTTCTTAAAATGTATTGACGATTTTATACACAACTCGAGTTTCCCCAGATTACAGTCGAAATTAGAAGACGTGGCAACAGCGTAAGATTTTCCAAAATGCGTACGAAACGCGATTTCGAAATTTTCGTCGTCGCCTTTTCCCGCTCCCGTGCCCCGCCTATGCTCCCCGTATCGATAACAACCGGTAGCGAGCGTCCCCACGGAGCATGCGCCTCGTCAGCGCGCCAAGTATATACCTCGCCGAAGTCCCCGTGCACGCGACGAGTCTACGCCACGCTACAATTCCCGCAGCACGTGCGGCATGCTGCAATAACCGTAACCGCTGAAATCAGCTCTGAAATGTGCGAGGAAGGCACCAAATCGGCCTGAAATCGTCTCGAAGTTCGGACGCGGGCAGTGACGGAGTGATGGGGTCATCGAAGAAGGCCGCGAACGGGGAGGCCGGCGGCCCCGATGTCGACAACACCGTCAAATTGCAGCGCAAGATCACCCTGATGAATGGGGTTGCACTTATAATAGGTAAGGGACAGTTGTTCTAGAATCCATAATTCAGCTCCGTAGTTTAAGTGGCTTAGTTTGGTGTTTGGGAAAGGAAAGGTGGGTTTATTTCGGTTTTTTTGAGGTTATGCAGGTGGAAGGCGTGCTAATATCCGACCAGGTGTTCCACAAGGACCACTAGTGGGGACTTTCGTAGGCACAAGTTTAACGTAGTATTTGTATTACATAACATTTGATGTTCGGTTAGGTGTTCCACAAGGAGCTGTAGTAGGGCCTTTTATTGGTAGAAGTATATTCTAGTTGGATTTGAATCACGTAATATTTAATTCAAGCGTGATTTACTAATGGAAAATATGTATAATAGATAACTCATTTGCAATCTCAACAGTGCAAATTCTACCGAAAGAGCTTGATCAACAACTAAAATTGTAAGCGCTTTTAATTTTTCCTGAACCTTTTTAGATAAAATAATGACATTTATTTGGTGCTATGATTACTTCACAAATAAAGTTATACCTACTTTACATTTTAAGAGATTTTAAAAGATAACGTCCCAAAATAACGCAAAATCTGTTAGCATATGTTTTATAATTAACTATTATCTACATTTTTAACAATCGTTATCTATTCCACAGCAATAATAATACTACAGCTCGGTCTAGAATGTGTCTATAGTGTGATAAAAGAGGTTTTTAAAGAAACTTGCCAGTGTTTCCATTCTACATTCATTAAAAAAAACTTGTACCTCGACCATATTTGGCAGTCACATTATACTTAATATGTCATATCCGACAGATGAGTGTAAATCTTTATTTCGAGGGGCAAATTCAGAGGAAGACTGGTGGGTCGAGATATAATGCTTGGAGGTATTTGAAATATAGAAACTAGCTGAAATCTCTGACCCAAAAGTTTACCGGCAATACTGTTAATATAACACCATTACGAACCCCTCTATTCAATCCTCTGAGGCATGTTTTAATGCTAATGTAATTATTTCGACCAAGTATTAAATCGTAGCATGTGCAATTATAATACAATAAGCAGAATTAATTTAGAATTCGTTTGCCATTTTTAATTATTGTTTATCCCTTTCTATTGCTACACGGTGGATGGTTTTAATAATGTAAGAGTTTATTAGTCATATGTTCAGTAATGTTACTGATAAACGAATTAATCAATGGTTTTGTCTAGTTGGCAAATGGAAGTGAATAGTACAGTTGGATTAATCAAATTATTTAAGGCAAAGAATTTATTTGGTTTGTTTATCATTTTTATAATTTTAGTTGTTTTTAATATCAGCTTTATACAGGGTTGCTAATTAGATTATCTCCTAAAGTAAGGTAGCTATCGAAAAATCATAAGATACAAACGTTTTAGGGTTTTTAAAAATCTATTATAATAAAGAAAAATTAAGTATACAGGATTAGACCAGGGTCGATAATTTTTGAAACCAAAAAAAATTATAGTAGGATGAAACCCATTGGAAAAGGAAGAGAATATAACGGAAATGAAAAGAAAAATAATTTACGGGCGATCTGAGGTCGGGAAGGGGAAGGGGGTGAGTTTTAAGGGTAAAAAACGGTTTATCTTGATTTCCGGAAAAACTACAAGTCTTATGGAAAAAAGTTAAATGGCAAAGTTGTAGGTAATAAAAAGATCTACAACTTTTGTATTTACACTTTTTTCACATAACCTCAAAATTTATGTGAAAAATTCAAATAACCAAGTTTTTGGTTTTTTAGTTTGATCTTTTACAAAAAATTTTTTTTTCACGAAATTTGGTGAAAACTTACCTATTTATGTCCCAAACACGCTGTAATTTTTTTGATTTGAAATATTTATTTTTTCACCTTATTTTTACTTAATATCGAAAAAGCACCCTAATTTTCAATCGAAAATTCTCACGTCAAAATATCTGCTTTTTTAAAAACGTCGGTGGGCTTTTTCTTCGTTGTAATCTCTACTTTCTGATGGTTAAAAAAAATATACATTACTATGGTAAGTTTTCTCAGGAAATGCAAAGAAACGAAAGAAGATTCTACAACTTTCTCAAAATATTGTAGATGTCTTATTAAATATTAACTTTATTAACTTATTTGGTTGTTAATTATAATAGTATATTTCGACTTGTAATTTTTTTGTTTATCAATGTAACATGGAATCTTACGTTTTTCGAGTAATTAAAGTGTAAATTTTAATAAATAGCTCAAAATTGTACATAATGATTAGAAAAAAATTTTCGGATTCTAGTTCGTTTCTTTGCATTTCCTGAGAAAACTTACCATAGTAATGTATATATTTTTTTACACCATCAGAAAGTAGAGATTTCAACGAAGAAAAAGCCCACCGACGTTTTTAAAAAAGCAGATATTTTGACGTGAGAATTTTCGATTGAAAATTAGGGTGCTTTTTCGATATTAAGTAAAAATAAGGTGAAAAAATAAATATTTCAAATCAAAAAAATTACAGCGTGTTTGGGACATAAATAGGTAAGTTTTCACCAAATTTCGTGAAAAAAAAATTTGTTTGTAAAAGATAAAAATAAAAAACCAAAAACTTGGTTATTTGAATTTTTCACATAAATTTTGAGGTTATGTGAAAAAAGTGTAAATACAAAAGTTGTAGATCTTTTTATTACCTACAACTTTGCCATTTAACTTTTTTCCATAAGACTTGTAGTTTTTCCGGAAATCAAGATAAACCGTTTTTTACCCTTAAAAACTCACCCCCTTCTCCTTCCCGACCTCAGATCGCCAGTAAATTATTTTTCTTTTCATTTCCGTTATATTCTCTTCCTTTTCCAATGGGTTTCATCCTACTATAATTTTTTTTCACATTTTACCATTTTTGAAGGCTTAAGCACTGGTCTAGATCGGAGTTTAAGTCTTATGATTTTTCGATGGCGATCTCACTTTAGGAGATAATCGACCATTTCCATACATGCGACCCTGTATAATACGTAAAATTTATGTAGATATTTCGCAAAATTTGCTATTAATTTATTTTTTTTCAGGTTAAATTTATTTTTCAACACCTGCTGAGATTTATGCCTTTTCTGTTTTCGATACTCTATTTAACTTTTTTTTTTAGCTAATGTTAGAGCGAAACAACTCGTGCTTTCATTGCACTTTGTAGGTCGCTCTTTGTCAGTAAGTGGACTTATTATCCCCTTCTTGCACCAGAATCTTCAATTGAAGTATAGACTAGGCGGTATCTGTTTTGGTTTGGGTGAATCGTATATCCACGCAGATTTTTGGCTTTTTCGGTTTCAAATATCACTAGAAATGAAAATTTTTCTATGCGCATAAAAAAACGTGGGCTTAACTTTTGGCGGCACAATATGTTAAAAAAATTCGAAAAATGTCATAATTTTCTTTCTATTTAATTACGTATCTTATCAAGAGTTGATTGTAGGCGAAAATGGAAGAGGAAGAAAATGTAAATGTGTAATTAATTTTTTTTCAAAATATGACTAGTTAAAATTGAATGAATCATGATTATTATTGTAAAAATCGAAAAATTGCTACAAATGGGGTTAAAAAACATTACTCTTTAGGGAATTTTTTTGGGGTGTTTAAATTGGGCATAGGACCTTCATACTTGGCTCAAAAAAACTTCATGTTATGTAGAATCATCACACCAAATTTCATCAAAATCGGTTCGATAGATTTTGCATATCGAGATATCGATTTTAAAAAAAATCATCAAAATCGGACCTCTAGAAGCTGAGATATTAAAAATTTATAAGCGCGTCGCGGTTTTGAACTCGCCGATTCAATTTCGAGCAGACCGAAGCGGCCGAGCTCTCTGCTTCCCCCACCACCACCATCCGTACGATTTTCTTGAATTTCTCGCTTGCATAAATAACATTAAACGCGTCTGTACTAGTATGCTATTCTCAGTGTGTGATTTTTGGTTAGACAAAATAGTTTAATAAAAATAATCCTTTTGACAAAATCTTGAATTAATTTAATTTTTTTTGTCACGGGTGGAAAAAAATCAATAAATAGAGAGAAAAAGTAAAACATACCACAAATAAGTGGAAAAACTTAAACTGTACTACAAATAAATAACCTGAGACAATATCCTTTTAGCACAAGATTGCGGGGTCGAACCAGTCGAGTGGTGTGACGTCACAATTGCTTTTCGAACGGTTTGGACCGTTTTAGATATTTGACGAATCATTTTCCATTGCACTCCATTGTTCTCTGTCACTACGTTAGTTTTATACAGTTTATTTTAAAATGAAAAGGTGACAGGCATTGTTGATAACCACGCACATACAATCGAATTCGGGAGCTGCCTAGTGACGGCGTTGACAGTTTAAGAAACAAATTATAACTCCACTATTTATTTTATTAAAAAAATAATAATAGTTTCATATTAGTACTCTGTTCTGTGGAACATTAAAAAACTGTTTCTCCACTTAAATTTACACCTTTGCCATTGACTTGAAATGTCTAATAACAATTTTTGTTTCAGGGACCATCATAGGAAGCGGCATCTTCGTCGCGCCCGCCGGCGTCTACGTGAGCACAAAATCCGTGGGCATCTCCATCATCATCTGGTGCCTCTCGGGCCTCTTCTCCACCCTTGGGGCGCTGTGCTACGCCGAACTAGGAACTTCCGTAACTAGGTCCGGGGGCGATTACGCTTACATCTACGTCGCGTTTGGACCTTTGGCAGCCTTTTTACTTCTTTGGGTGTCCCTGCTCATTATTAGACCGACTACACAGGCCATCGTGGCTATAACATTCGCCGAGTACGCCGCCAAGCCATTTTTTGACGAGTGCGGACCTCCAGAGAATTCCGTTAGACTTCTGGCTGCCGTCTGTCTATGTGAGTTTATTATTTTCGTGTATTCTTATTATATTAAGAGAATGTTAAAGGTTGAATGTAGAAGTGGGTGTAAAAAAATAGCTAAGGGCGTACAAAAATGTTCGGTACCCTATTTTGTAGCTACTCAGACGTTTCATTAAAACGTTACCATGGCAACGAAAAAAATATCCGGGAAATTTTCTCTTAGACGGAATTGCACTGAAAATTTTCTGTTATTTATGATGATATGTACTGACATTATAAAGGCAATTAGTTCTTTCGTGTAATGTTATAATACAATTTAAATTAAAATAATTGGTAATTTATTTTTTCCTAAACTCTAATGTAAGATTTCAATTTTATTTGAGTTATCTTACAATTAGTGAAAAACTTACGTCTTTTATTATTTCGGACGAAGAAAATTAGTAATTTTACTTTATTAACTCAAGGTTTTTAATAATATTATTAAAAAAATGTACATAAAATAATTCGAGCAATTAATAAATGAATATTGATACAAAATTACTTATTACAGTTATTGGAAACATTAAAAACACTATTATTATAAACGAGTGTGGGTTGGTTTGTGTTAACGGTTTGCACCTTGCCGTTTTCTTTTTTGGTGTTATGTTCTGTTATATTTTGGTCTTGACTAAACTGACTGGTAGTAGTGTGCAAAACCATACTTATCGTATCAACTTCAACGTCACCTGTAACGTGGGTGTTGTATAATAATGAAAATGTAATATTGACAGTTGGTAGAAGGAAGCGCAAAAACAAACGCTTAGGTGGGGAATTCTGTAAGGAAGTCTAAATAGTTGAAGTGAGAACAGTGTGGAGATGGGAGTAAGACGATCGGCGGGCAGTGTGGCAAAATAGTACAAAATCAAAGTGTTTAACCCGTATTAATTGGCAGGTAATATTCTCTAAGTACTTTGTTGTTAATTGTTCTATGTAATCTTATGATTGTGATGATTATAGATGTTTAATGATAACAATTCGTCTCTGTACGTTTAGCCACCATTGCTTTATGCTCAAGGGCATATATTTTTCTAAGGTAAAATTGTTACAATTATTATTAACGATTGCTCATTATTTATTACATGTTAAAATGTGTATATATTGTCGTGTCTGCCCAGATCTTGCAGTAACAACTCCTTTGTTTTACATTTAACTTGTTTTGTCATGAATACATTGTTCGAAAAACAACTAATAAAGCGTTTCTTGTGCTCACTTTATGTCGTACGCCTATAAGAGCCTTGTTGAATTTACTAACATTTTCGCCCTTGAGGTACGAATCTGACAAAAAAATAATAATTAAATACAAAAAAAGAATTGCTAAAACAGATGTTCCGAAATCTCAACTCATAGCTGGATTGCCTCCCGTTATAAAATAACCAGGTATTAAAACGTAGATTGGATATATTTACCTGTTTTTTTATTTGTAAGTTGCGTTATATTTTTGGAAAAAAAACATTTATTTTCTAAATATTTACAATTCCCGCCCCTTACGCCGAACGTTTTTCGTACGCCCATGGCGAAAGCTCATTATTAGATTACTAGTTACTCGGGGACTGTGTCGGACACGGACATCCACTCTCCACTTCATGCGTAACCAAATTTGTACAAGAGATAAGGGCCACGGAGACGAAGGCGAAGCCCCGATGAATCGCTAGCTAACGAGCCATTCCCTCTGGGACCGAACGCTTAGCGACAGTCTATTGTCTCATTGTTGCAGGTCTACTCACTGCGATTAATTGCCTGAGCGTGCGATGGGCCATGAGGATCCAGAGCATATTCACGGCGGCCAAACTGGTCGCCCTCGTCGTCATCGTGCTGGCTGGGGTCTACCACGTGGGGACCGGTAAGTGATTTCAGTTGCAATAAGCGGATTCGTGAGGCTAGGACCAGGGTCGGCACCGGGATATTTCCGAACGCACCGCTTGACAATAAACAAGTCACAAAAATTAAGGGATAAAAAAAGTTCTAAATTTTTTGGTCATTTACAGAATAACTTGGCGAAAAATGGTCGTAGAGCATTAAAAAAAGCAAATTGAACGTTGAAGTTTCTAGTTTCAGGATCTGAAAGTTAAAATTTGTTATCGCTTAAGAAAATCAAGAAATCCAGCAGAAAAATATTTTCTAAATTTTTGGCTCACCACAGGCCTCAATAATTTTTTTTTGGCAATCCCACCTGTCTTGCAGTTTGATTCATTCTCTTTAATTTGAGATCTATAAAATGTTCTTATCAATTTTTGGTAAAAAATTTTTCCTATGCACGAAATTTGGTTCAAAATGACTAAAAAATGCGTATTTAACGATTTTCGCTAAACTTGAGATAACTTTACAAAATACCAATACAAGTAGACTAATATATTTTGTCTTTTTTTAACTTCAAAGTACCAAACGATTTTTCTTTCATTGTGATCCGAATAAATGAAATTGTCACTAAAAATCAAACAGGATAAATTTTTCTTCTTTTATTAATTTTTTTACCAAAATCGTACAAAGCTCTTGAATAGATCAAATTAAAGAGGACGAGTCAAATTAAAAGAACTGACATATGGGATTGCTAAAAAAAATCTTGACCCCCGTGGACCTTTTGAAAGTGAAGCAAAAATTTAGAAAATTTGCTGGATTTCTTCCAATTGCTTAAAGGTGGTCAGCAATAAAAATTTTTAACTGTCAGATCCTGAAACTAGAAACTTTAATAGTACATTCATTGAAGCTGAAAATCAGCTGTAACCTCCGAATTCTATGAAACTGCATGGATTTGCATGAAAATTTAGAATAAGGCGCATCTTAGGCTCAAGTTCAAAAGTGACATAAGCCCGATTGACGCTTTTCGTTTTTTAGGGGTAAAAACTACCCTTAAGTGAAAAAATTGAAAAAATTAAGTTTTAAGCATTTTATTAATGAAAATCTTGTTCAAGCACAAAGATTAAATATGCTCCATGTTCTCGAACATGTTTCATGAATTGATAATATATTTGATCTTTTCCACCCTTTATTTAACCCTTAAAAACTACCCCTGTATTGACAAAAATGAAAAAAAATTACATTTTAAAAGCTTGGGTTGCTTTAACGGTGCAATTATTTAAAATAAAAATTCCCTCATTGCTTATGAAAGAATTTGTATCTCATAACACTTTTCAACCCTTATAAATCACCCCTGTGTTAAAAAAATGATAAAAAATGTCATTGGTTTTTTTACCATAACTCGGTTAATTTTGAAGCTATAGTATTCTATAAAATAGCATTTTAAAGATAATTTCAAGAGCTGTAAGATCGTTTGCATATACAACCTTTTAAGTCTTTCGTATTTTAAAGGGAAAGGATCGAAGGGCTCGAGACAGGTCGTTTTTTTACTAAAATGTATACTTCAAGCGGCGATATCTCCTTTATTTTTATGCTATAGGAATAAAAAAAGCTACATTTTTGTTGTCTATCATTTTTTAAGTATCTTTCATAGTTTCAGAGTTATTATATAAAAAAGGCAATTTTTTTTGAATAATGATAAATACATTTTCAACTTTTACCGTACATTATTAAAAAATACGCACTACACTAAAACAAAACTAATTGTAAAGGGGCTACGATTAATTTTAATTATATGATGGAAATGGTACAGCGTTTACTGCTCATTTTTCCTTAAAAAATATGAGCAACCCATCTGTTTTTGACGATAACTCCTTCAATTTTGCTCTAATTAACTTTTATAAGTGCTCATTTTGAAGGTCGTTTTGAGTACTACAAAAAACTCTAGGAGCGTTATACCAGTAACATTAATCATTTTTCCGTTATTTATTGACGTTGAATACATCGATTCGAGTATTCCCCAAAAAAAAGTCCCTTTCCACTAACCATACTTCGCTTTGTATAGGAAGTACAACACTTTTTAAAAACGATTGTCTTTATTTATAAGCTACTTTTTTGTTCATTACACTTTTTTTTTAATAAAATGCGTAATTTTTGGTTATTCGCGAAAAATACTTTGAAAAAGTGTTTTATTTCACTCAAAATTCCAAGTTTTCAATCGTGAATAAATAAAAAACTATTGATTTCTCGAAAAAATTCTTCGAATATTTTTTGCTCAAAATTTGATTCTCTACTACTATTTCCAGTGTTATTTTTGAAAAAAAAAAAAATTTCCACCCCCGAGAAGGGATGTCAACCCCCAACAGGGTGGAAACGTCAATCAGCGCTATGTCACTAATGTTCATTGACCTTTTCTTTAACTATCTGCCAAATTTCAAGTCGATCGGTTCAGTTTCAAAGAATTCGAAGGTGGAAAGCTTCAATGACTGTACTATAAGCTTCCATTTGCTTCTATTTTTATTGCTCTAGGTCCATTTTTCGCCATTTTTTTTTTCCTTTAATTTTTGCGATTAATGTAATTTGGTGCTTTACAAATAATTTGCCCTAGGATTGTTCCCACGCTGCTATCAAGTGTTGTTAATTCGGTTCGCAGTTCGTCATTCACTATAAAAGGAGTTAATTGATACATTTCGCAGATCTCTAATTATTCTCTGCCTGCTAACTGCAAAACGTGTAGGTTGTTTGGAACAATTGTCGCCTCAATTCGATGTTCAAGACCATATCGCTATTTTTTTTCTTGTTTTATTAAAAAAAGGTACAAGGCAGGTCCGTGGAAGCAAGGGAAACATTACTTCCATAATTTTATACCGATCACGAATTATACAGTGTGGTAGAACTTTGTTTGCCGTCACTTCAGCATATAAATGAACAAAAAAGTTGATGTAACATTAGTTTCTCTTTAAATACGTCGATAATACGATATTATAATACTGGGGAATTTTGTCACAACTTGGCAACACAGTCCAATCACTTGGATAATAATGATCACTGCGGAACGTCCGATTGAGAAGACCAAGAACCGAAATGAACACCAGTGCAGGCCTAGGGGTTCTGATAGCGGACCCGCCCCCGCAGCGCCTAGCCCAAGAGCAACAAGGGCAGGTCAAGGATTCCTAGCTAAGGCCAAGGATGTGCAGTGCAAGTCTGTAATTACTCCAGTCCAACTAGATAATAAAACCTGAAAAACTTGAAACAATTATTAGTAAACATTTTATTACACTTTATGAGTGGTATGTGTATGTAGAATAGAAATATCAAAAAAGTAACTCGAAAGAAGTGACGCTAAGTTGGCAATTTGAAAATATGTGGGAAATTTACGAGTTTTTTTCAGTTTTTACTGCCCACGAAACGACGACCTGTAGGAAAATTCATTGTCATTTCTTGTTGTAAGCAAATAAATTACCTACAATTTAAGGTATCTAAAGTCATATTTCACCAATTTGTTAGCTGTGAAATAAAGGTCGAACGCGGAAAAATCAGTTTTCGAAAATTGCGCATTATTATTGCAAAAAGCGATGGATGTTGATGAAATTTATGGAAAAGACGGTCAATCCAATGACCAACATGTTGCCAACCGGCGATTCAATCAATTCAACTTATCACATTTCATTAGTTTAAAAAAAACAATTTTTTTCACCGAAATGGGTAGGGATTGGGATCTCCGTCATATAAACTTTTTTATTTATTTTATTGTACAGTGTTGCCTATTAATTATGACAGTCGAACTTGTAACACACTGTATATCTTGATCCATTATTTGTTGCTCGCGTAATAATTATATCTCTCCCACAATTCAATAATTTTTCGTATTTTTTAGAATATCTTTTTGAAGTAACTGAAGGTACTAAGTTAATTAAAAGCCAATTTGGTGATTACTAAACCACGTATGTTCTTGCTGAGAAATCCATTCTATTAGCTAATGGCTACATGATTCTGAGTACATATTTTTTTAATTCCGCTTAATCTTTCCTTGCATTGTTACAATCAGTGAAGTGTTATCTACTAGTTCGTGAATTAGGTTACAAGAAGTTAATTTTTTTCTAACACTACATTCACATCGTGTCTTATTATGTTGCTAAGTTGGCAGTGCCGACAGTGCCCAATAGTATCAGCGTTTTTCTTAAGTGTAACTCTACACTGTATTTCATTGCCACGAATCACCAAATCACCAAACTGGAAACTCAAAAATTACGTCATTCGACGAGGTAATTTGAAATGAAATATTTCGTATTTAATTTCTTTGTTCAAAACAAGAATTTTCTTTACATGATGTGCGTTTAAATATTTTTTTAATTTGAATAAAGGATGTATAAAATGGGAAATTGCCCCATTGCCTTTTCCAAATTGCCAATCGATTCAGCAACATTTGGAAGTGGGTATGTTGTACCTGAATAATTCTACTAAATGTTACATTCTCTAAAATCAGGTTATCGGCAGACTTTGACTGGTACAACTGTACAAGTATCACGAGACAAGTCCACTGATCTTAACTGATGAGGGTATAAGTTAGGAGAGTGTTGTTCGTAAACATATTTAAGTGAGGGTAATGCTCTGTTTCGTCGTGTGTTTTACTAATTCAGATGGTTAACCAGACATATTGTCTATTAAATGTAAAATTTGGTTGGGTTAGAAAAAAAATTGTGAACATTCCCAAATGAAAAATGCAATCAAAAATTGGTCAATAGTTAACCTCTGAACAGAACTGGGTATGAATACCGAAAAAGTATTCAGTCCCTGAGTACCCCTGTTAAAGAAGTACCCATGATTACTTGAAACTGGTCCCAACATTCAAAGAGTACTTGAATTCAGAATACCCGTATTCAAGTATTCACATAATTCGAATATAATGTTGAATATTTACCTCAAAGGTTAAGGACAGAAATGGACTATCGTATTATCTGAAGGAAAGGTACGCTGTTTTTGGTAAAAGGAAACTGTTACAACAAACTAAAATAGGGCAGGTACCGTGTGTGCAGAGCTGGGTATGAATACACAAAAAGTATTCAATCCATGAAATTTAGATTCTATATTGAAAAAAGTATTCATAATTACTCGAATCCATAATAATTCAAAAAGTACTCGAATCTAGAATTCTCGTATTCATATATTCACATACGAATACAACATTGAGTTTCTGGCGTTGCAAATAAAAAGAAACTATTGCAACTGAAATACGGAAGCTACGATACGATGTCTGCAGAGCTGGGTAAGAATACAGAAAAACGATTTAATCCATGAATACTGAATTCTCTGTTGAAAAAAGTATTCATTACGTGAATTCTGAATACAATATTGAAAAATTACTCGATTCCACAATACACTAGTATTGAAGTATTCATATTATGCGAATACAATATTAAGTACTTATCTTGGAGATTAGAGACAAAAAGAGATTGTTGTTATATCAAAAAGGTACGATATTTGTAAGGTTGCAGATAAAAAAAATTGTTATAACAAACTGACATAGGGAAAGTACGATACGAAGTCTGTAGAGCTGGGTATGAATACAAAAAAATGATTTAATCCATGAATACTGAATTCTTTGTTGAAAAAAAGTAAATGTGATTTCAAACTGAAATAAGGGAAGTATTAAGTCAATGAACACTGAATTTTCTCTTAAAAAGTCATCATGAATCCCGAATACAAAATTCAAAGAGAGTTCGAGTAGAGAATATTATCAAGTATTCACATTATACGAATACAATGTTGAATACTTGAAGAAAAATATCAAATTTTATGAAAGAGTATGTAATTAGGCTAAATTTAATAATTGTGTTTGATATAAAAGTTGTGAAGATATAATAAAACAACAAATTCTTGAATCCTGATTAATTGTATTCGAGTAATACCCAGCTGTGCTCTGAGTACCTCAAGGATAGGTTCTCGGGCCATTCCTTTTTGAAATGTACATACAAATATGTTTTGTTCGCTTGTGACTTCGAAATCCTTGAACCAAAGGATAATTTATTTCAACAATCTTAAAAAAACATCAACGTTAAAGATATCATTCTGACGCGAATGTTTTTAAATAATACTCAACACGAAAACATCGTTGAAATAAAAAAACTGTTTAAATCTCGCCGCTATTCAAGGCAATGCCGTATGTGGCTCGCTTTTTTTTTATTTGTAAGAGCAATCAACTAATGTTTGCTTCTCTCGAATTAGGACATAGACCATCACTTTATTACCGACCGGTTTTGCTGTCTGGCAAAGATTCGGCAGTGCAGTAGATGCAATACCCTGCAAAATTATGCGAGCTTTTCTGGTTTTAGCAGGTCGTTCAACTCCTACCTGTTGAGTTGAACCCGCTAGTCTAACTGCTACAAATCGTTTTATGGCCTTTCAATCACAACAAAGCAAACTCCAATAATAATCTAAACAGAAAACCTCTCAAATGCACCTTCTGACTTATTTGAAAAGCGGATATCATTCAAATACTTTGTTACCCGAGCCAGAGGCGTATCATTTTTGAGTTAATTAGGATTATATTCTTTTAGGGCACCTAGAAAATTTCGACCACGCCTTTGAAGGCAACTATGATGTTACTCATATAGCTCTGAGTTTCTATTCTGGACTGTTTGCTTTTGGTGGGTGGAACTTCTTGAATTTTGTTACTGAGGAATTGCAGGATCCTTACAAGTAAGTGAATTGTTTTTATGTGGGAAATAAAGAGGATATATTAAACTTTTTTATTGCTTAACTTATTTATTTAAAAGTGGAGATCATAACATTGTGTAGTCAAAGTTATTTGTTTGTGTAAAGTCTATTTTAAATATTTAATTAAGGTTAGAATTGCTATTTTATTGCGATTAAACTGCATTAAATGAAATAAATAAATTTTCAAGTCCATAGCCGTTTTTTTACAGGAAAAATCCAAATCTTATGAAACAAATTATTATATGAAATTTAAAAATTATCTTAATAAAAAACAATCGTCAAACCATTAATTAAATTATTTTGATTTGTCAATTGATGTTTATTTTGCATTCTTTTGTATAAAAATATTAATTTAAACAATATTATCCATAAATATTGACAAATACAAGGTACAATTAAACTATTAATAAAAAACATGTTTAAAAAATTACATCGGCCAACAAAAAAAAAGGTTATGTGAACTTTACATGCGGCATATGATTTCCTGTGTATTTTTGTCTCCTGAGACGAATCCATAGTCTGTTTTGCTCTATCACCCTTCAGTTTTCCGTAAATCGCTGAATACCTTCAGAAAATCGCTAAAAATCTCCAGTAAAATGGAGAAATTTAGGAAGTGACGAGATCTTAACATGCGACACATGTTTTTCGACGTAATTTTACCTCCTGGATCCGAATCCGTTGTCAGAATTACCCCATAACCCTCTAGTCTTCAAAAAATCACTGAAGATCTTCAGAAAAAAGGCGAATTTTGAGAGGTGACGAGATCTTGACTTGCGGTATAGGGTTTCCCGTGCATTTTTGTCTTCTGAACACGAATCCATNAGACCGTCTAGTTTGACCGACAATAACAGACTGTGGCAGCTGTGGTACGGCTCGATTGTTCGGGCTATAGAAGGAGTTATCGAAGTGGCAGAACACTCTGCAGCTGCTATCTGAAATACCAGCTGTTAAAAAGTATCGGTGGTGCGAATTCGCACTAGTGTGACCTTTGAGGGTTAAGAATCTCATCCGTTTATCATCCCATCAGAAATATTCCCTTTATTGTACTTTGAAACAGTCACAATTGATTGTGTACGAATATCTTTAGATATCCTAAATCCGACTCTGCCTTTAGGACTGACTACAATATAAAAAACGATAATTTTAACGTTTTTACCTTGAAGTTTAAGTGAGCGTGTACATAACTGCACACTTTTTACCAGAAGCGTAGATATTTTATTTTCGCGTAACCATCCATATCCGCGATAGTGATGTATATGTATATGTTTAAATGGATGAACTGGGTCCCTGAATTAAACATACTCCGCTTTCTTTTATCACGTTTTCAGCGAGGAAATAAAACGCTTTCGGTGTTTGATTCTGTCGGTATAAATTGGAGGCGTGATTTTAGCTTGATTGGGACACTTAAGAGGAGGAAGGTGCTGAAATAAAATCGCTTGCGTTTTACGGGAACTATCCCAAGTAATAAAAAGAACAATACTAATACAAACGGCGGGATCGATCAGCTTCTTTCGGTAGGTTTAAGATACTGTGGAGAAAAAGTGTTTTGTTTCTAGTCCATAGTAACTTATTTAATAGATGCAGTGTCATTTTTTTGATAGGAAAGGAAAAAGATGTTCCTAAGTATTCGAATTACCTGTAGATCATAATAAAACCTGAAAACCTTAAACAAGGGTTACGTGTTTTTTCATTTTTTTTACTGCCCACGACCTATCCGAAAATTAGTGATTTTATGTTGTAAGCTATTAAATTACCTACAATTTAAGGTACCTAAAGTCATTTTTTACCTATTTGTTAACCATGGGCGTAGCTAGGGGGAGCAGAAAAAAAGATCTAATATTATCGTCTATCATATCGGCATATAGGCTAGGCTTTTTTTCAGGAAAAAAATACTTTTAGAAGTTTCTCTGCGGAATATTGTTCAGAAACGTATTATAAACAAAATATCAAAAAATCAACTCGAGACTAGTTGGGAAACTTTGTTAAAACAATGGTCAAAGTTATGGAAAAGTGGTTTTTTGACTCGCGTAAAAAAACTGTTATTCATTGAGAAAAAGGGTTTATACAAAAAAGGTAGGTATTAAATAAATCTGTAAAATAAGACAAGTCCGATTAAATTCCGATAATTTGTTTATGTGCAAGAGCTCAAAAATGGTCGAAATTGTCCGTTTTTTTCAATTGCTAATAATTAATGCAATTTTCATCGCAGACACTTGTAATTCACGATTTTTGAGGCTTTTTGCACCCTTATTAAGTGGTAAAAATTTCAGCCCGAAAGCTTCATTGGTTTGGCGTTGGCGGAATTTGTTATCTAAGAAGATGCTATTTTCAATTCATTTTTCCCAAGCTCACAGGCGTTGTAGGGTTTTGATCATTAGTTGTTTTTGTACCTAAATAGTTGTATTGACATATGCATTTACTGAGAATTTAGTTTTTCAAATATAATTTGTTTAAAAATGACTGAAAAAATGTTAATATTTATTAAATTGTTAAGATGGGTAATTATTATAAAATAAAATAGTAACCTCTATACTTTAGTTTTCTTCGAATTTAAAAAAAAGTCGGTGTTGTAAGTTGATCAGAAGCTGAGATAATTTTTTTTATTTAATCGCAGTAACCTTAATTATTAATATTAAGAGCCGAAATTTGAAGAGAGTATACATTAAGAGCTATATTTTCATGTCCTATATACATTAACATTAAGGTGAATTCAACTATTTAATTGCGAAAAAGAAGATAGCGGCGATGCGTTCTATAACTTGGTCTAGTGAAGGAGTGGGGAGAGCGAGGCGGAGCATGCGCGCTTAACAATTTAATAAACATTAACATTTTTTCAAAACTTATTAAGGGTGTAAAAAGCCTAAAAAATCCTGAATTACAAGTGTCTGCGATGAAAATTTTCAACCATTTTTGAGCTGTTTTGCATAAACAAATTATCGGAATTTAATCGGACTTTTCTCATTTTATAGGCTTATTTTATACCTACCTTTTCTGTATAAACTTTTTTTCGCTATGAATAATAGTTTTTTTACGTGAGTCAAAAACCACTTTTCCATAACTTTGACCACTGTTAAAACAAAGTTTCCTAACTAGCCTCGAGTTGATTTTTTGATATTTTATTTATACAGGTTTCCGAACAATATTCCGCAGAGAAACTTCTAATAGTACCTACTTTTTTCCCGAAACAGGCTCTTTCATGTCTATAATGACTGGGCTAATATCGGTAAGTCGCTGACTGCGTGATTTTTTTTTTACAACATTCATATGAATTAGATTTTGTGGAATTAATACTTTTTACATTTAATCCTATATTTATAATATTGCTATTGCAATTAGTTTGTAGAATTAGCTTTACCTAGAAAATTGCTCCCTATTTTTGAAAAAAAAATTCTATAGAAACGGTTATTTTTAGATCGTTTAAGAAATAATAAAAAACACGTGTTTCAGTTTAAACACGCTCCCTAATTGTCGGGAATTAATCGGACTGAAGCTTTGGAAGTGGACCTTTGATTATAAAACAAATACTGTAACAAAAAGTAGCAAGTAGCAAAATGCTATTAGCTGTTTAGCAGTCGCGTTTTGAGCATAAGCAAATGTGTACCAGCTGTTTCTTGCAAAACTCCGGGGAAAGGGTCCGTGGTAAAATCGGGGGAAACTCCGGGGAAAAACTTCGGGAAAAGTCCAGGGAAAAATTTCAGTAGAAAACTGCGGGCAAAATCTCCGGTGCAAGGTAACTGACTTAATACAAATGAAAAAAGCAAAAATAAGTCAAAAATGATTCGTTTTAAGAATAAAACAGGATTTTTTTTTGCTTAGAATCACCACAATAACTCACAAGCAGTGACTTTATAATCAAATTTAGTAAATGTTTAATTTTAGTCAGACAAATCATTAAATATAATTTCATCGAAATCGGAAATATTTTATAAACTATGTTTTTTCAAACATCAACACTAAAAAATCCTATGAAGGAATAATCAAAACATAAACCGAAACATCGTTTATAAAGACAGTATAATGGCTATAAAACACTCTGTAGGAAGATAGTATAATGGCTATAAAACATTTAAATTCATAGGAATTAGATTTTATGGAATTAATACTTTTTACATTTGACCCTATATTGATTCTAATCATGGGCGTAGCTAAGGGGGAGCAGGGGTGTGTACGGACCACCCCAGAAAAAAGATCTATTATCGTCTATCATATCGGCATATCGGTAAGTCGCTGACTGCCTGACCTTTTTTTTAGAATAAAATCAAAACGTGTTCAGGTTTTTGAAATTTTATTCGGCAAGTTGCTGATTGCAAGTTGATTGATAGAAGTTAATATCGTAGATATAGGTTCTAATTGATACGAAGAAACGAATCGCAAACGAAACATTTGTTGAAATTAAGTAGTCCAAAGTAGAACGTGCAAAACAGCGTTTAGACAAATAAAAGCCGCTCGGGAATTCGCTCTTTTTGCATTAATTAGAGACTATTTTTACGGTAATATAAAAAAAGAAAAATCACCTAGGCCTCATTTTGGTCCCAAGTCTCAAGATAGCTGGTAAGACATAAGGTCTGTTCCAACAAGAGTCAGGTATTGGTTCCGAACCGTTCGAAATGTTTGGCCAGCTAAGTTCTAAATGTGTCTTCAGTGAATATATCGCAAGAATTAGTTGGATGCACATTTCTGACGGTTCGGAACCAGTCCCTGACTATTGTTGGAACAGACCTATAATGTCGCTAGAGAGCAGTGCGGGAGTGGTGGGGTGACCGCGGGCGAGAGGGCAGCAGCCAAGCAGTACGTTGGAGAGTTTCGTAAAGGGCCCATGTATGTGTGTTCACGAACATAACTAATATTAATATTATTATTGTTAGATTACTATAAATAAACAAATTCAGTCCAATATACAGTCCATTGTTTAAACCAAGGGAACTAGCAGCGAGTATTCAAAACAATAGCTTTTTTTTTAACATTATTGGACGTATCCGAAATTTTAGGGACAATTAAACAAAGGATTAAACTTTTATTCCTAAAAAGTTTTACATTGACAGTTCATATAATAAACGCGCTAGCAGCAGTAAAAATTAACGGAAATGAACGGTCTGCACGCGGGAGGAGCACCAGGCCCGCTCACGCGCGTGAGCGCCGCTCTCGCGCGCGCGAGATTTTTTACTTGAACAGTTTGTAAACTTTGACAACTTTGACGTTTCACGACAACAAAATGTAACTTAACACTTAACCTTCAAAAACTCTCCGCGCATTAGCGCGGCCGTTTGTATAAATTTCCATAGGTTGCTAAGAACAGTATAGATATAAAACAATCCCTAAGCTTCTAACATGAATGACAAAAATTAAACATTTTTAGAAACAACAAGTAAACAAATGTTTAAACAAAGCACACTAGGGCGACCTTCGCTGCAATGTCACTGATATGTATAGGAAATTATCGTTTTAGTTTCCTTGACCATTTTATTTTGAACCACGTTATAGATAGATTACATTTTATTGCTTCACACCATCACATTTTGGTCTAAATACGGTCGTATAAGTTCCTGTCGTATATTTTCTATATCAAATTCTCAGTATATAAATACGTTTTATATCTCAGTTTTAATGGTAGTCATATCTATAAAATCTTGTTTATACCCTCTGTCACTTTGCTTTGTCGTAACAGGATTAAAGTGCTAAGTCAACGTTTATAATAAAATTTTATTGTTTGGATTTAATTGTGTTCGCTATTATCTTGAATATTTAATTCATATTTGACGTTAAGTACACACTCAGTTGTTACTGTATAATTAGAATCGCGACAAAATTTAAAAGATGAAGGTGTTCCCCCACGTGAAATGTAGAGAACAATTCGTTTATTTTTACTTAAATCCTTGTAAACAGAGATTAAAAGCGGCATTTTATTGTTAGAATAAGAAACATTTTCACACGTGTCATACACTATTATTTTTATCCACAAGTAATTTTTTAATTTCCTAATTAACTGACTATAGAATTTATAAAAATATTCCAGATACTCGAAAAAGTATGTACAGTATACAGTTTGTTTCTTATTAAGAAATTAATAGAAATATAGTAGCTAATTTTCTTAGAACTGAATAATAAACTATTTAGTTAAAAACCACAAAAATAGTCAATGGTTTTCTAACATTTCATATATACAGGGTGTCCACATATCGTCTTAACCATTGGCCTCAATGGACAATACATTTTTGCGTGGAAACTGGAGGAACTTTTAGGAAACGATTCTGCTTGGTTAAAAAATAATATGTAATATATTTTTTCAGAAAAATTATTAGATTAATTAAATTTAACTGAAATTTAAAATTAATTTCTATATTCCATATTTAGAGGCAGTTGGCCTACTTTAATTTTTTCAATTTATCGAATAGTTATATTATCTTCAAACGAATAATTTTTCTCAATAAAAAGGGGCTCCATCTACACAAGAAATACATTTTTTGTTGCTTTTGCAAGACCTACTTAATTTTTTATACACATAAAAAAATGCAATAAATACTCTCATATATAATTGTTTTCCAAAATGCTAAAATTTCAGATTAATTTTTGTTGAAGACGAGGATATGTGAACACCCTGTACATATTACATATTAGAATGGTATTGGTTATTATGAGTTTCTTAACTGTCATCCGTGTATTATTGACTTTTAAATAAAATCAACTACTACCCATATTTTCCAAATTATTTATGTGTAAAGGACACCCTGTTTACGTTGGTTCGGCTAAACACATGCTTTTATAACGAGCGTTCAAATAAAAACGTGGTCGAAGTTGGCTCTGACACATTGGACGTAGGGCGTAGCTTATAGCGACCAACTCAACCTCATTTCTCAACGAGCTGTATAGCAGCTGTCAGTTTCAATAACAAAGCGTCGATACAGCGCTTTGACAGATGACTTTTAAGTTCATTTGCTATACGCTACGCCCTACGTCCAAATTTTCAGAACCAACTTGACCACGTTTTTATTTGAACGCTCGTTATTTGAATGGAATAGAATTTTTGTTTCAACGATTTTTTTTATACAATGCTATAGAAAAGTTTTCTCTCTTTATTTACTTTGACTTCAGTACATCTAAGTAGATACTTGCATTTTTTCTTCTTTTGTTTTTAGATAGCATCTAACCATTTTATTGGAAGGAATTTAAAAGTTTTAACGGTGTAAATGATATATCCGCACCTGTCGGTAACCTAGAAAATCGCTTTGAGTGAATGTGACCCAATTCCGAAAAAAAAAAGGTCGTTATAGCTAAAAACCGCAATAAACATATCATTAAACAAGGTGCAAATGACGGATCAGCTGTTTCACTTAATTACAGTAACTTATTTTTAAGATTTGTTGAATGGTGAAAAATATTAGAAAGGTTCAAGAAGACGAATTGCAAAAGAGTGCTTATCCTTTCTAATCAACCAGAAACAATTGAGTAATTTCGTCTTACTGACGCCATTGTTATAAATTCGGGTTCAATATTTTCTCATTAAAGAAAATCGTTTATATTTACCTGGTAAAGTCTAAAGTAGATATTTGCTTACGCAAATAACTTATTCTAGTCGTAACATCGGTCGTGATTATAATTTGAAAACAAGACAACTGATTGGCTGACGACGCTGACGTTAAAAACACGATTGGCTATTATTTGACAGTGATTCGAAATCACAGTGCAAAAGAAAACGAAGGCACTAATCACTAAACACCACAAAACATCCAATACACTAAACAGTAAACAACTAAACACTATATTAATATTAAGGGAAATATAAGCCATTTTCTTTTGCTCTCAGCTTTGAATCATGATCACTGAATCAGGATCAGACAAACACGAACTATTCATGAATCCAATTCCGAACAGAACAGGATTTTGTTTACTATTGACATTTAATTTGATTTTAAATATCGTTTAAGTATACCTATTCTTTTGTGTACAATTGAAATAAAAATAGTAATTGCCTTCTTAGAGAAAAAAGAAACCACCACAATTTTAAGGTTAGGGTTAGATTAAATATGTGATCGTGATCAAAAGTTTGAATAACAGAAAAAGCTTGATTCATAGGGGAAAGGGGATTACTGATCCTGATCATATCTGATCTGACATGATCCGGAAACAAGAAAACAAAACAACTATAATATTCAGTGTCAAAATTAAAACTGAAATAATCGATCAACAATTGAACATTCGTGGGTATAAAAAAAACATTAAAATAATGCTTCTTCCAGGAATTTGCCAAGAGCTATATGGATAGCACTTCCCATGGTAACAGGAGTTTACGTTCTTGCGAATGTAGCCTATTTTGCTGTGCTTTCCGGTGTTGAAATTGAGAGCTCGCCGGCAGTTGCTCTGGTAGGACAAACTATATACAGTGACCAGTAATTTTGTTCGAAACTGTAATTTTATTTCATTCATTCTCGTTAGCAATTAAATTTCGGTAAAATAAGACGATGAGATCAAAATTATACTAAATCACATCTGTTTCATCGACTTTCATTGGTGTAATTTTTCATTCTACCAATCGGCGATCGGATTATCTCGAGCGTAGACGCAATGGTTTGTCATTGTACACGTAAACGAATCATTAATTTTACCGAAATTTAATTACCAACGTGAAGGGAATAAAATTGCTGGTCACGTGACTTGCAATAATTTACGAAGGCTCTCTGTATTTTTTTATATTTTTAACTTTTCCCAGTGGCATAACAACGAATTTAACACTAGTTTTATATTATCTATGCAGACTTAAATACAAGGTTATTTCGCTTTTGAAGAAAGAGAGAAATGAGTTAGAAAGAGAGATTTATCATTGAGATGAAATTAAAAAATGTTGTATGTTATGCCTCTGCTTATTGTACGTTGTAGTGATACATCTCATTTCAGTCTTTCGGTGCCAAAATGTTTGGACAATGGACCTGGTTGGTGCCGATATTCGTGGCTCTTTCCACCTTCGGGGGCGTTAACGGCATTTTATTCACGTCTTCGAGACTTTTCTTGACTGGATCTCAGGAGGGGCATTTACCTGATTTATTTTCGTTCATTCACATCAAAAGGAGCACTCCCATTCCTAGCTTAATTTTTACAGTAAGTAAATGTGTAGTATCATTTAAATTTTATCTAGAGCCGTTACCGCTTTTAATACAAGGCCTCGCAGCTGCGCGTCGTCGCTCAATGACGTCACTATCAGTGGTTATCAACAACTGTAAATACAGAAGTCGATCCCGCATTGTTGCTAGCTTAATTTAATAAGTACGCAACTGTTGCAAGAGTGTATTTTATTGTAAAACGCGATTTTAAGTAATTTTATATACAGGGTGTCAAAAATAAAAATAATTTTTAAAATTTTAATTTTGACACCCTGTGTTTTGAAAATGGGGCAGCGAAATGAAAAGTGACATAAGAAAATTCCTGATTCTTCTTATCTGCTACAAATATTAGAATTCTAGACCTAATATCGACATGGCTGCTTATATTTTGGACAAAGTAAATATTCTGACGCTTATCAACACAAAATAGGCATTAAAAAATGTAGATTTTGATTTAAAAATTTAAATTTAAATCACAATTGCTAGAATTTATTTATGATACAACATACATTATTATTAAAGTTTGGGTAATACATGTAAATCATAACCTAAAAAACAATTTTTAACCGCCCTTTGTTGTTCTCGGGCTAGGCTCTCCGCTATTGAACCCCCTAGGCCCGCTCTAACAAAAACCACAAAACTGTGATGTTTACCTTAATGCTAAAACCTTTTTTTTTGCATAAAAACAGTTTTAAGTGACCTTACATCTTCCTCTAAGAACCTTTATCGTTTCCAGTGTGTGACTTCACTGGCTATGCTGCTGATAAGCGACGCTTACATCCTAATAAACTACTACGGTCAAATCCTGTGGCTGTCGGTGGCCGCCAGTATCGCCGGGATGTTGTGGTTGAGGCACAAGCATCCAGACGCCCCGAGACCCATACGGGTGAACACCGCCATACCTGTTATATTTCTCTTGTGCTGCGTATTCCTGGTACTGTTTCCCATTCCGACGCAACCGTGGAATACGGTGATTGGAGCGGCGATTACGTTGTCGGGTACGTAAAAATCGAAGGGGTGCCATAGAAAACCACTTATATATTTTTTTTAGGTGTTCCCGTGTATTACTTGGGGGTGAAGTGGAAGGACAAGCCCAGGTGGTACCATAGAGGTTTAAGAAATTTGACCGTATGGGTGCAGAATCTGTTCGAGGTGACTCCGCCGGAGGCAACTCAGATGTTATCTCAATCTTAATTTATTTATTTTAGAATAAGTATCACAATGACCAACTGTTTTGATTTTTATATGTGTATTGAATCGAAGTACTCAAATATATACTTCAGTGTAGAGGCTGTACGTAGTTTTGTTTCCGAAGTGTGAGTTTTTATTTAAAAAGTCCTATTTTTCGAAGATTTAATAATACACACTTGTATTACGGGTTGCGGCATAACTTTAAGGTGGTTCTAAATTGTTTTGCAAAGTTTAAAGCAGAGGTTCCCAAACTTTTTTGTATTGTAGACCAGCGGTCTTCAAACTTTTACGACTTGCGGAACCCTGCCGACCCCCGTACCTAAAAAAAATTTTCAAACACATTTTTTACTGATTAATATATTTATAAATACTACGATTAACAAAATAAATATTCCACTAATTAAAATTAAAGTAAGACTTTAAAGTTTAAAGTAAATATTTCTTGAGTAATTAAAAAAAGAGTAAATATAATCAAAGACTGGGATGTGCTTGAATATTTTTACATAATATGTTAAAATCCGGTGTTATTATCGTAAGTTGCAATTGGATTTCAGATTCTGCGTTAAGCGTATTGCGATACTTTGTATTTGTCACATACTTGGAAAATGATTTTTCGCACAGGTAGGTATGTAGTTGCAAATGGCATTAATACATTTATTGCCTGGGCAGCAATTTCAGGATATTCCTTATAAATTTCTGGCCAAAAATCAAGGGAGAGGCGATGTAACCAATGCGACGAATGCTGCGCCAGCTTATAAGTTTTAAGCCGACTTACTTGCACTTGCATAAATAGATAAAGATCTTGTAGTAACTTATACTCGTATACTTATAAAAATAAAAAGTTTTAAGAGTATAAATTTTTTAGAATTTTGTAATTATCGATAATAAAATTCTAAATTTTTGACTGAGTCGCGGAACCCTCACCAGGTTGTGCGGAACCCCTGGGTTCCACAGAACACAGGTTGAATACCGCTGTCGTAGACCACGTGCCAATTTTTTTTGTTTTGGGAGGCATTAATTATTATTACAAATTTATCAACTTCAAATGTATGTTTAACAGCTGATGCAGTGCTAGTCACTTTGATAGGTTGAACCATATAGGCTGTTACAAATTCTCTTCTCACTACAGGGTTCTCAGAAACGGTAAGAGATACGAATTAGCTTAAGTGGGAGCAAAGATGCGTAATCTGGGGACCAACGTTATGCCTCTAAAAAATTAAGACTAACATTATTAGTTTTCGAAATATTAGGAAAAAAAAAACAAAATTTTGGAAATCCGTTTTTGTTTCATTTCAGTCTTGTTTGAGGTGATATTTTAAAATGAAAAACACTTTCTCATGGCAACTTTTTTCCCTCTATCGAATGGCAGAATCAATTTTTATATGTAACGTTTCGTCTCCCAGGACCATTGTAAACTTCATTTTATTAAATACGCCCCTGAAAATTTTATTACATTTTTTGCAAGCCTTCATGACTCCCAATACTGTACTGCCTCAGCCCGAACCAGATTAAGACGTTTTGTCTCGAAAAAATCATCTTCAATGTACTCGTTCCAAATTTATCTAATTTTTTTTGATTTCTATATTTCTTGAATTATCGTATGCTCTAAGTATTGTTAGTCTGAGGCAAAAAATGTAATAAAATTTCCAGGGCTGTATTTAAAAAAATGAAGTGGATGATGGTCCTGGAGAGACGAAGTGGATGATGGTCCTGGAGAGACGAAACATTACATATAAAAACTGATTATGTCATTCCATAGAGGGCAAAAAGTGGCCATGAGAAAGTGTTCTTCGTTTTTCAAAATCTCCTCAAACAAGGGTGAAATTAAACAAAAACGAATTTCCAAAATTTCGTTTTTTTTCAAATATTTCGAAAACTAATTACGTTAACCTTGTTTTTTTAGAGGCACAATGTCGGCCTCTTGATTACGCAACTTTGCCCCTATTTAAGCTAGTTTGCATCTCTTGTCGTTTCCGAGATCCCTGTAATGAGAAGCGAATTTGTAACAGCTTGTTACAAATTCACTGTCTGTTTTGTAAGAAGATTGGCAACTTCTCTGGAACTCCTTTCCACGAAGTATTCAGATGGAAAAGCTATCAAAAACTTTCTCGCAATAGTCCATAATACATATTATAAGAAAGTAGATAGATACTACTGCGTCATGGAAATTATTCCATTTATGGAAAGCCAAAGTTTCGGTCACAATCTGATTGAATGGGATCCAGTTCATTTACATTTCATGCACCCCTAATTTTTGTTTTCGTTGACATGGAAGGGAAGACACTTTACACTCCATAGTTTAGAGGATGGAGGGTAACTTTTTACGAAAATGGATCATAAAGTGGATGTAATCCATTAAACAGGGGCGGTAGATTTGTTTTTTGTAATATCCCTGCTTTTATTCTTATTTCAATTTCAAGTTTGAGGCATTTGGACACTAATTTATTCAGAATTATGCAAATGTTGGTTAATTTCACTAAATTGAATCATTTTCGAGTATCTCAGGTTTACATATAGGGTATATTGGTAAATTTTCATAATCAATAATTGCATCTGATTTGAAATAACCATTATTTTGAACAATTTCTATAAACCTGATGCATACCCAGTTTTGACCAGAAAATTCCATATTTCCAGATAGATTTTAAAAATTTTCCAGTTTGTAAAGTATAAGCTCTGTATCAATATATATTTTCTAAATTTTTGTCAATATTTCGTATGTACATTTTTAACAAAAAATTCTAGTGATTGCTATATAAAATTCGATTTTAGAAACTTTAATTCTTCCGATAACTTCTGCTTTCTGAACATTGAAAAAGAGCAATCTAGGCATACAAAATAATTTTAGGGAAAATATTATTTTAACACATTAAACGCCATGGCAGACACCGGTATCTGTTCGTTATTTTAGTCACTGGGCTGGCGCAGACATCGGTGTCTGCTTCAGTATTTGTCCAAATGTGCCGAACAGGCACTTTCAATCTACAATTCCTATGGTGGAGTGTCTGCTCTGGCCCATTCGCAAATATCCGTATATGTGGGCAGGCCTGAGCGCGTCGTGCATTGATTTTATGACGTGTGTCTAATGTGGTCCCCTGATGATTTGCTTTTTTGGGATTCTATGACTCGGCCATAGCAGACACAGTGATGTAATTAGCAAAATAACACAGAGTGATCCTATAAGTCATTTATTTGAAAAAAAATAAACATACATTCAACACAAACGAAATCGATGAAAGTAACTCGAACAACATACTTTCATTTTGAAAATAAAAATGGTAGAATAAATAAAACAAAGTAAATAATATTTACTTATACTAATATTATTAGGTAATATTATGTGCTACATTGAAGCAATCTAAACAGAACCTGGGTTTACCGTCGCAATTTTCACAATATGTGGTTATTTTCCGGATTTTGCTTCTTGGAATGCACTCGTTTCTACCGCGCCACTATAATATATCCTGTCAGAAAATGCAGGTTCGGATATGTCTACTAAATGTGTCTGTTTTGGCCCTGTGATCGATCATGATGTGTCTGCAAAACGTGTCTGCTTTGGCCTAGCAAGGCAACATTTAATCACAGGGCCAGTGCAGACACCGGTGTCTGTTTTATATTTTTGACAATTTTGCAGCAGAGGGACTTCACTTGTAAAAATTATTGATGGATAAAGGCTTGGTTTGAAAGGCACCATAAGGATATAGTAAAGGCCCAGTGATGAAGATATCAAAATTTTCTTCGGCGCTTAACGTGACATTTTTCGAAAAATGTGTAATTTTTTTCCATATTTTGATAGTGTTAAAATTTGTAGGAATTTTAAATGGTTGAATAAAATAACACCATTTATTTCTAAATTAAAAATTGGCCAATACATTTAGTTTGATTCAGACAAGCTTTAAGATATTCAGATAAAAATTATTAAAAATATTCCTTATATTAATCATATAATAAATTTTCCTTTCCTTTTCCTTTTAACATCAAAAACACGTATAAGTGTACAGGGTGAAACAAATATTAAAAATAGGGAAACATTTTATTAAAAAAATTAAAAATTGCTGTTTTTAATTTCTATTCGACTGTTTTATAATATGACAATAAATACCTGGCCATTGATGTAATTTTCTTTATGTATTTCTCTGATGTAGTTAATTATTTTTTTTAAGCAGACATTTGAAAATAAATACGTATTACCTTGAACAAATTTTATATTTATTCTAGTAAAAACTTCTACCTTAATATTTAGGGTATCAATATGTATGAAAAAAGAATAAACTCAATATATTTAAATAATACCTTTTGAATTATGTACCTAAATAAAAAAATATACTCAAAAAGAAATCTTTATTATTATTAAACAACAGAAAGAGACAAGAGAACCAACACAACTTAAACAATTTTTTTCTTCTTATTTCTATTCCTGTTCTTAACATTTGTAACTTCGTAGAAATTGCTTCCAATCTTCTTCCTCTTCTGCGCCCTTTCCACAGCCCTTTTCTGTTTACTCGTCAATTTTTTCCCAGAAATTATTTCTTCATCGCCCTTCGCAGATTTACTCTTCTTCGATTTTGCTTTGCTCAAGTTTTCAACTGTAAAAGCACCACTACTAGACACTGCATACTGAGTTTCTTTTTCATTCTCTGCACTGTCCATGTCAGAATAAAAACTGATGTCTGAATCGGAACCACCATCGTCATCAATGCTGTCTTCTACACTCCCACTTTTATCTATAGTAGAATCGGCGCTGGATTTATCTTCCGAGTACTCTTCAACGGCATTCTCGACGTTCTGAATAGGTTCCAACGACTTTACGTCTTCTCCTTCGAAGGTAAGACCAACACGGATCTTCCTAAAGTCCTGCACGACACTCAAAGTCTCTTCCTTTGTATTATCTTCTTCGGGAGTTTCCAAAGGAGTCTCAAAACCCGGAGGGCAACAGTAGAAAGGAAGCTTTCCTCTCTGCCAGTCGTTTAAAACCATCTTTGCTACACTGGCAATATCCGGTTCGCCTTTCTTTAACAATTTCCCAGAGCGTTGCGCCAATTTCTCTAAAAATTCCGTATGATCCTTCCAATCGTCTACCTTGTAAGTCTTTTTCATGTATTCTGGCTTAACCCTCTCTAAAACCGCCGCTATGTAGTCCTCGGGATTGTTAACCAGCTCCACCCTAACCACGCCTTTAAGAACTTTCTCTGTATCCGTTTCAGCAGAGGGATACACTACCCCCGGACAGTCTATGAGATATATGCGCCTCATGAGGGTGATATATTGCCACACTTTAGTTTCCCCAGCGATCGGAGCCACTTTACACACTTTCTTGCTCCGTAGCGTGTTGATAACAGACGATTTCCCTACATTCGGATATCCGATGAATCCCACAGAGATCTGCTTTTTGTCAATGTGCAATTTTGCTGTAAATTAAGCACGTAAATTAAGATTTGTACAAAATAGAGCGGAGCACTTGTTTAGTAAGAAAACTAGTTAAACTTAAGGAGGAAAATAGTAGATGACGATTCTTCCACAAAACCGTCATCACCCTTGGATATTCATTCCTAAACAGCTTAAGTTTAACTTGTTTAACTGTATTACAAACAAGGACATTACTTACCAAATTGTCGCAGTAAGTTTATTAGCGATCCTTTTCCAAAGGGATGCGTTATGCTGGCGTGAAAAGCAACAGTGGGGTAGTCCTTGCTTAGAATACCGACCCAACGCTGCGTGACCCAAGTGGGCACCAGGTCCACTTTGTTTAAAATAAATATGAGGTGCTTGTGTGGTTTTTCGGTCCTTAAATATTTCTCCAAATACGAAGATCTAGTTCCCATGGGATCTCTTGCATCTAAAACCTGTAACAGCACGTCGGAACTGTCCACTACCTTGTAAAGCTCGTTCCAGATCCTCCTGGATTGACCCGCAGCCATAACCCAATCTCTGGGAAGGTCTCGGATGCCACCGTCATCTTTAATGATGTTGGAATCCTTTTCGTTACTATATTCACCTGCATTTTTTTCAGCTAACTGAGTTAGTTCTTCTAATCCCTTCACTGAGATGTTTGGTCTTTTCCTGCTCTTTTTTGGTCCAAACACGCTTTCGAAACTCTCAGTGTCTAATAAATGTACTCTGGCGTTTTTTGCTTTTTCATTCAGCAAAGTTATAGGTAAGGTAGTGGGTTTCATAACAATTTGGTAAGGGTTTTTTACAGCGGCTCCTAACTCGGTTTGGAACTTTTGTAAAGCATTCTGTGAAATAACTCTACTATTGCCAAACCATTTCTGATTCGGCTCAACTCTAGCAATGGTCCCAGATTTTAACCAGCCCTAAAAATTATTGATGTTAAAAAATACGCCTTAAACATTATTTTACAAATAAATACCTGGAAAGGAGCAGGCGTCAAGATTTTTCCGGTTTTATCCCTTTTCGCTTTGAAATTTCTGTACATTTGCAAGCGCTTGATGGTACCTTTGGTACGCACTTTCGCTACACCTTTCACCCCATCTTTGGGTCTCTCAGGATTCATAGAATGATTGGATTTATTAAACCCTTGTTTTCGGGGGGCACCCGATGTTGATCTAACTTTTGGCATCTTGAAACAAAAATAGGTTATAGCAACCAACAATCAATAAAAAGCAAGTTAAGTGAAATAATATTAATCTAGTGACAACGAACTTCTATTAACTTTTACTTAAGACTTTTTAACTTTTATTTAAGAATTTGAGTTTTTAATAAATTATGAAACGTGGTTTTGTTTTTTCGTACACATTTAAACTTTTGAGTCTTTTGACAGTAATTTGACATTTCTTGTTGTCAAAAAGATAACTCTGTCGGTTATACCGAAATCTACATTGCCACGTAAGTGCCACTACAAATGTATAAAATAACAAATATTTGCATATATAACTATTTTTGTGTTGCATTTTGCTTATCGAAATGTAATGATCAGTTTTTGTTGTAATAAAAGGTGATATAGACAGAGTTTGATATCCCCGATCTTTACTAAGATATATTAGGTAGGTGGCTGCATTGTTTTGTCTGTAACTTGTTACTAACATTTATGTTGGCCATATTGTTTACTTGTCATCGTTCTTTCATGTGTAGGCGCCATGGCCGCCGATCAAGAGCAATTTTACCAAATACTGACATCACTTTTATCCACAGATAATAATATCAGAACTCAAGCAGAGGTAAGTATTTGTCATATTTAATTAATTATCTCCCAGCCAATTAAAAATTTACGCAGTGTTAGAGATTATTTTCTAATATTTTATGCTAACTTTTTTCATGCTCACAACGTGTACCGCTCTAACAGCATGGTCCTATATATTCATAAACCGGGCCGTGATTCATCGCTAAGGCATACCCTAGAATCCTACGACCTACCAAGTGTTTTTGCATCAAAAAATGATAATTTACCAAAGAACACAAGTTCCCCTGAATTGCTAGATAGATTAATTGTTTAGCTATTAATAGATAAAAAGGGCGCCAATGCTAATAAAATCGTTATTTCGCTTAATCATCAATAACTCGCATCTAGTTTTAGTGGCAATATAAATTTTTACAGCTATGTCTTTTTTTCTAAGGATGCTTATTCAAATTTGCCTATTGAAACGAAAGTGAGTCACCTGTTGGGGGCGATCCATAATGCCAACTTGGGCGATGAGGCCAGACAGATGTCCGCAGTTCTGCTGCGGAGAGTCTTCTCCAACGACTTTATGGAGTTCTACCCAAAATTGCCTGCCGAGAGCCAGGTGCAGTTGAAAGACCAGGTTTTGCTGGCCGTACAGCAGGTACAGACCGAACAGCTGAGGCATAAAGTGTGTGAGGTTGTCGCTGAAGTTGCAAGGAATTTGATAGATGATGATGGAAACAACCAGTGGCCTGAATTTCTACAGGTAAGTCCTTAAAATCATTGTCAGTGTATTTTTTTAGTTAGTTTAATACCTATAAGGGAATGAAATAAAATTACTATGAGTTTCTACTAATAATACAATAAAAATGAATAGTTGTATACATAAAAAGTGTAATTAAAAAAAGATGGTTTTATGTTTTTCAATAAAGTAAAAAGTGAAAATTTAAAAATGTTTGTTCCTGGGCCTAGTAAATAAAGATTTCAAATACCTCATATAAAGTTAGAAATGTGAACATACTTAAAATATTTGACCATCAAAAAGAGTCTTATTCGATTTGTGTTAAAACACTATAGAAAAATCCTTTTGCTGATTTTGTAAGCTACAAAAATAGAAGTTTATCAAGAATTGTTGTGGGTTATACTCTGTTTAATTTGGAGCACTAAAATTTTTTGCGCATGCTTGATTGCAATACAATTTGTTTTAAAGCTACAGATCCAAATAAGTGAAGCGTAATCAAATTTGGTCTTGAAAAAAGAATTATAAAGTTATTTTTCATTAAAAAAAGTTATGCATTTTTGTAATGGATCATATACTCGACTTTGTTGGTTATTTAAGCGTTTCCGTTTACAAATTTAAGATATAGGTATTAAAAAATTGCAAAAGATAAACATATAAAAATATTTCTGTGAAACTTTTTAATGTACACTGTTTTCTAAAAATAATGAACTGTGACAAATATGTTTGTTCTGTGTAAAATTCTGGTAGTTGTTTTATTGTTCCATTGAACTAGCCAAATACTTTTTATATTCAAAGAAAGTGTGACTAATGGTACAGTTTCGGTGTTTTAAGAAACAACCTTTCAAGCTCTATATATGGGACAATGGTATGAATCACCATTTGATCTGGATTAAATAAGTAAAGATTATGAGCCTATTTTTAGAATTGCTAACTATGGATGTGAAGTTTTTATTTTCGTAAAAATTAAAAACAATGCACATTTTCCTTTATTATAAATGAGATTTCAATAATTTTTTAAGTATGTATACTTTAATTTTAACCTCTTGGTTGTAAATCTGAAGTCATTTTGTGACAGTCGAATATCGTTTTCTGGAAAATTGTAAAATTAAAGACAATTCAGAAAACAAACAAACGATTTTGACTTCCTGATCCTGAACATGAATCTGAAGTTTTGACGCATTAGAATTAAATCTAACCTGACTTAACCTAACTTACTGGACCTAACCTAAAATAACTACCAGAAAAAACTTCAGTCTGCACTTCATAAAAAAACTATTGAAATATGAAGTCATTGTGCTATATATTCGTAATTTCTAACCCTAAAGGTCCTTTCCTGTTTGTATTTTAAAGAAAATACATTATTTCACAGTTTCTTTTCCACTGCGCAAACGACCCGAATCCGGTCCTCAAAGAGGCCGCCCTCCAGATGTTCACCAGCGTGCCGGGAGTGTTCGGCAACCAGCAGAACAACTACCTGGACCTCATCAAACAGATGTTGCTGCAGAGCCTCGCTCCCACCGAAGCCTACGAGGTGCGATTCCAGGCCGTACGGGCCGTAGGCGCCTTTATCTTGATTAACGACAAGGAGACGCAGATATTGAAACACTACGCCGACCTGCTGGCGCCCATGCTGCACGTTATAGCGGAGAGCGTGCAGCAGCAGAACGACGATACTCTCTTGAAAGTTCTCATCGATTTGGCGGAGAACACACCGAAATATCTTAGGCCTCAATTGCTTCCGATCTACGATATGTGCATGAAGATCTTCAGCGACGCTGGCGCTTTGGACAGCTGGAGGCAGTTGGCTCTTGAAGTAAGTCGATTATTTTTTATGTTAATTATGTATTTGATGTTTTGAGGTTGTCTTACTTGTTGATTCCCTATTGAAATAGCTGGGGAAAAGTTGGCCAAGAAATGATTGAAAATTATAAATCGCAGCTTAGGTGAATGCGTCGTAATTTCCATTTGTTTAATGTTTAACCACAATTGAGTTTGATTTGTCATATTTCGCATCTTCGGCATCGTTTTCTGTCTCATTTTTTTGTGGTCACTAGAACCGTATCATCCATATTTTGCGATATACAGGACCTTGAGTCTGATGAAACGTTGGAAGTGGAAAGGTTTTTTTGTTGTCGGGAGCTGACAGCTGTTTCTACATTGTTCATTTTGGTTGTTTGCGATTTGGAGGTTAAGATCATAAGGTGTAGTGATGCGAGCTCGAGGACGTTCTTGTTACTTCTCTACAAACGTTTGTGAATTTTAAAAAATATTTTTCCGAAAAGTACTGAGAACAAAATTCTGGAGAGCGTTGCGCACAAATTTTTCATAATACACACGTGCATTGGTGCTTGGCGATACCCGCTGTTTTTATTGTTATACATTTTCTTTGTTTTCTGTAACGTCTACATTACACTCATCTACTCGGCAGAAAAGGTATGCTTTTTCTCACAATTGATAAATTGACAAAATTATAATTTTAATAAAACTAATCATATTTCTTGATATTGAAAAGTTTTTAGAGCATTTCAGTGAATAATAGAAACTTTGCATAATACATTTCCAATAATATTGCAACGATATATCGGCTGTCCTGAAATTTGGTCACAGATTCTTAAGACAAATTTAGGGAACCAGTATTTTTTATTTTTGCCAAGTACCCCCCTTTTTCGGAGTTACAACCCCTTCAAATCGTCCCCTAAGAATTGTCTTTTTATATCTCAGAATCCTGTTGTACGAGAATCACTAAATTTGGTACACAGAGGTTTTATGATATGTGGAATCTGATAGTGATACGCTTTTTGGCGGGGATCTGCCTTAAGACACTTTTTTGTGGGACCCCTTGTCTTTGGAGTCAAAAAAATTTGGTCGCATATTTGAATTTCTTAAAAATTATTATCCGCTAGAAAGCCATTGAATTTAGGAATTTTTTTATCTCGATATTTATTTCGTAAAACGCAATGTTTTTGAGAAAAATGTAACAATTTATCGAATGCATATCATGATTTGTATGAAATACTACTTATTAATCGTAGGTGGCTGGCGATGCATTTCGATCACATTTTGCCATTTTTCTTGAAAACATTGTGAAATTCAAATATGCGACCAAATTTTTTTGCCCCCATGAAAAAGGTGTCTTACGGGGGTTTCCCGCTAAAAAGCATAGCACTTGTATCAAAATTAGTGATTCTTGTACAACAGGGTTCTGAGATATAAGAAAAGACTTATTAGGGGTGGATTTAGGGGTCTCCGAGAGAGGGGACCACTAGGCAAAAATAAAAAAATAACGGGTTCCGTATAGTGATCGCAAAACTGGCCTGTTTTTTCACAATTCGCAGAGAACTAATGAAAATAGATACAAATATGTTTTTGGTCTCAAATTACTCGTAAAATTTTTTCAAAAATCACCCCTATTTAGGGGTTGAAAAGACTCTTAAAATAAAGAATTTAATATTACCAATAAATATAAAAACTATTATCATCTGAATTTTTCTATCGAATAATTCTGAATACAAAGAAAGATTTGTTCTCATGACTGAAAAATGTGAATGTTGAATTAAAAAATCCACCCCTAAGCACACTCAGGGGTGGAATCATCCCCAAAAATAGAGATTATCAGAAATAATTGTAAAAATTCCAAAAAAAAAAATATATTAAGATAATTCACATGCTAATAGTTTTTATATCAATTAGTAATATTGAAATTTATCAGTTTTGGTATTATTTCAACCCCTAAGTAGGGGTAATTTTTGAAATTTCAGTTTTTTACAAGTAATTTGTGACAAAAAATATATTTTTATGTATTTTTTTAAATTCTCTGCGAATTGTGAAAAAACGGGGAAAGTCACAGGTTTTTTGCGGTCACTCTTTCTCTTAAGAATCTATGATCAAATTTTGTGGCGTTAATTTCGGGTCACCCGGTATAGAATTTATGAACAACTAGACATTTTAGGAACAAAACAACGAAAATCCAATTTTTTAAATTTCTTTATATTGTAATATACCTTAAAATAGTTTCTCGTTTGCTCTCAGGAATATTCTTCGAAAAGAAATTCTCCAGAATTTTGCATCAGTAATAAGGGGATGAAATTGAATTTCAATTCTATTTTGCCTTTAATGATTTTTTCCAAAAATTTGCCTTATGCCGGAATGAGTGTTATTTGGTTAATAATTATTTATTTTCGAACAATCCGAGTTAGTTTTCGGAATAACAACAACTTGCCCTATTTTACATTTGTTATGAATTTCTGTATGTCGCAGACAAAACTTAAAAATTTTAATTACTTAAAAAGGAATTTCGAAATCAAACTTTTTAATTATACTCCCAGTGTACATTGTTGAGGCCAGTTGCTGGGTTTTTTAACATAACCTTTTCGTTAAAAGTTTTTCAAATTTTTTGCAAATACATTGGCGTTTTTTAAATTTTCTTTAGGCTTGTTTTGGTTTTGTCAGCGGACAGTTTTAAAACAGTTCAGAATAGTTACCCAACTGTTTTATAAGTATGTCTTGGCTTAAATGTTCTTATGAATGAAATGGTCAACTAAGTTGAACAGTCCTAGAACCGTTCTCTGTCGGAACCAAAACACACCTTTTATATATCTGTCATTAACTATGATGTGGACTTGTATTTGGACAGCCTATTGACTTGCTGATGAAGATTTCATCCTTTCTTCACACGTCGCCAACCATTTGTGCCTTTTTAAATTGTTTTATCATTTGTTGAATGATCTGTTTTTGTTTTCTCGAAATTTAATTGCAAACGCGAAGGAAATAAAATAACTTTCAAATGCTCTGCACTTTCTGTTGGTATAGGAATAAGGATCCTGCTTCAAGGATTTTGTTTAATTTCGGTGTTAATTTTCTCAGTACTTGTCTCAGTAAAATTATATCCAAATCCAAACTATATTTAATTGACATACGTTTTGTTCCAATGTCTGTCAACGTCCTGACGTTTAGCATTTTACAATAAAAATTGTAGGTTATGGTCACATTGGCTGAAATGGCGCCGGCGATGGTCAGGAAAAATGCCAGCAAGTACATGGAACAGCTCATCCCGCTGATATTACAATTCATGGCCGACCTGGAGGAGGAAGACGGTTGGGCGGAATCCGACGAGCTTCTAGACGAAGATAACGACTGTAACAACGTCGTAGCCGAAGCTGCTTTGGATCGCTTAGCCTGCGGATTAGGTATTGACCTGGTACCGTATTAATCAAGGAGTGTTCTAACGATCGACCGTTTCAGGCGGGAAAATCATTCTGCCGCTCGTAACGCAGAGCATCCCCAGGATGTTGGCCAGCCCCGATTGGAAACAACGACATGCCGCCCTGATGGCGCTCAGCGCCATCGGGGAGGGTTGTCACAAGCAGATGGAAGGTATGCTCGCTCAGATCATGGACGGGGTGCCGGGCGTCATGGATGGCGTCCTCAGATACCTCCAGGATCCGCACCCTAGAGTTAGGTATGCCGCTTGCAACGCCGTGGGGCAGATGTCTACTGATTTCGCCCCGGTGTTCGAGAAGAAGTTTCACGACAGGGTGGTGCCGGGACTGCTGATGTTGTTGGACGATAACGGTAATCCGAGGGTCCAAGCTCACGCCGGTAAGTGTAAATATATTTTTTGACGGTCGTGGTAGTAGTTTTGACATATTTCCCAATTCCCGATAAAATTATTACTAGGGAAGCCGAATACATGTCAATTTTAATACTAGGGAACCCATTTACAATAACCGGTATTTACCTTTTACCTATTAATTACTCATTATCCGTTAAGGTTCTAATTACCGATTAACTATTATGAACTCGCTGAATAATGACTCATTACATATTGACTTACCTGTTATTTACTCGTACTCGTTAAGAACTAACATGCTAGTTACTTGTTATTTATTACGAACCCACTAATTGCTCGTACCTTTTAAGGACTCATGCACAGTGATTCATTACCTGCAGAGAATTACTCATTATCGATTAGGAACTTACCAGCTAACTACTCATTACTTGTTAACAATTCATTACCTATTAATTACTTGATACCCATCAAAAACTCATCGCTTACATGCGAATTACTCAATATCCATAAAGAACTTGCTTATCCTATAATTACTTGTTACCCGTTAACTCACTTACTTGGTAATTACTCCCTATCCATTAAGAAATCGCTAATTACTCGTTATCTGTTAGGAACTTGCTTACCTGCTATGTACCTGTTGATTTTTAAGAACTTGCTTACCAGCTAATAACTCATTACTCATTAACAACTCGCTTACCCATTAATTACTGGTTACCCACCAAAAACTCATCGCTTACATGCTAATTACTCAATATCCATAAAGATCTCGCTTATCCCATAATTATTTGTTACCCGTTAACTCATTTACTTGGTATTTACTCGTTATCTGTTAAGAACTCATTCTCTAATTAATCGTTACCTGTTAAGAACTCGCCTACTCTTTAAATACCCATTGATTTTAAAGAACTTGCTTATCTGCTAATAACTCGTTACTCGTTAACAACTCGCTTACCCATTAATTACTTGTTGCCCACCAAAAACTCATCGCTTACATGCTAATTACTCAATATTCATAAAGATCTTGCTTATCCCATAATCATTTGTTACCCGTTAACTCATTTACTTGGTTTTTACTTGGTATTTACTCGTTATCTGTTAAGAACTCATTCTCTAATTAATCACCTATTAAGAACTCACTCTGAATACCCATTGATTTTAAAGAACTCGCTTATCCGCTAATAACTCATTACTTGTTAACAACTTGCTTACCCATTAATTACTTGTTATCCACCAAAAACTCATCGTTTACATGCTAATTACTCAGTATCCATAAAGATCTCGCTTATCCGATAATTATTTGTTACCCGTTGACTCATTTACTTGGTAATTACTCGTTATCTGTTAAGAACTCATTTTCTAATTAATCGTTACCTATTAAGAACTTGCTTACTCTTTAAATACCCATTGATTTTAAAAACTCGCGTACCTACTAATTACTCATTACTCGTTAACAATTCGCTTAGCTATTAATTACTTGTTACCCATAAAAAACTCTTTGCTTAGATGTTAATTACTCACTATCCATAAAGAACTGGCTTATCTGATAATTATTTGTTACCTGTTAAATCATTTACTTGGAAATTACTCATTATCTGTTAACAAGCACTCACTAATTACTCGTTACTTTTTAAGAACTCACCCACTAAATACTCTGTTACCTTTTAAGAACTGGGTTATACGCTAATTACTCATTACCCATAAAGAATTTGCTTATCCATTAATTACTTGTTGCCCGTTAAGAACCCGTATACTCATTAATTATTATTATTAATGGAAACAAAACTATATTAACGTCCTTTGTTGCAATTTTGTATTTAAGTACAGTATAACCTTCCCCTGATAGCGGAAACCCATAGAGAGTCCTGAAATGTCCTGTATACGGGGTGTTAATGAACTTATGCTAAATATTTAGTGGGGTTGAAAATGAAGAAAAACTGTTATTGCTGTCACGAACTTTTATTGATAGTTTAAGCTTATAGAAAAAAACAAGTTGGGAAAATCAGTCTTGTTAGTTTTGCTTTTTTCGGTTCATTTAAATAAAATGTTAAAAAAAAATTCTAGGAGCCGCCTTGGTAAATTTCGCCGAGGATTGCCCGAAGCACATCCTCAGCGGTTACCTGGATGCCCTCATGGGCAAACTGGAGGGCATCCTCACGGCTAAATTCAAAGAACTGGTAGAGAAAGGCACCAAACTGGTCCTGGAGCAGGTCGTGACGACAATCGCGAGTGTCGCCGACACGGCCGAGACTGAATTCATTGCCTACTACGACCGACTGATGCCCTGTTTGAAGTACATCATACAGAACGCAAACAAGGAAGAACTGAAGTTATTAAGAGGTATTTTTCTGTATGAAGGTTCTTAGGTGTCTGAATTTATTTGCGGAATATTTCAGGTAAGGCGATCGAGTGCGTTACTTTGATCGGAATGGCCGTGGGGTCGAAGAAGTTCAGCGCCGACGCCACCGAGGTTATGGATATGCTCCTGAAGACGCACGGTGATGGGGCGGAGTTACCGGACGACGATCCGCAGACGAGTTATTTAATTTCGGCTTGGTCTAGGATTTGCAAGGTGAACACGTTTAGCGTTGTTCGTTACGGTTGCGGTGATGAACTTATTAATTTGCCCTTAGGTTCTTGGTAAGAGCTTTGAACAATACTTACCTTTGGTTATGGGACCAGTAATGAGAACGGCTTCCATGAAGCCGGACGTGGCGCTTCTGGATAACGATGACATGCAGGGGGTGGAAGGCGACGACGATTGGCAGTTCGTGTCTTTGGGCGAACAGAAGAATTTCGGAATACGCACTGCTGGTGAGTAAAAAAAAAAAATATGTATTTGTGTGTTGTTTTTCTATTTTTGGTTATTTTATGTACTCTATCGTTAAATTGCGACGACAATTGCCACCACCATGTTTTACTACGCTGGAAATGCATTCAGGGTCAAATCTTTTATTCGTAGGAGTTATTTTTTCACTAAATAATACTTTTCTCTGTTCCTTAACAGTCCAGTGTACATAGCGAGTAGCAAACATCATTCTAGCCTATTAGACCAGGAAAATTAGCGAAAAAAAAAAGAAAAATTCGAAAAAATTCCCATCTGCGATATTATTGTAAAATTGTCTATAGGAACATAATACAAGACATCTCTCATCTCGTGAGTCAAAAAATTTTATTAGCTAACTTTTCAATTTAAACAAATAAGTGAGGAAAATAGTTTTTTCACTTTGCAGGGAAAACCATCAATTTTAGCGAAAAGTGACTCTCACACAGCTTGTAGGGAGTAAAATTATCTACAAAATGAGACTTGTTAAATTAAAATCTGTTAATAAATAAAAAAGTTATTGCAAAAAAATAAGAAAAGAGCTCATTTTTTAATTTGTTTATAACTATCGCATTTATTGTTAAAATTTTATAAAACTTAAGACAGGTTGAGGGTTTTGTCATACTTTAAAAGTGTGCCAAAAGTGGGCGCTGTAGCTGCAATAGTTTTCGCACAATTCAATTTGTTTATAACGGAGGCTCCAAAAGTTAAAAAATCACCGTTTTTTTGACATTAACATTCTCAAATTGTGCCGTGCGTTTTTCACTTATAAACAATTTGAATAAAATTGTTGCTATTTATGCTACCTCACCGAAAATAGATACAAAAAAATACAAATTTAAAAACAAAAGCACCTTCTACGGCGAACAGGAGCCAAGATAAGAATTTTTTTTTTTTAAATTGCAACCCAATTGTTTGTAAACATTAAGACTTGAATTTTTCGCAAAATAAAGTTTACAACGTACACTACGAGTTCCCGTGAATTGCATTGAAATATGTGGAAAATTAACGACTCACCAGCCCTTTAAAGAGAAGGTACTTGCTAAGTAAAATGTCCGGTGTGGTGGTGGGGGAAGCTCGTCCAAGCGAGTCGCACGCGCGAGAAAAGTGAAATTCAAAGTTCAAATTGATGCGCGCTGTAAATTTTGCAATATCTCGGCTTCTATTCATCGTAGAAACTTTAAACGTTTTTTTAAACTGGGGTAGCTCGACGAAAAAATAACAATGGGCATATTACGAATTCGTAGAATAGTCCTGAACCCCAGAAAAAATGCATTTTTTTTTTAATTTACAAAAATGTCAAAAAAATTGTGAAACGAAATATTAATTAAAATTTCAATTTCGGAATTATTTTACTATTATTAAATAAATAAATGAAGCTTTCGTTCATTTAAAAAGTTATTTTTTTACATATTAAACCAAAGTAAGCTTATATTTTGTTAGCTATTTAAACGTAAAATTAAAAAATTCACAAATTATTTTCAATTATTATTTCTCATAAAAATAGAAAAAAATTTAAATTTTAAATTGTCGTATTATATTGCTTTATATCTATTAATGAAAATTGTTGTGATTAATATTTTTTGAATTAATTTTGATTATGTTGCAAAGATTCATATGATAATGGAGAAGAAAATGATATGGAATCAAATTCACCGCCTTTCAAGAAGTTAAAATTGTAATTTTATCGACCGCATTATTTTTATTAATATTTTTTAATTTTGAGAATTTTGCAATAAATTCAAATGCTTTTTATTCTTGTTTAAACCTTTTAACAATAAATAATAATTTGAAAATAATTTGTGAATTTTTACTTAAATCGTAATTAAGTAACTAACAAAATATTGAAAAAATAAGTTTACTTTGGCTTAATATGTAAAAAAAATAAATTTTTAAATGAACGATAGCTTCATTTATTTATTTAATAATAGTAAAATAATTCCGAAATTGAAAGTTTAATTAATATTTCGTTTTAACAATAATTTTTGACATTTTTGTAAAAAAAAATTCAGGAAAAGATTCAGAAAGATTCAGTAAAAAATTCAGATGCATTTTTTCTGGGGTCAGGGCTATTCTACGAATTCGTAAATATGCCCATTGGTATTTTTTCATCGAGCTACCCCAGTTTAAAAAAAAAGAAGTTTCTACAATGAATAAAAGCCCAGATATTGCAAAATTTTACAGCATGCATCACTTTGAACTTTGAATTTCACTTTTCTCGCGCGCGCGACTGGCTTTGAGGAGCTTTCCCCAACACCACGCCGGACAGTTTACTTAGCAAGTACCTTCTCTTTAAAGGGCTCGTGAGTCGTTAATTTTCAACACTTTTCAATGCAATTCACGGGAAATCGTAGTTTAGGTCGTAAACTATATTTTGCAAAAATTTCAAGTCTTAATGTTTATAAACAATTGCGCTATGATTTAAAAAAAAAAAATTATCTTGGCTCCTGTTGGTCGTAGAGGGTGCTTTTTTTTTTAAATTTGTATTTTTTTGTCAGCTATGCATTGTATCTATTTTCGGTGAGATAGCTAGCATAAATAGCAACAATTTTATTCAAATTGTTTATAAGCGAAAAACGCACGCTTTTTTAATGCACAATTTGAGAATGTTAATGTCAAAAAAACGGTGATATTTTTTAATAGGTAACTTAATTACGACTTTAAGATTACAATGACGCTTTCAGAATCATGTTTGGTTGAAAATTAACGCCTGTACAGAGGCTTAAAGTTCATAACTTTTGGAGCCTCCGTTATAAACAAATTGAATTGTGCGAAAACTATTGCACCTACAGCGCCCACTATTGGCACACTTTTAAAGTATGACAAAACCCTCAACTTGTCATAGGTTTTATAAAATTTTAACAATAAATGCGATAGTTATAAACAAATTAAAAAATGGGCACTTTTCTTGTTTTTTTTTGCAATAACTTTTTTGTTTATTAACCGATTTTAATTTAACAAGTCGCATTTTGTAGATAATTTTATTCCCTACAACCTGTCATGTGAGTCATTTTTCGCTAAAATTGATGGTTTTCCCTGCAGTGAAAAAACTGTTTTCCTCACTAGAAATAGAAAAGTTAGCTAATCAAAGTTTTTGACTCACGAGAGATGTCTTGTATTATGTTCCTTTAGACAATTTTACAATAATAGGAATTTTTTCAAATAAACATTTTATTTGCTTAGCCCATATATATATTTTTTTGATAGAAACAATTTCTTAGTTCTTTTTTGGTCAGGAAGTCTAGTCTCGTCCAAATATGAAGCTAAATTATTGTAGACACGCCTGATACACTTAACAAAGTCAATTAGTCGACATTTGGAGTACGCTGACAACCTGTTTAATTCTCTGATCCAACAGTTTAGACGTTTTATTTTTCCAACGGCTTTGTTTTAAGTTAACGAATCTCCCATGATGGTGGAAAATCCGATTTATCTTTACAACCACTTGTTTTACGATGCCAAATTAGTCCTTTATCAACGTTTGCAGTTGCCCAATCGGACAGGCTTTGACCTTAAGGTCTGTCGTGTAGTGGAGCACGCCCTGCATCTTAAGTTATTAACAAACACCTCATTTTAATCTCGTCGCTCATCTGATACGATTTCCCAGGCTTGGAAGACAAAGCGGCGGCCTGCAGCATGCTGGTCTGCTACGCCAGAGAACTGAAAGAAGGCTTCGCCAATTACGCCGAGGAGACGGTCAAACTGATGGTGCCTATGCTCAAGTTCTATTTCCACGACGGCGTGAGGAACGCGGCCGCCGAGTCGCTCCCTTCGCTGCTGGAGTGCGCCACGTGCAAGGGTCCCGCGTTTGTCGGGGACATGTGGCGCTTCATCTGCCCCGAACTGCTCAAGGCCATCGACACGGAACCCGAAAGCGACGTGCTGATGGTGATGCTGGACTCTCTGGCCAGATGCGTACAGAAACTGGGACCATCCTACATCGACCAGGAGTCCATGACTGAGATACTTAGGATTATCGATAAATTGATGAAGGAGCACTTCGAGAGGGCCAACGACAGGCATAAGAAGCACCTGGACGAGGATTACGATGAGGTTAGTTGCCAAACGTGTGTGTGTCTGTAATTTATTTGTTTTTTTTTATTTATTTATTTTTGTAAATTGAGAATTCGCATTTGCAGGAGGTGCAGGAGCAGCTCGAAGACGAGGAATCCGACGACATATACGTCCTCAGCAAGATCGCCGACGTGGTGCACGCCATGTTCATGGTCTACCGAGACAACTTCCTGCCCTTCTTTGACCAGATCTGCAGCCACTTCGTCAGCCTGTTAACGCCGAACCGGGGCTGGGCGGACCGCCAGTGGGGCATATGCATCTTCGACGACGTCATCGAATTCACCGGTCCAGCCTGTGCCAAATACCAGGGATATTTCTTGCAGCCGCTCGCCGTCTACGTCAAGGACAAGAGCTGCGAGGTGCGTCAGGCCACCGCGTACGGCTGGGGGGTCCTGGCCCAGTTTGGTGGAGACCAGTTCGCCGCCGAACTGGCCAAAATCCTACCTGCCCTGGTGGAGGTGATCACCGATCCTGAATCGAAGGATCCCAGGAATATCAACGCGACTGAAAATGCCATCTCGGCCATTACGAAGATCATGAAGTATAACAATTCCCAGATCAACCTGAACGAGATTATTCCCTTGTGGTTCTCTTGGTTGCCCGTTATAGAGGACGCCGACGAGGCCCCACACGTGTACGGATATTTATGTGATCTTATAGAGCAGAATAATCAACATGTTTTAGGTAAGTCGGCTGTTGTATTGTCTGAAAATATTTATTTGCAACGTTTCCTAAGTAGTTTTTTCGAGTATTATACCGCAGCATAAATAAAAAAATTGATAAAAGTCCCGAAAGTCACTTGTCTTTACTTTGAAGATGGGAGAGTGCAGCGTGTGCCATCTTGATACTTTTGAGGGTTTTCAAACACTTCTGGGGGAGATAAATAAAAAGTAGTTCAAATGTACCGGCTTAGAAACTTGTGAAATAAATTGAACGATGTAAATCGCTTCGTGATATGTTGATCCACTTGAGGCATATTTTATTTTTTGTTGTTTTTTATAGTGTCAAATCACTTATTTTTCTTAATCTTTTTTATTTATTGGTGAATCCAGTGGTGTGATAATTTTCTACAACTTACTTATATATTTTTACTTTATTTTGAAGGTATTGAATTAATTCAAAAACATGTTTCTAATTTATTCGAATTAGCTACAAACCATTTAACTAATTTTATATTAGTAGGTCACTCCTTGCCAGTAATAGTAGGAAAGTCAAATTGTCGAAAATAGTTGGTTTTCAGTGTTCAAAGACACGTAAAAAACTGTTGGGGCTTCATGCAGTGTGTGCCCTCTTGAATCTTGATACTTTTGAAGGTTTTCCGATACTTCTGAAGGAAATAAATAAAAAGTAGTTCAAATGTACCGGCTTAGATACTTGTGAAATAAATTGAACGGCACAAATTGCTTTACGGTATGTGGACCCACTTGGGCCATTTTTTATTTTTGGCTGTTTTTTATAGTGTCAAGTAACTTATTTTATTTTTCATAAAAAATGTTTTCTTTGTCGAGTTCAGTGATGTGTGATAATTTTCTACAACTTATTTATACAATTTTACTTTATTTTAAAGGTATTGAATTAATTCAGGAACATGTTTCTAATTTATTCGAATTACATTCAAACGATTTAACTAATTTTATATTAGTAGGTCACTCTTTGCCAGTAATAGTAGGAAAGTCAAATCTTCAAAAGTAACTGGTTTTTTGCCAAAATTTAGTTCAGTGAACAGACATGTAAAAATTAGGAAAAATTTTGTGGAATTGAATGAACTACTTTATCCCAGCTGTATGTTAAGGCTTCATTTTCAAAATGGCGTCCAAAGTTCTCAAAAAAATGTTTTCATTAAAAACAAATATAAACATTTTGGAAAAAAATGTTTTAGACAAAAGTTGTAGAACGTTTTATAATAAAAATTTTGAGCCCAGTCTGATGCTAATTGAAAAAAATATGTATTAGTTATTGAAAAAAACCGGCAAAAAATCACATTTTTTAAAAACATATTTTTAAAGCGAAAAAAAAAATTTGTACGAAACTTTCAGAATAAGTAGTCCTTGGCAAGTAGAATAAGCGTGTTTTTGTAAAATTGCAAAATATTATAGTTTTTGCAAAAATTGAGTTTTTTGAAAAAAAGACATTTTTTTCAAGTTTCAATAAATCATACAGTAATGCACTTACGCGACCCATCTTTGGCTTACAATTTTCTCTTACGGTTGTACTTTCCTGTGCAAATTGTGCACATATTGCAAAATAATTAGAAATATGCAGCAAATCTACCGAAACTTTGAGTTCTTTTTGCGGGTTGAAAAATGTAGGTCTTTTTCTTATCGTTTAAATTTAATCGGAATAGCATTGTTGCCATTTGAAAGCGGAAATTTTTTCACTAATTAAAAAAAAATGTCCTACGACTAACAAATACAACAGTCACATGACAGTCTTTCTCCCACCATGCGCATCAATGTGTCGAGCAATGCAACAATTTTACGGGGCCCAACAAAATTATATTTCCTGTAAATAAAGGGGGTCATTGCGGACTATTTTTTATATTGAAGTAAAAGTATTCAACTACAGCATGTGTAAATTTCAGACATTAATATTAAAAAATGAGGCCATGGCGATTTTTTGAAAAAAAGATATATTTTTTTAAGTTCGTAAAAAAATGTCGACCTTCATATGGCATTAATGCTATTCTGATTAAATTTCAACAAAAAGGAGGAGATCTACATTTTTCGACTTGAAAAAAAAGTTAAAGTTTCGGTAGATTTTTCGCATATTTCCAATAATTTTGCAATACGTGCACAATTTGCACAGGAAAATACAATTCTTAGAGAAAATTTTAAGCCTAAAATGGGTCACGTAAATGCATTACTGTATGATTTATTGGAACTTGAAAAAAATATATTTTTTCGAAAAAATCCATTTATGCAAAAACTATCAAATATTTTGCAATTTTATAAAAATGTACTCATTCTGCTTGCCAAGAACTACATATTCTGAGAGTTTCATAAAAAAATCTTTTTACATTGAGAAACTCAATTTTTATAAAAACTATAAAATATTTTGTAATTTTACAAAAAAGCATTTATTCTAGTTGCCAAGGACTACATATTCTGAAAGTTTCATAAAAAATTATTTTTTTGTTTTAGATATATAGAAATTTAAAAAATTGCAATTTTTGGCTGTTTTTCTGAAATAACTAATACATTTGTTTATCAGTTGACATCAGGCTGGTCTCAAAATTTTTGTTTTAAAAAGTTCTACGTTTGTCTAAAATATTTTTTTCTAAAATGTTTAGTTTTTTTTTTTAATGAAAGAATCTGTTTTTTGCGAACTGTGGACGCTATTTTGAAAACGAAACCCTAATATTCAGCTGGGGTAAAGTAGTTCATTCAATTATAAGGAATTTTTCCTAATTTTTACATGTCATTGTTTACTGAACTAAATTGTGCCAAAAAAACCAGCCATTTTTGCCTATTTGACTGGCAGAGAGTGACCTACTAATCTAAAATTAGTTAAATCGTTTGTAGCTAATTCGAATAAATTAGAAACATCTTTTTGAATTAATTAGTATATAAATAAGTTGTAGAAAAATATCACACATCACTGGATTCAACAAAAAAAAAACAATTTACGAAAAATAAGTTACTTGACACTATAAAAAACAGCCAAAATTAAAAAATGCCCTAAGTGGGTCAACATACCGTAAACCGATTTACACCGTGCAATTTATTTCACAAGTATCTAAGCTGGTACATTTGAACTACTTTCTATTTATCTTCTCCAGAAGTATCAGAAAACCTTCAAAAGTATCAAGATGGCACACACTACATGAAGCCCTAGCTGGGGTAAACTAGTTCATTCAATTATATGGAATTTTTCCTTTTGCGGGTAAGCAGTGGGTAGTAATGGACGTTTGAGGTATATCTCGACGGCAATAAAAATCAAACAATATTTACAATGGTCTCACCTTTACGATGCTGGTTTGATTCGCGCTGTCAGATATAATAGACGTGTTCATGTCCGTAACTGGCCGGTTTTGTCCCCAGGTGCAAATAATTCAAATATTCCAAGGATAATAAACATAATAGCGGAGGCGTTCTTCAGAGAGTCCATCGAACCGGCCAACCCGGAGGGCTTCAGGATGCTGAACATCGTCAGGCAGGTGCAGTCGGACGAGACGTTTTTCCAGAACCTGGTCCAGGCGATGCCCTCCGAGCTACAGCAGGCACTCCACGTCGCTTTGCACACCCCGCCCTCCACTTAGCTAAAGGCGTCCGTCTAATTATCGTTTTAAACTTATTTTTTAAATAATTCAGAGTTAAATTAAAAGTTATAGCTATATCATTATTTTTTATATATGTATGACGTTATAACTGGATTTTTATGTTTGTGAAGTTGATTTGACTTTTACTTATTTCTTTTCGTAAGGTCATCTACCTACCCTCGTTTAGGTAACTATTTATCTTTAATCGATGATTGTTGTATATAGATTTTCGCAACTCTGAACTGTATGTGATACTTTTTTTCATTAAATTCACAATAAAAATATTTTTGTCTACAAGTTTTGATTATCGTTAAGTGTTTTCGAGGTTATTACTCACAATGACAATGTTATTACATCTCAATAAAAACATTTTCGCTATGGAACTGTTTTTACCATTCCCGACACCCCGAATGGTTTAGGGCGAAATCGTCCATCCGGGGCGATAAAGTCTAGCTGCGCTTTTACGTAATCCAATTTTGAGCTGAAATTAAGAGGGCTCTATAGCAAATAGGCAACCAGCAATACATTTTTATGGATTTTATTACACAGTTTGTCTAAATATGAATTGGTGTAAAGAAATTTGTAATTTACAATGCAGCTTATTCAAAAGAGGCAAATTACAAATTTCTTTACAACAAAAACTAATTTTATAAAAAAACTGCGTTAAAACGGAGGAAATAGACCGATCGAAATAGCTTATTTAGAGGAAAAACAAAAAATTGTTACGTGGGGGCTTATAATAAACGAAAAAAATAAATAAATGCGTGAGCAGAGGCGGCAGAGGGTTGATTTGAGGGGTTGAAAAGTTATGAAAAATTGTATTATTGGAATTTCCGGCAAAAATTGACGTCAAACGAAAAAGTATCCAATACAAAAGTTGTAGATCGTGCAAAATCTACAACTTACATTTTAAGACCAGAAAAAAATTAAACAATTGCAAAATTTCGGGTTTTTCTACCCTGGAATTTTAACACTTTCTAAGCGGCAAATTGTTAGGTATAAAAAAACAACTTTTTTAGCCACCCCGTATCTCTTACCATTTCCTAGAAACGAAAAATCAGAAAAAATCGTTTTTAGCATTTTTCTCGGAAGTTTTGGGGTTATCTTAAAAAGTGACCTTTACAAAAGTTGTAGATTTTTGTATGACCAACAACTTTTGCATTGGGTACTTTTTTTATTGATGTCAACTTTCGCCAGAAATCCCAAAGATACAATTTTTCATAACTCTTCAATTCAAAAGTGTAGTACAATCAAGAATTTAGCAGTTTTCGTTTTAATAACATGCAACTAACACTACACTACTAATTTTAATTTATAATTTAAATAAAAGTATATAAGAATCGTTTCAGATATAGTGTGAAAGTATAAATATTTGTTTTTGAAAAGGCATCAGTCATTAGTTATTTATCAATTATTTAAAATAAGTATTTAATGTTAATTAAAAACTTGTATATAGGCAACCAATAATACAAGCAGAACTTGTATTGGTTGCCTATATCAATTTTCAATATCATCTAGTACCTATGTCTAGTACTTAGCTTGAAAATTTTCAAAAAATTAAAATGCCTTTCTAGAGGCGATTCTGGAGTGGCTACACACGCTGTGGTGGTCAGTTTTTGTGAAAGTGCTTCCGTTATAGAAAAATCGAAAATATCGAAAACTGGCGGAATTAAAGAGGAGCTGAATGTGGATTTGGCTTTGTTAGTGCCATTATAGTCTACTGGATTATTTTAATATTTTTCGGAGACCAAAAACTTTTGGAAAAATTCCATGGATTATACGATTATACGACCATGAAAATTGTCAAAACATTAAAGTGTTCATCTAAAGACGGTTTTGTCTCAACTTTGCAAATAATTGTATGAAGCAGAATGAAAAGTCTTCTTTAATGTGACACATTTGCTGTATTGAGGAAGAATGAACTTTTTTTCCCATTTCTTTTTTATTGTGAACTATTAAGCTACATTAGTAAATACAGAAATTATATTACTGTTGTATAAATAAAGGAAGATTTATTTACAATTGTTCATTTTTAATGCATTTAGTTATAATCCTTCACAGTTCTGAGCTCATTAATAGAACGTCATATTTCCTATTAAGTTATAACAAAAATACAAGTAAAAAAACTGGCGACTTTGGTGATATAGAAAATTTTGAGAAATTTTATGCAGCCAAGTATGCAAAATTATATGTATGTTGTCTATACAACAAATAGTTAAATAAAACTGCCAACTACGGCACTATATAAAAAAATAAATAATTCTTATGCAGTCAAGTATACACTGGTATTGTATTATATGTTGCCTGTCCAACAAAAATTAAAATCTGATTACTGCGATAAAACATATGATTTTAGAAATTTTATGCAGCCAAATATACACACGTATTGTATTGTATGTTGCCTACTGAACAAAAACTTAAATGTAGTTTGAAGAAGAAAAATCGCAAATCCAGAAAACTGGTGGCGTGTCGCTAGAGAGAAACTGAATGCAGTTTTGGATTGATCAAGGCCGTCATAGTTCATCGGATTTTTCTGTGTCCTAAAGCTTTTGGAGAAAATCGATAGTACATGAAAATTATCAAAAAATTTAAATGCTCATCTAAAGGCGGTACCCTACGCAACTGGGGTTGCTGAACACGTTGGGAAGGCCGGTTTTTCTGCACGTGACCCGTTGAGAAGAAGAAAATTCTTTATTAGTTTAACGTAATATACATAACGTTCATAGAATTATTTTTTAATGTACATAGTTCAATTTATTAGGAAAAACTGCGCCATCTGTATATTAAAATTTCAATTAATTTACGGGATAATGTGAGGCTGTTACAGTATCTGCTCAAGAATTCTTTCGCAATATAATGCAGTTGCTGAGCGATAGATGGCGGTTTGAAAATTTGGAACAATGTATTGGAGCTCATTGGTTAATCGACACAAGTGAGCGTTCTACTTCACTGAACTAAAAATTGATTGGAATTATGTTTTTCTGAAAAACAGTGCTTTTCCAAATGCATTTGGACTCGCTGAACACGCTGTGATGGCTCACTTTTGCGCAAATGCCTCCGTTAAGGAAATAAATTCAAAATCTCGAAAATTGGAGGAGCTAAAGAGAATGCAGTTTTGGATTGGTCAGCGCCGTAATAGGTAGCTTACCGGATTTTTTAGTTTTTCTAAAACTTTTTGAGAAAATCGATGGCGGTTCCATATGCATTTGGGGTCGCTACACACACTGTGATTGATTAATTATATCGACATATAATCAATAACATTTGGGAGCCTCCAATTAATGAGGTTGTTTAAAATGTCTTAATTATAATTACTATGTGAAGGGGACATATTATTACACTTTACTAATTTACAGTAGAATATTTTTCAGGGCAATAGACCCGTATCAAGATTAATCAAATTCTTAATTAAACAATTAGGTACCCTTCAATTCAAGAGGTCGCTTAACTTTCAACTTTCATATCTCCGCTAAGCATGAATGTACGAAAATAATGACAGTGTTTCAAATTACAAAGTGCGCACACCCACGAACTTCACACNTGTAATTTTAAATTTAGCGGCGGCAGAATACCTAAAACAAATATTGAGTAGGTTGGTATATAGTTATAGAGCGTACAATTAGATGGCGCTTGCATCTTTTACCGGCTACAGGTAATTTAACTCACTGTATTACCGATCATTCCTAGAAAAGGAAAGCATTAGAAGTTGGAGAAAGTGTCAACAGTTAGCGCTGTTAATGACCACGAAATCTGTTCAAGTTTCCTATCTATAGTATCATTTATCTAGGGTTGAGAAGAAGAAAATTCTTTATTAGTTTAACGTAATATACATAACGTTCATAGAATTATTTTTCAATGTACATACATAGTTCAATTTATTGGGAAAAACTGCGCCATCTGTACATTAAAATTTCAATTAATTTACGGGATAATGTGAGGCTGTTACAGTACCTGCTCAAGAATTCTTTCGCAATATAATGCAGTTGCTGAGCGATAGATGGCGGTTTGAAAATTTGGAACAATGTATTGGAGCTTCATTGGTTAATCGACACTAGTGAGCGTTCTATTTCACTGAACTAAAAATTGATTGGAATTATGTTTTTCTGAAAAACAAAAATTTTCAAAAAATTAAAGTGCTTTTCCAAATGCATTTGGACTCGCTGAACACGCTGTGATGGCTCACTTTTGCGCAAATGCCTCCGTTAAGGAAATAAATTCAAAATCTCGAAAATTGGAGGAGCTAAAGAGAATGCAGTTTTGGATTGGTCAGCGCCGTAATAGGTAGCTTACCGGATTTTTTAGTTTTTCTAAAACTTTTTGAGAAAATCGATGGCGGTTCCATATGCATTTGGGGTCGCTACACACACTGTGATTGATTAATTATATCGACATATCGTCAATAACATTTGGGAGCCTCCAATCAATGAGGTTGTTTAAAATGTCTTAATTATAATTACTATGTGAAGGGGACATATTATTACACTTTACTAATTTACAGTAGAATATTTTTCAGGGCAATAGACCCGTATCAAGATTAATCAAATTCTTAATTAAACAATTAGGTACCCTTCAATTCAAGAGGTCGCTTAACTTTCAACTTTCATATCTCCGCTAAGCATGAATGTACGAAAATAATGACAGTGTTTCAAATTACAAAGTGCGCACACCCACGAACTTCACACTCGCAGAACAAAGTTGCCATTCAATCGTCTCAAAGTCAACAAGATTCTGTTAATCGTTTTATAATAGTGTTTTTAGGCTACGGATTATTTTTAACATTAACTGAAGGATACACCATATACAATGTTTTTTTGTAAAGTAAAGGTTGTTACGTGGAAGTAAAAATTAAACTTGTTTTATTATAGCTACGTAATATTACCATTATAAAATCAAGATGATTTGTAATTGCACAAATTAGTTAAACAAATAGCAGTACAACTATTAGATGTTGGCTCTCGGTTAATACTCTTTCAAAAACACTGTTAAATATGCTAATGTTTATCAGATTGTCATGACTTTTATTGCACCTTTTTGCTACATTTAAACCAATGTACTTGACCTAATAAACAAATTTTTTACCGTGTCTGTAATTCATATGAAAGTGTATAATAGATCATATCTATAAGGTCAGGTCAGATAGTAGAGCCAGAGCCATAAGAGAAGACCGCTATTTTTTTAATTTCAGCAGCAGCCTCTATGACCTTGTCCGTTTAGCTTTGAGGTTTTGCGCTGTTGCCAGATTCTTCCAGCTGCCGTTGTATTTAAATACAAGTAATATGATTGACCTTTATTGAATTATTTCTTAAATTTCAAGTAATAATTGATGAAGAACATGCAAGAGAAATGTTAAATGCAGATGGTTGACATCGATTAAGAATTAATTTTCGAATTTAAAAACTACAGAAGCCGATAGAAAGATTGATTTCGTTGTTATTGATGTCCAAAAAGCTCTTTAAATTTAGTACTTTTATTTCTCACAGTTGGAGAAACTTAGAAAAAAGCAATTTGGGATGTTACTTTATTCTGTCAGTCATTCCTACATCAATATTTTTAATTATCTGGGACCACCCTCAAAGGTTAAAAGTAGCAATGCTTAACGGTTTTTCATTGTATCTTTTTACGGAGTTGGATATTTGGAATTCAAAAATTTGACTCACATAATAGCTCTTTTGTCTCTTGCATTTTTTCACTGAAATATTTCGTTTTGTCTAGTAGGAAAATAAAATAAGTTTTCTTTTTAAAATTTATTAAAAAAATACGTTTACAAATGCAAAACTTTCCATTGAAGTCATATAAACCAATCGTTTAAAATGTTCTGTTCTTCCATTTGAGGAGTGGTAAAAATAAAAAAAGATAATGAAGTATATAGTTCTTATCTCTGAAATAAAAACTAATTCGTTCACTATCTTGGTATTGTTAATGATTTTTTGTTGTTAATGCACATGTAGTTTATTTTTTTACTAAAAACGGAGCCTTTTATTAAAAAAATGCAAGGAACAGAGAAGTTTCTAAAAGGAGCCATTGTTCTTTAATGGTTTATTAGACTAGGCGGTATCTGTTTTGGTTTGGGTGAAACGTATGTCCACGGAGATTTTTGGTTTTTAAATATTACTAGAAATGAAAATGAAAATGTGCATAAAAAAACGTGGGCTTAACTTTTTGCGGCACAATATGTTAAAAAAATTCGAAAAATGTTATATTTTTCTTCCTACTTAATTATATATCTTTCAAGAGTTGATTTTAGGCGAAAATGGAAGAGGAAATAATGTTTGTAGTTAAATTTTTTACAAAACATGACTATCGCCAAAAATGGGGTTAAAAATATTACTTTTTAGGGATTTTTTTTGGGGTTATTAAACGGGGTATAGGACTTGGCTCAAGAAAACTTCATGTTATGAAGACTCATCACACCAAATCTCATCAAAATCGGTTCTATAGATTTTACATAATAATTTTGCAATCCAGATTTTGAAAAAAATTTGAAAAATTTTAAAATTTCGCACAGCAAAAATCAATGCCCTTAGATACTTGAAAATTTAATTACATATAGAAGGGCTCTCATGCTTTCAAACGCTTTTTGAAAAATTCGAATCCGTCAATTAGGTGAGCTCTGGCGTTTGTTTAAACATTGGTCGAATTTTTGTACTTATAAACAATTACAATAACTTTGTGAATATTCAATCTTATCAAATTTTTTAAAGCAGGTTTTAAAAGTTATTGGAAAGACGCTTCTTTAAAAAAAAACAGATCGATTGCTCAATTAGTTACGTAGTTATAGCCGATCAAAGTTAACTGTCATTTACACTAAATGTACTGGAACATCGAAAAATACCTTTGGTAATCCGAGTACTTACCAGGTCTAAGTTTGCAATACTTTTCTTCATTGGCAACCTACTTTAAAACGTGTTTAAAGTTATTTATGCAAGCCAGAAATTCAAGAAAATAGTACGGGTGGCGTAGGTGGGGGAAGGAGAGCGCGGCCACTTGTATCAAAGGTAAGTGCATAATATAAGTTTATCAAAGATCAAAAACAAATTTATTTAAATATTCTAAAATTGTTTAAACAACAATTATTTTCAAAATATGTCGAAAATTAGTAATATAATGAGTTAATTTCTCATTTGCTTATATTTTAAACAATAAATAATNACACCAAATTTCATCAAAATCGGTTGTATAGATTTTGCATAATAATTTTGCAATTCACATGTTGAAAAAAAATTTGCAAATATTCAAAATTTTGCACAGCAAAAACCAAGACCCTTAGATACTTCAAAATTTAATCACATATAGAAGGGCTCTCAAGCTTTCAAACGCTTTTTGAAAAATTCGAATCCGTCAATTAGGCGAGCTCTGGCGCTTGTTTAAACATTGGTCGAATTAGATTTTCAAGTATCTACGGGCCTTGGTTTTCGCTGTGCAAAATGTTGAAAATTTGCTATTTTTTTTTCAAAATCTGGATTGCAAAATTATTATGCAAAATCTACAATCAACAATGCCTGTCACCTTTTCATTTTAAAATAAACTGTATAAAACTAACGGAGTGACAGAGAACGAAACTGCAATGGAAAATGATTCGTCAAATATCTAAAACGGTCCAAACTGTTCGAAAAGCAATTGTGACGTCACACCACTCGACTGGTTCGACCCCGCAATCTTGTGCTAAAAAGATATTGTCTCAGGCTATTTATTTGTAGTACAGTTTAAGTTTTTTCACATATTTGTGGTATGGTTTAATTTTTTTCTCTATTTATTGATTTTTTTCCACCTGTGAAAAAAAAATAAATTTATTTAAGATTTTGTCAAAAGGATTATTTTTATTAAACTATTTTGTCTAACCAAAAAATCGCACATTGGGAATAGCATATTAGTCCAGACGGTATCTGTTTCAAAGAGTCCATATTTGGGTGAATCGTATATCCATGGAGATTTTTGGCTTTTTGGCTTTAAAATATCACTAGAAATGAAAATGTTTCTATGAGCAAAAAAAAAACGTGGGCTTAACTTTTGGCGGCACATGTTAAAAAAAAATCGAAAAATGTCATATTTTTCTTCCTATTTAATTATGTATCTTTTCGAAAGTTGATTTTAGGCGAAAATGGAAGAGGAATAAAATTTTTGTAATTAAATTTTACAAAATATGACTAGTTACAAATCGAATGAATCATGATTATTATTGTAAAAATCGAAAAAATCGACAAAACTGGGGTTAAAAAACATTACTTTTTAGGGAATTTTGAAAAGATACATAATTAAATAGGAAGAAAAGTATGACATTTTTCGAATTATTTTAACATATTGTGAAATCAAAAGTTAAGCCCACGTTTTTTTGTAGGCGCATAGAAAAATTTTCGTTTGTAGTGATATTTGAAAGCCAAAAATCTCCGTGGATATACGATTCACCCAAATATGGGTTTTTTGAAACAACCCTTTTAAGGGTAGCTGTAGTCATTTTTCCAACTGTGAGAAATAAAACAAAAACTGAATTTTAACGTATCCATTTAAAAGGTCGTTTTTCGCCATATTGAAGAAACGCCCTGTATAACAGTTGTTAGTTTAGTTCCGTGTACGTGGTGGAAAAAAAACGCCTACGCGGACGGGTATCATTTAAGAAATTACGAATTCGTAATTAGGTACCTCTGAACGTATTGAATATTGTAACTAGTTAGTACCGAGTGTGTTATTCCGCCCATTAATTTTGTAAATGCCAAATAATTCGAATCATCACACTTCTTCAGCCGTCGAACTTCTCAAATTCAGGGCCACGCGTCGACCTAGACCAAAAAAAATTTCCGCGTTTTTATACCACCGACAGATGGGTCCTCGCCTGTTGAAATAGAAATATATAATTTAGTGGCAAACTTTTTTCGCTTAGTGCGAAACCGTTTTTCAGAAGAGCTTCATCTAAAGAAGCCTTTGACGTTTAGCCGAATCTAGTCGTTTTTTTTTTTGGGAAACTGTACAATAAATTGCTTTAAATCAACGTTAAAATGTTTTCCACCGGTATCGTTTTTGCAGTTTTGGTAGTGCTAGTGGCATATGCAGAAAGTGTTAGATTTGTCAGGAGACAAAACTTGGTGAGTTTTGTTTATATTTTTCGAACAGCAGAAAAACTGACAATATTTTTCTTACAGAAAAATATCGTTGAATATATAATAGTTCATTCTTCTACAGTTTTCTCAAGAGGAATTTTTAAAAGTACATTTAAATTAATCTTCATTTCTGCAGCCAAAATAGAAAGTATTCCTGTATTCTATAATAAAAAATTACTTTAAGCAATTTTCTTAATTTTTTAAATAAATTTAATAACTTTTATTTTTGATTCTGTCAACATGTATTATAGCTCTGTACCACATTTAAAGAGTTTCGAAAGCATCTACTTACCTTTGACAAGATACATTAATTATACATTATAGAAACTGAGATGATCTCAAATCAATATGCCGCTTGCCGGCCGATTTAAGATGATGTGCCACTTATGGAGGAAATCTGCAGCTATTGAACTGGAATGTTGCTTGCACAAAATTATTAATCAGACTCGCTACTTTGTAAAAATAATGAAAATAAACGTTTCTTAGAAATTATAACGTAGTATAGTGTAAATTTTTTATATAAAAAATCACAGCAGTTCATAGGTTCCGTGGATGATCAAATTTGGTTCAATAAGCGCTTGTAAGTAGCCCCTTTTTATTAAATAATGTTCGTATCCTGCGTCCCAAAAAAATGTTTAGAAACTTCTGGTTTTTAATGGACCACTATGTATATGTATGTCAGTATATTATAAAGGAAACACACATTTTATAATGGAAATCATAGAACTTAACTATTCACGAACTTTTCTTTGTTATCACGACCACAGTAATTGTGGTATCAACTGGATATGCTTAAATTATGCCATAAATTGCAATACACCTATTATTAGAAATGCCAAGGCATAGCCAAGTCAATGATTAAGGGTATCAAATTGCCTTGACATATAACATCTCTGTATAGTAGACAACCGCGAAGACAAGTCAAGATGCAGAAACAGATTTTTATAAAAAAATGTCCAATTAATCGGAATTCCTTTTTAAACATTCATTTGAAATGAACGTCCTTTCATAATGGCTCGTTTATTATTTTTATTGCTGTGGAAGTTGAAGGTCGATTAACACAATTGAACAATTGCTTTATTTGGTTTTTGTTGTACCTACCGAAACTGCTTTCGGCTACAAATCTAATTAATGGAAACCGATGATTCCAAAATTAATAAAAATACAGTTGCAAATAATATAAAAATGAAATAAACGAAATATTTAAAGATGTTTGTCTCTACAAAACAAGTGTTTTCTACAAAAACAAAAGATTTTAAACAATTAATAGCTGAACAAAGGGTTTGCTGAATAATAATAATACGTTTGGGTTATATCATAATATCTGGCTATTTTTGCGAAGCAACGGAGAACGACGATAAAAAAACAACAAAAAACGAACTGACAAAACATTTTTAAATCTACTTTCTTCTCTGTAAAACACTGACGTTTTATTTGAATTGTTTTTGTTTAGTATCCATTTGAGAATTTTTTTATTAAAATATTTACATAGGTATTAGGTACCTTCAATTGTTATTTTTTTCTGTGTGTAATAGTCTATTATTTATTTAGAGAGAGAGAGAAAAAAAACCTTATTAACAAAATGCTAATGTACTTATACAATAATAGTCGTAAAAACTATACAAAAATCGACAGAAAACAGATTAGTAAGCTTTTTTAAATCTACCTTTCTTCTCTATAAAACAACTGACGCTTTATTTGTCTTGTTTTTTGTTTATTATCTATATGATAATTTTTTTATTCAAATTTTTAGATAGGTATTACCTTCAATTGTTATTCTTTTCACTTCAACTTTGAGATTTCAGATCCGATGACGATTCATCATATCCACAAGATCAAAAGTGGATTTTGTTCGTCAATTCTTCCTCTATTTGATCCTATAATTACATTTGAAGGATATGCAAATACAATAGCTCCAGCTCTAAATGTTTATAAGTATTTTTTCGAAGAAATTTTGAAAAAATTTTCACTGTTGCTAAAATGGATAAAATGGAAAATTTTTAAATGGGGATTGATAGTTTGAGACTCCAAAGAGTATGTATAAAAATTGGGAATTCAAAATACTCATTGATTTTACCGTGAGAGAGAATTGAAAAATAAGTATAATTCTGTATTTTCTTAATTAACAATTCAATTGTGCGAAATCTATCCGGCCTATTTCGGTAAAAAATTTCTGCAATATTACCATGTCATGAAGTATTCAGAACCATATTTTTTATATGGCTGCTCTAAAAGTCAGGGTCCGAAATAAATTCATGAAAAAAAAATTTTTTTCACGAATTTTTTTTCGGTCTATACTGTACTACAGCAACAATAATGCACATAAAAATTTCGGACCGCATTTATTTCGAAGATAATCTCAAAACGAAATTTTTTTCCTTTTACTATTTTCTCTAATGTCAATATTCTCCGAGTTATCCACGAAAGAAGGGAGAAAAATGTGCCTTTTTAAATTTTTTTTTCACATTTTCTTGCGCTAACAATTATGCACAACTTTTTCAGCGGGCGCATATCGCAATTATCATTCTACGTAATATTAGAACTATTTCCAACAAAAATTAGCGTTAGTACATATATGAAACATCCATACAACCTACTTTTAAAACAGATACCGACTATAGTCTGTTTAGAAATGAAAGAGAGTAATAAAAGCTCATTATCTATGCAAATCGTAAATAAATGTAGTACTGGTGCTTATATTCAATATTTTTATATCATGTTTTATCAGTATAGATGAGGTGTACTTTTAACAAAACTTTGTGCAATCGGACTGTACTAAATTGTAGCAGGTAGCTAAAATTTAATCCCCGACAATCCGTCTTTGTCTATGCCGCTTCAATTTCTCGGTCCATTTCTCTTATAAGTAAACAATATAAAAACAGCATTTCAAAACATGAGGCTACTTTAAGCATCATAACCGGGTTAAGAGGGTTTTTAGTAATTCAAATAAAATTATTCAATATTATTATCAAAATATTTATTTAAATTTAATGAATAGACTTTTATTCCACACAAAAATATATGTATTTTGAAAATTCAAATTATGGTGAGTAAATGTAGTGTTGTATAAATGTACAATAAAGAAAATAAAAAAGTAGGTATATTAAAATTCATCCTCTGAATATTCTGATGAATTATCTTCGTCTCCTAGATTGATAACGATAGGTTCCACAGTAACGTCAATTAAATTATCGAGTTCCCACATTTTCTCCTCTTCTTTTTGTACATGATGTATACATCTTTGCCAGTTATCTGCAGTTACTCGTTCCAAGGAATTTTTTAACAAAATTTTCACGTCACTTAATTTAAACGTCGTATTATTTCGCGCTACATCTCCTTTTACCTGCGCCCAGACTAATTCGATTGGGTTAAGTTCACAGTGATAAGGTGGTAACCGTAGTACCGTTATTTGGCGATTTGTTGCCATTTCATCGATAACATATTTTTTCTGATCTTTATTAAGATTGACAAGTGTCAAAAGTTCCTTTTTCACCATATTTGTTTCAAAAGAAATGTTTTTTCCGGATAACCATTGAATTATATCGGCTTTCCTCCAAGCAGTCGTAGGCGTCCGCTCGGTCTGCCGTGAATGGTAACTGGCATTATCCATGACAATTACAGACCCCGGAGGAATAAGATCCAACATCTGTGTAAAATACTCTTCGAAAACATCTGCGTTCATGTCTTCGTGATAGTCACCTGTATTTTTAGATTCAAATAAAAGTAAACCGCCATCTACAAAACCACTGGCACTACCTATATGTGTCACTATTAATCTTCGCCCTTTACCTGAAGGTGCCTTGAACCCTGTTGAAAGTCCATCCAAAAATGCTTGTCGAAAACTTTTTACATTTTTATCTTGCCATACTTTTGTTACAGTATATCCCTCGTTGACCCAAGTTTCGTCTAGATAATAAATATTCCTCCCTTCGTCACGGAATTTTCTAATTGATCTTAAGTAGGATCTTCGCCAACAAATAATTTCATCTTTATCGATAAGAACTGACTTCCTGTTCTGCTTTTCCCAGCAAAAATTCAACTCTCGTAAGACGGCCCATAATTTGCTTCTACTGATTTTTGGCAAATCGTTGTCCTCTGAAAGTTCACTTAAAATTTTGTTTAGCGTTGGTATTTCTTTTTTAAAATAAAATGAGTGTACTTTTCTGCGAATGACATTTTTGAAGAAATCATCTATAACGACTTTTGACCTCCCTGTAGATGATTTTGGGGGATTTACAGTATCTTGTTCATTTTTTGTTTCCTTTAAAAGTCTGTAGATAGTCGATTTTCCAATCCCTGTCATTTTTGTTAGCATTAGTGTTACCCGATAATTACCTGAAACGAAATATTACCACGCCCATGGCCGGTTCTTATCTCGGGGTTTTATTACTCTCTTTCATTTCCAAACAGACTATATAATAGAATAGAAATGACATTGACTTTTCTGTATTTTGCGCTGATGATCCACCACTCGTGTTTAACCGATCTTCAAAATACTGATGGCGTGCAGTATCTCTTTATTATAAATGTGCTGATTGCTTTTTAATTTTTATTTTCATCGATGTTGTTATGATGACATCGAACGAGGCAGAGCGTTCACATTGATCTTGACATTGTTTATTTTTAGGATGAAGCTCTTCAGGTTTCCACGTCAAGCGGCATCGTCCAAGGACGCACAAACAGGACGTTCTCAGGTAGACCGTTCTGGTCGTTCAGGGGTATTCCTTACGGCAGGCCACCAGTGGGGACCTTCAGGTTTCGGGTAGGTATTAGATGTACAAAGTGTTCGGTACAACTGTAGACAATAACATGTTTACAATGTGAACAGCTCAGTGTAGATGTGACTTTGTCGTTGAGAATTTAAGCTAAGTTTTTTTTGTTCATTTTTCGTGGTGTCGGATTATTTGTTCACAGAATGAAATTAAGTTTTTTTTGTATTTGACTTGTCATAATATCAGCTGTAAAATGGCAGACGGTTCAAATTCATTTATTTTGATGGTTTTAGGCACCTAAACCTGCAGAACCTTGGCAAGGAGTTTTGGATGCGACGGAAGAAAGTCCAGCCTGCGTACAAATTTTCGTGAGGTCGCGTGGTGTGTTTACCTCAGGAACTGAAGACTGTCTGATCGTGAATGTTTTTACTCCTACGGTAATTGAATATCTTATTACATTATTAAATAATTTTATTTATGCAAACAACCCATTTTAGGCACTTAGAACCACCACTAAAAAAAAATATTGGAGAATACCTACGAGTATTATTATATCGGAAGAAAGAACAATAATTCATGCATCTTCAGCTATAGTTTATGAAGTTAATTTTATTCTACGTTCCAATGTCTTTTTCAGGATCCACTGTATCAGAGGGATCCTTTGCCGGTGTTAGTTTGGTTCTACGGTGGTGCTTTTGTAGAAGGCAATTCTTCTGTAACAGCGTTTGGTCCAGAGTTTTTGTTAGATGAAGACATTGTAGTAGTTACTTTGAACTACAGAATAGGCTTCTTTGGTGAGTATTCATTTAGAAGTGCGTTGTCCTATAATACTTTCGATTGAAAATGGAGCTTACCTCATTTCATTTAATACCTCGTGTCCGAAATTTTATTTAAATCTTTTGTATCCTCACAGTAGGCCCATACTATCGAGCTTGAGGCACCCTGTACATATTTGATGCTTCAATAAAAAAAAAAATTGTAAAATATCAAAGTGTTAGCTCATATTTGTTGCAAAAGAAATGTAAATTTTATAATGTTTCATGAACATAATTCAGGGTTCAGCTTTTGGCCCGCTATTATCCAGTACGTTTATTAATGATATTTCTGATAACCTTGTAACTTAATATTCTTTTATATGTTGATGGTTTCAAACTGTTCTGCCACTGTTACCCTGTAGTCATAATATAAATCATGTGTAAAGTAAATTGAGCAGCATTTTGATCGCATAAACAACGATTAAGCACGTGGCGGCAAAATTATTGGTCGATGAAAGGGATCGAACTGCCCAATCTCCGCGCTTTCGCACAGAACCGTATTTCACAATGTATACTAGTTTTCATTTCATGCGTATCATTCGTGGTATAATTTTGGTGATGTTTGTATGTTGTTTAGAATTAATTTAAGTTGTCTAGCACTGATTCAGATGATAACTCTTTAATAATACTTATTTTAACTTTCCTAAATATGCCCTTAAGCATTTTTATAAACATGCTGTAGCTGCTTGCAACTGTTTACTTCTATTGAGTATATTTATTTAGATTTAGTGTTTGTAGTGTCAAGTTTAGCGTTTTAGTTTAAATGTATTTTTTAAATATAATTCTCTTCTGAACTTTTTTTAGTATGTCCTGCCTCTTATTTGAAATTGTCTGTCAGGGCCAGCGAAATTTAAAAATAAAATAAAATAAAATAATTTACTTAAACCACAAACAAAGCCTATCAAACCGTGTTTATTAATAACATACCGGTTATGTCAACCAATTTTAGTCCAGTCATTGAAGGTAAAATACGGCGTTACTGTATAATGTTCCCAAACAGCACCGATTTGCACAAAAATTTGGATTTAGGTTCTACTTACCCTCTACTTCAAAGTTGTCCCAGTGCCGGGGGTTGATTTTATTTTTTAGGGGTGAAAACTACCTCTATTCGAAAATAATTATAGAATTCTAGGTTCGAGCGTGTAATAGGTTGAAATTATCTTTAAGTAAGTAATTTTGAAGAATTGAAATTGTCAATCCCTAAAAACCACCCCCTATGACCAGACCTGGGTAATTATTTGTAATTTAAAATTAGTTACAATTACAAATTACTTTTTTAAAAAAAGGAATTAATTACAATTACAAAGTATATTCTTTAAAAAAGGAATCATATTAATTTAATTACAGTTACATGGAAAATGGATTTAGCAATTACTTTTCTAATTACTTTTATGATAAAGTAAATTATAGTGACCAAACAGAGAAAAAGGAAAAAGTTAAGTTAAAAATTTTAATTAAAAGTGTTGTGTAATATTGCGTTTTATTATTTATTAGAATTGATACTAAAATGAAAAGATTATTCTTATTCATTTTCTGATATAGAATTTTTATATTTTTATTCCTAATCTAATAATTTAAACTAGTTCAGTTCATACTATAATTTTATATTATTGGTCAGGTAATTAATTCAACCCGATGCTCTTTTTTT